TAGATAAAGAACTTTTATGGAACACACACTTGAAGAAGCTGATATGGGGAGTGTCACAGCACGATATTGAAGGCTTACAATGATTCACAGCAACCACAAATGTGGTCTTATTGGATCAAGCTGATGAAGCCACCTGGAGTACCAAGGCTATTACTATCATGAGCCATTAATATGAAAGCAAAATACAAGCAAGCAGATGATGTTAAGGCAACACCTGTGTCTGGGGATAATGAAGAGTATCTTAATACCTGTCATAGTGAATTTAAGTCATAGTTAAGATGTCATCAGTTAACACACGGGGTTGAATGTGTCCAAGAAGAGCAGATAGGTGTATATTTCGAATTGTGTTGTACCTTTTTCATTATTTACAATATGTTAATAGTCATGTACATTTCTCATCTGTAACTTATTCAGCAACTACATACTTGTGAATTATTCAATTAATATGAAGTACTTTTGAGCACATTTTCTTCAATTACAAATTTCCCTTTTTGTTGGTTCCATTATTTATTTGAAGCATGAAGTCATGATGGAAATTTGTGAAGACAACAGGATTAATAAAAACAATACTATCAGTAATTATAACATTTCACATGAATCTTCATTGTAATACACACCAAAAATACATAACAACCATATGTAAACATCTTTAGAGGACCACAGCCATAGGATGGACCGAAAATAAAAAACTAATTGCATTATATTGCCATTGGCAAATGCCATGTTTGGAGGATCTGTTACAAATGGTTCCATTACATCAATTATATGACATATAAATTTCATTTCATTCTTTCAATCCATGTAAGCTTCTATCTTTGCTGCCATTTCTCATCACGGTAGCCGATAACACCACAAATGACACTCGGAGTTGGCCTTAACAGCAATGTGATTGTACCACTCCATTATCAGCTGCAAGTTTAAATGGAACCCATTGCCATATACGTCAATAGTCAAATAACAAAATAATTAGTTGCATCTGTGCTTGACTTCAAAATGTGCAGAACCACATATATTCAAGTTTTGAATGGCTTTCACACGCATCACAGTATAAAAGCAGTAAATCAACTTTTCAAATGCACCAAGCAAGTGATAGACTTATGAAATGACAACTTACCAGCACATTCAGTGACATTCCTATTTAACAGCATTCAGTGACATAAATAAAATCTGACTTCATCATCCAAAAACACACTTCATACACCCTACAGCCAAGACAATAGACATGATGGGTTGACAGCAAAGACATGGATCTTCGTTTGATGATGCTCAATGATACCAAACATGACAACATGTTGAGAATAAATAGCAATCAGTCCATGAGGATGCATACAAGACATTATTGATCAATGCTAGTACTCAGCACTTACAGATGGATATGCAGATTGAAATTACAATTCCCCCAAGTCTGAATGAATTCTACACCCAATCTGTCTTCTAAATATGGGTTATAACTTAATACCCATTGCAATCTGTCTTCAAGCCCCAAAACGAAGTCACCAAAGGCCTGGGAACAAAACAGATGCAGTACAATTAGATGGATGCTTATACATAAATTAGGCTTTATAGCTTACACTGGTTAGTAATGATGTATTTTATTTACTTCACATTAATTTGTACCAGATACTCTTTGTATATACTCCAAGGCTGGTATCAATAGTTGTAGTAGAAGACAAAAAAATTGATGTCACTATAAAGAATTACAAAGTAATATTTCACAATAATAGCATATATACCCAATGATGCATTACAAAACTGACCTTGAGTAATGAAACAAATAACTTACTGTGATGCATGATTGACTGAAGTAAAAATCCATCCTCCTTCATTGAGATTGGAACTCGAGGCTGCAATAATTAGAACCCAGCATGTAGTCCATCGTGACATAATTTGACTGTATATCATGTAACCATACAACTTTAAAGCAGGTAGGGATTAAATATTGAGGTCGTAGTAATAAAAAACAGCATTCATGTTGCATCCCTAATGTGCAGGTACCCGTAACATAATACATATCAATTTATAGCATTATAATAGATGAGGTGTCCAAAACATTCGACCAGGTAGAGGATGTTGCTCTGTTTGACCAACTGCTAATTAATTTGGCTCTATAGTGAGCTAACTTTTACTTTGACTGTTGGGGGTAGGTGACGTTTTCCAAATTCAAAATTGGTAAAACACTAATCCATCTATTTCTACTCTAATGTGTTGACTTCAATAGAGGATGGTTGTGGTTTCAATCCATCTTTTTCAGCTCATACAATTTGTGAAACCTACAAATCAAGGAACTAGCACCCTGGGTAATAATTCAACAAGCCATTGCTGAAGTCAAGTTGGTTAATAGCTAGAATTCAAGATGGCATTTTCGGGAGAAAGAATAATGTAATGGTACACAAATCTGTAATGGTACCATGTTCTGGTATCTTTTATATATCAGAAAGTGATTATATTGAGAATCATGTAATGGTACCATTCTATTAACACAAATCAGGCAATAGAAGTGAAAAAAATGGAAAAAATGCTATCTAAAAAAATAAAAACATATACATGATTTGATGAAATCGGATTACTATGCCACAAAAAACCACACTTTCAACCCAACAAGAATGAATCTCACAAAATCTGGAACAAAAAAATAAAAAAAAAAAATTCAGAACCCACGAGCCAATACCAATAGAAAGATCAGACGACAAGAAGAAAGAAAAAACCTTAATGATGGAAGGGAAATAAAGTCAAGATGCGTTGCGGATGAGGAAGGGAAATGATGGAAGAGAGAAGATGAGTAAAATGATGGAAGCAAACCTTCTTATCTAAACCACCGTGCAAGGGCGTTTTCTTCCGGGAAGGTCGTGTGCAGTCGTCCTCTTCAACCCACGCTTCTAAAGTGCAGTGACCAACGCCAGCTTCTGACCATAGCAAAGAAGAAAATATCTTATCATCGAGGAGGGTATAATTGGAGTCAAAAAATTGTGTGAACAGTGCATTGTCCGGGTTTTTCAAAAAAACCATCCTCACATTCGCTTTCTCAACAGTACGAAATGCTTTCTTTCTGATCAAAAGTTTAAAAACCCATGCAAATGACATTGATGGGAATTTGGTAAAAATCTGATGAAACAAACGTTGTGAAACTGAAAACTATATTTCGTTTGTATAGGATTCTGACCAAAAGCTTGGAACCAAACGCCCCCTAAGGGTTTTATAATTCTCATGTTGAAGGAGAATTGAAATCTCATGTTGTAGAGATAAAAAGCATATGGGACCCATGTGTTAGAAAAAATTATATGTAGGACCCATGTCAGCACGGAAATCGAAGGGTGTGTAGGAAAATTGTAATTCTCATGTTAAATGAGAATTATAAAACCCAAATACTAATGGTTTTGATCCTTTCCATCATCTCGAAAAATGATGACCATCAGGAATAGAACCCGTTATCCTTTTAGCGGATTAAATCCTAGGAAATCTCTACCTTCTCAAATCACAGTGGTGTTAGCACCTGGCAGAATGCATCAACTATAGAAACGAGCGTCTTCGATAAAAAGGTAACATGTGATGTATCATCTCCAATTAAATTTTAATGGCTACGAAAACGTAATTTTATGGGTTTTATAATTCTCATTTAACATGAGAATTCAAATTTTCCTACACACCCTTCGATTTTTGCGCTGACATGGGTCCTACATATAATTTTTTCTAACACATGAGTCCCACATGCTTTTTATCTCTACAACATGAGAATTGAATTCTCATTTAACATGAGAAAATCAAACCTCTAATTTTATATGGTATTTTGTGTGGTTAAACATGAAGTTATGTCTTAACATTGTTTTAAAATTCAGCACAATCGTTGATTTGGTTGAGATATTGAATTATTGGGTCAGTTATTCAACTGATGGGTTATTAGTTTAAGGGAAATGCACTTCTCCTCTTGCTGGAGAAGTGTATTCTCTCATGTTGTGTCAGCTCGAATTCCGTGTTTTTATTTTTTATTTTTTTTATTTTCAAAAGTTTGTGGGCTTCACAAAATTTTGTTTCTTGCTGGAAAATTTCAATCTCTCCTGCAACAGGAGAGATGTTAAGCCCTTAGTTTAATCACATAAATTAAATTCATAAAATAATATATAATATATATCAAATTATAATCATTATATCCAACAAAAAAAAGTAGTCCAGTGGTAAGACTTCTCATCCTCAAACATGGAGACTCAAATTCGAATCTAATTACTTACAAAATGTATATACTTTACACAATTTAACATAAAATCAGTTTGACTAAAAAATCAGTACTAGTTGAACCCGATTTGACCGGTCTAATATAGGTTTTAAAACACTGGTTTTATACACCACGAGAAAAATAAAATATGAGGTGATATCAAATTATCGATAAATAATTTTGTTATGGACTAACGGTATATCTCAACTGATGGATTAAGGGATAAGATGCTAACAATTTAGAGGCATTCAAGGCCCAACCCCAAGAAAATAAATGCGGTTAAACACTCTAAACATACACTTTTGAAATCCTACTTTACTTTTTAGCATCACTAAATTAGGCTACCCGTTCACCCCAACCGATCAAGTTTGTATAAATACGTGAAAAAGCACACATATTTATGGATTATATTTATTTTATTTTATGGATTTAGTGTTTGTCATTTTAAATGACATAAGTTATGTCATTTTAAGAGAGAGATAGACACAGAAAAATGAAAATCATAGGAGAGAAAAAATGGGTGGTTTTTTTTAATTTAAAATTTAAAAAAAAAATCTGTGTCTCTCTCTTAAAATGACATAACTTTATGTCATTTAAAATAACAAACACTTTTCCATTGTTTTATATAGAATAACTAAATTTTTTACACACATAAAAAGTAGAAGAATTAATTTTTTTCTTTCTCTCTTCCACTTACAATTTTATTTTTATAACATAAAGATAATTATTTTCGCAAAAAAATTATTTCCCTCTATTTATACGTACTTTCCCGCCAATGCAGAGAAAGAAAGAAATGGCTTCTGCATCGTCGAAAACCCTAACGGACTTCTTCGAACGAGCTCCGAAGCGCATGAAACCCACTCTGACCACAATCTGTAAATCCGATGATGCTAACGGCTCCACGCTTTCCGTCGAACAAAAATCGCGCATCGAATGCAACAAGCTGCTCGCTAAATCAAAGAAGAATCTCAAAATCTGCGTCGAAAGGGTCTCCAAATGCAAAGGTAACTATAATCTACGGACTATAGATAGCTTCTGTCGTTTCACATAGGGTAGCGTCGTTTTTTGATAACACACATCATGAATCGGAAGCAGGGGGTTATGTGAAACTAGAGGAGTTGCTAGTGGAGGAAACGTGGTTGGAAGCTCTCCCAGGTGAATTCGAGAAACAGTATGCCGTTAATCTCTCAAAGTTTGTGGAAACAGAGATTTGCAGTGGCAACGATGCTGTGTATCCTCCTTCGCACTTGATTTTCAATGCTCTTAACTCTACCCCGTTTCACAGAGTTAAAGCTGTGATCCTTGGCCAGGTTGGTTGGTGGGTTTGGATTATGTTTTTGTGTCCCCTCTGTGTTTTACTGTACTGAATTTGATTTTGGTTTTTTTATTTTTTTTTAGGACCCTTATCATGGACCTGGTCAAGCAATGGGGCTTTCTTTCTCTGTCCCTGAGGGAGTGAAAGTTCCTCCTAGTTTGGTAAATATATTTAAGGAACTTAAGCAAGACCTTGGTTACTCTATTCCACCTCATGGAAATCTTGAAAAATGGGCTCTGCAGGTAAGCATTGCAACTAGTTCCATGTTTTCTTTATAACATCGTAATGTTGTGTGTGTGTGTGTGTCTGTATTTTCCCCTCGAGTACCTGTTGGTGTTTGTATGACAAACTGCAAAGAAACATTTCAACCAAAAACTTAAGATGTTGAGTGAGGTTAATTAATGGTTTTATATATCTCTAACATGCCCTCTCACATGAGAGTCCATTGGGCTTGAAGAGTGGATAATACATTAGGCTCAGCCTATATGTGTTAATAATTTCCACAAGAGAAAGTGCGGGGGGGGGGGGGGGGGGGGGGGGGGATAGAATCCGTGACAGTGAGCCTTTGACTCCGATGCTTTGATACCGTGACATAATAAATAATTAAGTTTTGTGGAGTTTCTTATCACAGGTAGGTGAGCCTTTGTACCCTTCAAGCCTCAGTGGGCTCTTGTGTGAGGGGGCATGTTAGAGAAATATATAAACCATTGATGAGCCTTCACTTAACAACTTAAGCTTTTGGGTTGAATTATTTCTATACACAAACCATAATTTGTTTGGAGCAATTCATCAATAAAGAGGTTTTCAAAGATTGCAATTAGGAAGTATGGCTCACGAATAATACTTCCAAATGGTGCTAAAATGATCTAAGGATTTACGCTCAAATTGGGATAAGAATCCATAACCGAATCTACTATACTGACCAATTTGAGATTTACGTAGTTGTTATTTACATTGTACAATTAAAGCAAACAGGGGACATGAACACATTTCATCTGTTACTACTGTGTATCCAATACTCTCGATAAGAGCAGACCATCAAGTTTTGTAAAACGATGATATTAATAATGACAACCAATATATATTCTCAACACTGTGGATAACTAGTTTAACATAAGTGTTTCACTGATGAATCCGCAATAGTGTCAGATGTAAAGTACGTGATATATGTCATACAAAGTGTCAACCACATCTATGTGTGATATAGTTAATTACTGTAGAATGAAAGTTCTCATTCTACATTAATTTCATCTTTTGTGATATAGTAATATATTTTAATAGGTTAGGCCTTTGTTTGGTATGATTAGAAGATAAGAATTATTCATCGATAACTAAAATTCAGATCTTAAAAAGGGTGTCGATTAATTTTATTAAATATAAAGACCGGACTTTGGAAAATTTTGGTTAGTGTCATGAATGTAGAGGGATGTCATACTGTCTTTTGTGTCATTGATATGGATATTTTAACATAGTGGGTGACTTTACTTGCTGAGTGTAGTTTCTGAAATAATATTCTTGACCAAAATTTTATCCTCATTTCAGGGTGTTCTCTTACTCAATGCTGTTCTCACAGGTTAGATTTTTATGTTTTTGTGAACTTGTAATCAATTATATGGGTTACTTCTAGCTAGGGCCGGCAAAATGGGCTGAGCCCGCCGGGCTGGCCCGCCCCGCCTGCCAAATGGGGCGGGCTGGGTTGAGTCTTTCAACCCACCAGCCCGCCAAACCCGCCCCGCCAAACCCCCCAGCCCATATGGGTCAGCCCGCCAAGTCATTTTTTTTTTTTTTTTTTTAGGTTACCCAATTGTTATGTAGCTCCGTATCTTAGATTTCTCTGCTTGCAAGTGGCTTTTTTGAATTGTTGTGGACTGCTCATACAACACTTTGCTACTTGTTTTGTTATTCTATTTTATCCTGATATGATTTTATTTTTTTATTATTATTTTTGGATTGAAAGATGCATATTTATATGGAGATTATTAAACACTGATCTTCTTGGTTTCATAAGCACATTAGGATTTTATACAGATTTTTGTATGCTTTTATGCAGATTTTTTTATGTGATTTTATGCAGAATTTAATTTTTTGTATTTTATTTTTTTATTTTAGGCGAGCTGGCCCGTAGCCCGCCAGCCCACTCATAAAACGGGCCGGGTTACTCAATTCAACCCATTTTGTCAAAACGGGCCGGGGCGGGCCAGCCCATTTTGGGCGGGCTAGCGGCGGGCCGGGGCGGGCTGGCCCATATTGCCAGCCCTACTTCTAGCTATCATCCTATTTGTATTTCACTACATTCATGGTGATCTAGTATCATACTGTCCTTCACTATGTTTGGTGTTTTATGCTTGTACTATAGTGGTGTTTTATAACTAATATTTTACTTTTTGAATTCAGTCAGGAAGCATCAAGCAAATTCTCATGCAAAAAAAGGCTGGGAACAGTTTACTGATGCTGTTATCAAGGCAATCTCACAGAAGAAGGAAGGAGTTGTGTTTCTGTTGTGGGGAAACTCTGCTCAGGAGAAATCTAGGTACTACCATTGCATAATTCTATAACAAGCCTCGGAAATAAAACATGGAATTAATGACCTGGGCATGCAATACTTACCTAGATAATTTTCCAATGTCAGCTTGATCTGAAAAAATAAAATATCAACGTAAATTTATTATGAGAAATGGCTGACAAGCATGTTATTCTGCAAGTATACATCTATTAACTGCAAGCTGCTTTTAAGTAATGTTTTTCTTAAACTAAATTGGATTCTTTCTTTTCTTGCCTGAAAGATAATTTCTGTGAAACTTTTTGATGAGCTTGTAACACGAGTGTCATGTACACAGGTTAATTGATGGAACAAAGCATTACATTCTTAAAGCTGCACATCCTTCTGGTTTATCTGCAAGTAGAGGCTTCTTTGGCTGCAGGTAAGGTGGTTTTGCATTATAATTTAATGTGTTGATATAGATATAGCATTGTAGTAAAAAAAGAAAGTGTTCCAACTTCCCACTGTTTCTGCATTTTGTATATATCAACTAGACATCCATGACTGAGCTTTAAGTTTATTTAAAGAATAAGGGCACATGTCAACCATTATGAAGAACTTCTGAATTGGAAGAAATATATGCAACACTAAGTGGATGGCTATGAGCCTTTCTAAGTTGTTTGATTGCATGATACTTTGCATTTTATAACTTATTTGACATTTATTAAAGCTTTTTGTCACAAATACTTCCTTTTGGAGCCCGCAAAGTTAAAAAACGTAACGCTGTAAATGTAAACATTCAGGGTGTGCTAGGTTGAGTAAGTGGAAAGTGGGAAGTTAGAAAGTGAAACTATGTTCGGACACCATAAAGTCTAGAATACATTGTCATTTTCTTTCATTCTCATTTTTCATCTTGACTTTAGTTTATTCAAATGCATTTTAACATTCTGACGTACTGCATCTAGCACATTCTCATTCTCATTTTAGTTTATTCAAATGCATTTTTCTTTCAATCTCATTTTTATTGTATTTAGTTCGGTCACGTGGGCCTTAACAGTCCACCACCACTAATGTTCTCATTATTCGTCCACATAGTGGGGACGTGATACAGCTGGTTATTGTTCTGCTCCGCTGGTACATTGAGGACTTATGAAGTGAACGAAAACTCAGATCTTACACAATGTCAAATCTATATTTAAAAATCCACCTGATCCTCAATCTAAGCAATTTTTCATTCTTACTTTTCAACTTGTTTATTTTGAATTTATCTGTGCAGGCACTTCTCTCACACTAATCAACTTCTGAAGGAAAGGGGGATTGATCCCATAGATTGGAAACTATAATTTATATGTAGAGTTTCAAGCCTTTATTCCTTTAATCATCTTCATTTTTGAAGCCTAGTTGCTACAAGTTTTGGTGCGCTTCTGAGTCCATTTTCCTTAATGTGAAGATGATTCTTTTGGTTTCAAATCTAACCCGTAAAAAGATGCTTTTGTCAGTAGTTTTACCCTGCAGTGTTGTTACCTCGGAGATTCTGCAGTACTGAACATTACTGTATTGTATTTTGGCTTAACGATGTTCTCGGATACTAAATGGATTTCTTGTATTATCCATGTGCTGTCTTAATATTAACGAACAAAATATTTATGGTTGAGATTCTCACAAAGACTGATGCTAGTTTTCATTCAGATTTGAGATCAAAACATCTGAACGTGCGGAGTGAGAAGAGCTTTTTATTGTTGTCAAAATAAAAATAAAAAGAAAGAATACTCAATATCACATACATGTTTGTGAGGGAATGAAGTTTAAACAGCTAAACGAATGGATTATGATATATTATTTTTTTATTAAGTACTGTAATTAATTAAAATATCTTTCTTCTTTAAAATTATATTTTACTATTTATTTATGGGTTCTCGTTTTATCCTTTAACATAACACAACAAATTTTTCTACACTCATAACATTTTGTGGGGTCCATACTTTTTAAAACAAAAAAATAAATAAAAAATTAAGGCACGCAAAACGAATCTTTATAACATTACACAATCACTTTTCCTACAACATAACTCTTATAAAACCCTTTATTTATTAATGGAAAAAATATTTCTCATGTTGTATGAGAAACATTTTTTCATGTTGTGATTATTCGATTTGCGTGTTAAATTTTCTTTTTCTTTTTTTAATGAGTGTTGGACCCATAATTAGTTAAGTCACACTATGAGAATTCAATTCAATCCTTATGCAATATTGCAATATGAGAAAATTAAAGCCTTTTATTAATACGTGAGTTTATTATTCTTTCTTTACATTAAACTAGATAATTTAAAATTATTGGGTTAAATGAAATAAATATAAGTGGTACCCTCCTATGACAATAATTCACGATCCAGCCTGTCTTTATATATCTGATTGCGTACAAAACATGACTTTTGATTTTTTATTTTTAGTGTGAAAAACACTTCATTCGAGTTAAGTGACCTACTGTTATGCCAGATAATATGGCTTCGAATATTCTTTACTGCACCCGAACGCTTATGCACGTTCTCTGGTTATACAGGTAGGCAATATAGATTTTGAAACGCAAAAAACTAAAAGGGGAATTCCTTTGTTGCATTTACAAATTGGGAGATTTGGGACCATCTTTTTACACACACCATTGGGGAGGTGCATCCGTCAAGGCATGGGTTGATTCAAAATAATTTTATTAATTCTTGCTTAGAGTTCATTTTATTGTTAACAGCGTTTCGGTTCAATTAATTCATTATGATTTTAAAAGTGGAAATGAATCTTCATGTATTAAAGTTTATTTAAATTTTTTTTATATAAAATTTTGTATTTCTTTTTATAAATATTATATAAATGAAAATTTATGAAGTGAACGGCATCTATACTAAATTATACATGATAAAATTATTAGATTTTTTAATATGAAAAAAATATATTTTTTGGATAACCTACAAATAGCCTCCACAAAAAACGAATTCAAAATTAAAGCCTTAAATTCTTCCAAGAAATAGAACTGAAAATGACCGAATATATATTTTCATCCCATTTGATCAGTTTCCATGTACCAACTGAATTAATATAAATTGGTAAAATATATTTTTCAAACTCAGTAATTTATTTTTAATAAAACAAAACTCATAAAAACTAAAAGTCGAATATTAATGATAACAAGGAACAAGACGAGAGAAAAGAAAAAGGAAATAAATGAAAATACTCGATCGATATGCGACAGAAAAAAGAAAAGTCTAAGAGTGGTAATTGCTTGAATGGACCAAGCCACGGAGACATTTCCATTTTTTATGATAACAAACATAAAAGGCATTGATGATATCGCCAAATTTAGTGGCCTATTTATAAATAAAACAAATAAATGTCAAGCTGTCTCTGGCCTGCTACTCCACATGCCCAATACGACACTCTCCACCAACGGATCTGATTCTAATCTTTTTGATCTCTCTTCGATCTCCGTGATTTCCTTGTTTTCTTCCTCTCCTCCCTCCTTTTTATTTCTTTTTTATATTTAATCAAAATTGTTATAATACTAATCATGGAAATGGACGTTTGATATGCCATATCAAGCCATCTCAGCCGTACATAAATAAATCAACGGCTACAAATGATACAAATTAAGAGAAAAATAATTATTAATTACTCATATTATGTATTATTATTAATGTTTTGAATAAGCATAGCACGTGTGTAAGTTTGCGAGAGTGGAATCGCGTGACTGTGCTTAGTGAGTTAAAACCCCAGTGGAGTCTGTTCCTCACTTGCTCACTCACTTCACTCTTCCTCACAATCTCACTCAGGTACTCTCTCTCTCTCTCTCTCTCTCTCTCTCTTTTGTTTTTCTGTTATGATACTAAGCAGAAAATGTGCATTTCTCGGTTTCAATCTTCTAGATCTTTCTCTGTATATGTGCTTGCTTTTCATGCTGTCTAATTTCACTGTGTATTTCTCAACGGTTTACGAGATATGTCAATAAACTCATCTTACTATTTGCTTCCCATAAATGGTTACTAGTTGACTGGATTTGATTTTAGCGGAACAAACCAAAACAAGAAAAAGAAGAGAAAAGAAAAAAAAAATGGTTCTGTTAGATTCGTTTCTTCACTTTTCATTTTCTTTTGGGAAACAAAACGAACGAAAAGTAACTTTGATTCTGTAGTGAACGCGGATCTCCCTTTCCATGCTGTCTTTGCATTTCCATAGCGTAGAATCTCAGATCTTTGTTACACGTTGCTGGATTTTGATGAGTTTTTTGTATTGTTTGCTTTTTCGTGCACATGCAACGATCTCTGTTTTGATTTGAAACTGGTAAGGGTTTCTTTCGATGTAGCTCTTGAATTGTCAATCTGTGTTCTTAGATTTGGTAGCTGGTTAGTAAGGAATTTGTCTTGAATCTCTTTTTTCTCTGGTGTCTGACGTGATGTGAATTTATACAACTGAATCAATTTAGCTTTAGCTTTAGCTTTTGTTTCTCTTTGTTTTTCTAGAACTGTACATTTTGTGTAACCAGATAACTTAAGAGCTATTAGAGATATAAGAGCTATGGTAGTGCAATTTCAATGGAGTTTCAATTTGTCTTTGCTTTGTTGCAGTAGCAAAAGTATATCGTGTCAGCAATGTCCAAATAACTGTTAAGAGCTATAGTTATGCAATTTCTATAGGAGTTGTAATTTGTTTTTTGTTTTATTGATGTAGCAGAAGTATATTGTGTCAGCAATGTCGGATCTCGAGGCTCCCTTGCGCCCAAAGAGGAAGAAGATTTGGGTTGACTATTTTGTTAATTTTCGATGGATAATTGTTATTTTTGTGGTCCTTCCAATCTCCTTCACCCTTTATTTCCTTACTTACCTTGGGGATGTGAGATCTGAGTGGAAGTCCTATAAGACGCGTCAGAAGGAACATGATGAGAATGTCAAGAAGGTTATCAAACGTCTCAAACAGAGGAATCCATCAAAGGATGGTCTTGTCTGCACAGCTCGTAAGCCATGGATTGCAGTTGGGATGCGAAATGTTGACTATAAGAGGGCTCGTCATTTTGAAGTTGATTTGTCTGCTTTCAGGAATGTACTTGACATCGATAAAGAAAGAATGATTGCAAGAGTGGAGCCCCTAGTCAACATGGGGCAGATCTCCAGGGTGACTGTCCCGATGAATCTTTCCCTTGCTGTCGTTGCAGAGCTGGATGATCTTACTGTCGGTGGCTTGATTAATGGCTATGGGATTGAAGGAAGCTCCCACAAATTTGGCCTGTTCTCTGATACTGTTGTGGCCTATGAAGTTGTTTTGGCAGATGGCACTCTTGTTAAAGCCACCAAAGACAATGAGTACTCTGATCTATTTCATGCTATTCCATGGTCTCAGGGAACTCTGGGGCTTCTTGTTGCTGCTGAAATCAAGCTTATACCCATTAAGGAATACATGAAGCTAACCTACAAACCCGTTGTTGGTAACCTGAAAGATATTGCACAGGCATATATTGATTCTTTTGCTCCCAGAGATGGAGACCAGGATAATGATGAGAAGGTTCCAGACTTTGTTGAGACGATGATTTATACACCAACAGAAGCTGTGTGCATGACGGGGAGATATGCTTCAAAAGAAGAGGCCAAGAAGAAGGGGAATAAGATCAATAGTGTAGGATGGTGGTTTAAACCCTGGTTCTATCAGCATGCACAGACGGCACTGAAGAAAGGATTGTTTGTAGAATACATTCCTACCCGAGAATATTATCACAGGCACACAAGATGTTTGTATTGGGAGGGAAAGCTTATCCTCCCATTTGCCGATCAATGTTGGTTTAGGTTTCTGCTTGGCTGGTTGATGCCACCCAAGGTTTCTCTGCTCAAGGCAACTCAAGGTGAAGCTATAAGAAACTATTACCATGAAATGCATGTCATCCAGGACATGCTTGTTCCTTTGTACAAGGTGGGAGATGCATTAGAATGGGTTCACCGGGAGATGGAGGTACATTTTCCCTCTTGTCAACCTTAATAATGTTTTACATGAATTTGGTTTTTCAGATTGTGTTTAAAGTTGGGGCTGACCTCTCATATGGTTGTTTGCGAGCAAAGCCCATTTTCATTGTCTATTATTTTCTAAATTGATTGGTCCCATGCTTTTTTTTCTTTCTTTTTTGAACTCGTGAAGGAGTTTTACCTTCTCAGAAAATTTAGGTAGTGAGTTTTCCACTTTTCCAAGGTACTGGTGCTACTAATTTGTCTTGAGTAATACAACTTTATTTAAAATTTTGCTCTATTTAGTTCAATTCATGTTGATATATCAGTTAGTTGTCTCAGGAATTCAGTTTTCTGATGTAATTCAATTGGTGTAGTCGTATACTTTGTTTCTTACGTTATTGATTGTCAATACATTAGGTATACCCAATTTGGCTCTGCCCACACAAGATGTTCAAGCTGCCTGTCAAAACTATGATTTACCCAGAACCAGGCTTCGAACTACATCGCAGGCAGGGAGACACACAAACTGCTCAAATGTACACAGATGTTGGAGTTTACTATGCACCGGGTCCTGTTCTTAGGGGTGAGGTATTTGATGGTGCAGAAGCAGTGCGTCAAATGGAGAACTGGTTGATTGAAAATCATGGTTTTCAGCCTCAGTATGCTGTGTCTGAGCTGAGTGAGAAAAACTTCTGGAGGATGTTTGATGCTGGTCTATATGAGCAATGTAGGAGGAAGTATGGAGCAGTTAGGACCTTTATGAGTCTGTACTACAAATCAAAGAAGGGCAGGAAAACTGAGAAGGAGGTGCAGGAAGCGGAGCAAGCACACCTTGAAACTGCATATGCAGAAGTTGATCAACCAGTAGACTGATTGCAAATTTTGGTTCATCTGATGGTAGAATTTTATTGCATCTTGTTTCTTAATTTATCGTTTTGCCTTTGTATTTTTGGACCTCTGCTTCAGGTTTGCCTTAGTTTCTGATACTGTTTTGGAGTTTCCAATGTGTTTCATGAATTATGTGGACTTAACATGATGATTTAACTAGTTGAGACTGAAATTGCGATGCCTACCCGAGATATTCTTGGGCACAAATACAATGCATCTGCTGATATGTAACGGCTTAGTCGAATCCGCCACACAGGGCCGTTGCACATATACATGCACGTTGTACTTGTGTGTTTTTCGCGTTCCACCGGACCCTATGACATTTTAATCCTTGAAAATGTACCTGGCTTGTAATTTAGTCTTTGATTTAAATTATGTGATTCAGTCCATAAATTATTTAAACTCTATTTTTTTTGTGAAATGAGTTTGAATAATTGATTATCTGAATTCAATAGAATTAATTTTAATCAGTGTTTAAGTTTGTATACTTAATTTTGAATGATTTTAATGTTAAAAAAAAAAACTATTTTTGATTTAAAGTGAACTGAAATTGAAATGATTTATTTAAAAAGTGTTGTTATATGTCATGACTTCAATGAAACTAATAAGTGCGTATTTAGCAGTTTTTTTTAATATATATATATATATATTATATATATTATTTTTTAAAGTTTTTATATTTATTTTTCACTTTTATATTTATTTTAAATTTGTATTTATTCATTTTACTCTTTATATTAATAATTTATTCTAATAATGAATTATTTTATCTTTTTCTTTTAAAACTCTCATATTAACTTTATATAATCATCAAAAAATTTAATTTAATTTTATAATTTGTTTTTTTTAAACTTAAAAAAAATTATATCAGGCTCTAAGTTGCCCAATACCTACTTTCGCTGGAATGTAAAATTTCATTATAATAAAAATTTAGGGATTAATGTATTTCATATTATAGAAGGTAAAATTATATTTTACATATGCATAAAGCATGTGGAATTTATGTTTTTTATTTTATTTTTTATATGATTTCATATAGGTTTCATATAATTTTATATGTGTTTAAGAGATATTATCTCCTACAACATTTCAAACTCCTAAATTTAACGTGGAACCAAATATGTTGAGAAATAAGTAGCAATGTTATTAAATTCGGCTCGGTTATTGATCCGGTTGAGGTACTAGGTCACTGGTTTAATCGCATGACTCGGTAAGTATATGTAAATCTACAATTTACATTAAAAAAATTATAAATACACTTAAATACTTGTAAAAAAATATACCAATTTCAAATATTTTAATATGAAAATAATAAATTACACATCATTGTCCAACAAAAGATCCATCAAACATATAATATTTGTGATACTAGTGTTTCAGGTTCAGTAAATGACATCTCCAACTATAAATGAAATCAAAATTTTCTGCAATCAAGATAATATTAGTATTGTAGGTACATAATCTATGTAAGTTAATAAGCTACAAATCACTCAAATATTCCAAAAAAAAACAAATCATTTGTGTTTCAGAATAAAAAAAAGAAGAGATTAATTTATGAAAAGAAATTAATTTTTTTTTAGACCGAGCCGGGTCACCGGTTGAACCGACCGGATCATCGATTTTTACGAAAACTGGCCAGGTCGTACTGAGTCACATCGATTTTGTAATATGGCCGGTCCAATATGAAAACCGGACCAATTACATGACCGATTTACCAATTTTCGGATTGACGCGGCTGGGTCGATCCGGTTTTTATAAGATTGATAAGTAGCCTCTATGTTGTGTTTTCAAATCGTGTAACCAAACACGCTAAATTTGAAAAGAATGCACATATCCATTTTGTTATGTTGGGTCAAACGGTCGTCGCCTAGAATTGAAAATATTTTCACTGGTTTAGGCATGTAACGCAGCGCTATAGGAGAGAGAATTTTTTTTTTCTTTTCTTTGTCGCCGACTATATATTGTGTTGGTAATGGTACATGGCCTTAATACTAAAGAGGAACTAAATTTGAGCTCCTAGATTTGCACTCGGGCTCCTCTTCCAACCGAGACGTTTTGATATTTACTTAAATATGATATAGAAAATTCAGAGCTTTACTGCTGCTAGTACCCACATGCCAATCCCCATGAAGCATAGCAAGTTTGGATTCTATTGAATGTTTGGATAGAGTGTGTAAAAAATGAAAATGGAAGTCATACATAAGGTTCACTTGCTCAAAAAGCCAACAACTAAAATTTAAAGGCAAGAAAACACGGTTATCCCGCATCAATATCATCCGTAGATGTTCAAATTTGATATCAATATCTTAGGATTCCACATGCACATGACATTAGCAACTCAAAGCTTTACCGTCACTCTAATAGCCAATAACTAAAGGACAAATATTTGGTTCCAGCTACAACAAATAGACATTTTGCTCACGGAATAACCTGCAAAAGTCACTTCAGCCCAGCAATGAAGAGAAATGTCGTTATACTAAGACGGAATAAGTAGGACAATCAACTACTATATAACATATACTTGATGCTCTGGTATAACCATCTATTCTATCTTGACTAAAGTTCATAGCTCAAATATCAATTTGAGTGTTGGAGTGCTTTGAAGTAGGGGTGTCAATATGGGTTGACACGACACGAATTCGACACGACACGAATTCGACACGACACGAATACATCAACACGAACACGACACGAATTTTCATTCGTGTCAAAATCTTTAACACTGACACGACACGAATTTTTTGCGGGTTGACACGACACGACACGAATAACATGCAAAATAGGGGACAAAACGGTAATTGACAAAAAAATTTAAAAAAATAGATCGAAAATAAATAAAAAATAAAAAAATAATAATAAAAAATAAAAAAATAATAATTAAAAATAATACAGGTCGACACGAACACGAATTCATAAACACGAACACGACACGAATTTTTTGCGTGTCATTTTTTCCAACACGAACACGACACGAATTTTTTTACGTGTCAACCCGAACACGAATTTTCGTGTCGTGTCGCGGGTTGACCCGCGTGTCAAAACCCATATTGACACCCCTACTTCGAAGGTACCCCAACCTTTGTTCGAGAAAGTTAAGACATATAGTTTCAAAGTCTTCATCTCAGTAGTATCCCCTGAATTATCGTCCTACAACACCCACTCTAACAAAGACTCAGATAGCTATTAGATTAGACTCAGCCATGTGTGATTTAACCCAATTCTTATTGGACGAATCATATGGTCAAATTGGCATTCAGTCCGTGTATCTCTTGATTGTCCGCAAAAAAAAACCTCCGGTGAATTGGTCAATAAATTTACATGTATTTTAGATTCTATCTCGTAAGTGTGCGAGTCATCTTTTCAATGGTATGTTTTTCTTCAATAACATACTATTATTAAGTGAGGGGTTCTTTGGACATGAGGAATTTATAGCGGTATAAGAATAAAAAATTCTATCTCTAATTTTAATTGTTAATTTATGGGTATCAAATGATCACAATTTATTAAATTATATTTATTAATAAATTACTAATTCTTAATTAGTTAAATCTATATATAGTTATACATTTAATTTTGGTCATTGAATTTTTTTTATATCGAATAACTCTAATTTAATAATTTTATGAGTCATAAGATACAAATAAATTAATAACTAAAAATAAATATAAAATTTCTTATTTTTACGCCAATATAAAATTTGTATACATATATTTGAAAAACAATTCTTGGTTTAGTGCTGCCTAAAATGATAGGATGTGAGCAGTCAAAGGCAATCCACCACTCTACTATTGTGGCTTTGTTGAGGTCTGTGCGTACACTGTATAGCCCAATTCCTAATGGGAGGGAAATATTTTGTATGATCCAAGACCACTCAATAATTCGATGCTCACTCTCATAATATTAATTTTTTTTCTTTTTTATCTCTGTTAATTTTTTTCTTTTTCACTTTTACCTTGCATTTACACTAAGAAATCACTTAATAGTGATCCCAGACCACAATAAATAATCTCCTAATGGAGAGTGTTAATGCAACTGGGGTATGCAAAAGTGAGATCATGTTTTTGGAGGTAGTGGGGCATGTCACAGTCAATAACATAATTCTACACGGTCAATAACATAATAAATATTGAAACTGATCACGTTTTTCATACTCATAAGTATTAAGGAAAAAAAAAAAAAAAAAGTCAAATGAGGACAACAGCGAAAAAATGGGCATGAAGTGTACGAGCTATGAAACCAAAGAAAAGAAAAGACTCTAAAATGAACCGTGTTGGCTCCAAACGCCCGACCCACGTGCCAAAATCTAAAACTACATAAATAAATAAATAAATAAATAAATAAATAAATAAAGAGAAATACTAATTTTATATCATAGAAAGCTAATATCTCATATTATAGAGTATTTTAAAAAATAAATAAAAAATAAACAAATAAGGGGATTCTAGATACTTTATGTCCATGACATAAAAGATTAATCTCCTATGATATGAGATTAATATTCTCATAAATAAAACGGAAAAAAAGTTCAATAAAAATCTAAGGGGGTGTTTGTTTCAGGATTTTGGTAAATAACCTGGGGAAGTGTTGCCTGCAATCTGATTAAACCACGTTTGGTTCCCCGAATTTTCAAAACTTATCCAACTATCGTTGTTTCCTATCTAAGTTGAATTACACGTGATTTCTTGAAAATTTACTGTTACAGAATGCTTTTTGGATGGTGATATTATGTGTAAAAACCGGATAAGTTGCAAAATTGACAAAAGTGGTAATAATTGGTGATTGTAATACCCGTCCCTCACACATGACCAAAGTACGCCCAAATAGGCACAAAAGTGGAGACAGAGTCAAGAAAGCCATATGAGCGTGGATGGCTGGTCAGGTAATCAATGTTCAGGAATGAAATTTTTTGAGTCCTGTTTGTGGATCTCAACGGACAAATTCATCAATGTTCAAGGGCAATGTTTAAAAGGATAGTTTCGTAAATTCAGAATAGTTTCCCATCATTATTTTATATTCAACCAAACACACTCTTCACAAATTTCACTTAATTTTTCTGGTAAAATTTTACTCAAACAAACAACTTTTTTTCATTTTCCTACCAAACTCAGTTTCCAACCATTTCTCTATCAATTACATTTCCCTAGTATTCAAAAAATTTCTCCTCAACCAAACGCCCCCTAAGTGTCTGTTTGAATTTTCTATTTTTTATTTTTGTTTCTCTTTTCCTAATAAATAGAAATTAGGTGAAACATATCTTATAATAAGAAGAGCTTTTTTTCGTAATAAAAAAAGTTAAAAGCTAAAAATGCGTATGATTTTTTTTGTAAGCAAATCAACTTTTAATTTGAGTTTTTAAATAACTTTTAAGTTAAAATTTTTGTATAATCATCAAACAGTTTTTAATTTTTTTTTTTTAACTTTAACTAAAAAATAATTTTAAGAAGAAGATCCAAACAAGTTTTAAGAGGATTAATTTTTTTTTAATATTTGATTATTAAATTTTTTTAATATTTTGAGATAATTTTATTTGTTATACGTGTACAAAAAGTGTATGAGACCGGTTATGCGAAGCAGAAATTGCACCTCCCGAGTTATTGATTATCCACGTCTTCCTAAATCTGAGGCCATAAATATAGCTTCGAATTCTCATAATCACAATACGAGTTCTCCATTGCTACTCACTTTCTTCAATATTTGCATTCACACTATTTCATCTCATCTAGATCTTCAATTTCAACCCCATTCATGTTTGTTAATGATCATGTCCCTTTTCATGCTGGGCGATGATTCTTCAACCAGCTTCTTCGACCTTTCAGTTCTCTCAGGTTTTCTCTTCCCTTTGTCCCTGTAACAATGAAGTGAACACTTTTGTTTCTTTCCCTTTATCCAGAAGGAGAAGAAAACGCTTGATTGCCAATTCTGGGTATCGCAAATTTCGAAGAAAATGTAACATTAGCTTCTGTTCAATCCCCACGGACGGTGGTTCCAGTTCCAACCGAAATTGGAACGCCGAATTCGCAAATTCAACGAGAAGGGGTGCTAAAAGTTTCGTCTTGAAACGGAATTCCAATGAACTGGTTGAGGGGGATGATCATCATGAGTTGCAAGAGTCACAGGTTCAATTGGGTTCAAACTTTACCAGTTTCACTGAAGACCCAATTGTTGATAAGCTAAGAACACAATTGGGGGTGATACACCCAATGCCATCGCCTCCGATTAACCGCAACGGGGTTGGTTTGTTAGTGTTCTTTTTCTTTGTTGGGATTGTGTTTGATAAATTGTGGACTTCAAGGAGGAGGAACAAAGTTAGCAGTGAAGACAGCTTGCGTGGTGTGTGGCCTCAGGTTCCCACAAGCTTCTCATTGTTTCTGGAAAAGGATTTGCAGAGAAAAGAGTCAGTTGAATGGGTGAACATGGTGCTTGGAAAGTTATGGAAGGTTTATAGAGGTGGACTTGAGAATTGGATTATAGGATTGCTTCAGCCTGTTATTGATAACTTGAAGAAGCCTGATTATGTGCAGAGGGTTGAGATTAAGCAATTCTCATTGGGGGATGAACCATTGTCTGTTAGGAATGTTGAGCGCAGGACTTCTCGCCGGGTGAATGATTTGCAGTAAGTTTTGCTTCTCATTTGCTTTATTATGTTGTAATGTTTGAGAATAATATAAACTCTTACCCAAGTTTTGGTTAGTGGCTAAGTGATCACGAGTACAATTCTCACTGCCCCACTTTCTAGTGAAATTAAAATAAGCACAAGGTAAACCTAAAATTGGGTCTGTGTAATATCCACACTTCAAGCTCAAAATGGCTCTTGCGTGAGGGGTGTGTTAGAAAATAATATAAACCATCAAAAAGACCCCACCCAATACCTTAAGGTTTTGCGTTGAATTGTTCTTTTTATGGTATCAAAGCTTCATTAACCATAAGGTCACGAGTTTGATACTTATCGCCTCTTGTCAAATTAAATAAGCATGAGGTAAAACAAAATAAAAATAAAAATTGGACCTATGCAATATCCACGTTTCTAGCCCAAAGAACTCTTACGTGAAGGGGGTGTGCTACAGAATAACATAAACCATTAATAATGCCCTCACCCAGTTTTGGGTTGAAGTGGTGTTTTGGGTTGTAGTAGTTCTTTACATATATCAGTAACTCTTGATAGCTGTATGTTCATTTTTTTTCTTCTTCTATTCTTATTATCTACTAAAAAGATATTTTCCTTTTTCAATGAAATCATTTTTCATTATTGGAATAGTACTCATCAAAATGATATCCAGTTCAGGTTCAGTTATTGTAATGAGAGTTTTAAAAAGATGTGAAGACAATGTCATGGTTGGACGATAAAATATTGATAGAGGTTTTGTAAAAAAATTGATGGAAGCTTTCTTTCAATGAAGCTAGCTTCTCAATCTCAAGGCTTCACTTTTGGTAATGGGAAATCCTGTAAATGATATGTTAAGTATGAGTTAGAATTTTCTTGGTGGCATCAGACAAGTGAATAATTGTCACTATTCACTATGTTGTGTTCTTCCATTATATTTTATGTGGGTTATTATGCTTAGAGTACAATCAGTAGCAATCTAATGTAGGATCTTGGTATTTGGTTGGTAATAGCTCAAGTTAAATGGTTCACTGTCCATCAAACACTTAATTGCTGCTTTGGAAATGTTTTTGGTCATATCTTATGTAATATGGACCGGTTTGGACTTTAGAGCATTTTATTAATTATTCTTCTGGATTTATCTTGCTGAGATCCAAGACTATAAATGTGTTTTTAGGTTTGTGCTATCATATTGTTAAGATAACCAATTAATTTTCCTTTGTTTTGTCTAGGTACCAGATAGGCCTTAGGTACACTGGTGGTGCTCGCATGCTGTTAATGCTGTCTCTGAAATTTGGCATTATTCCAATTGTTGTACCTGTTGGTGTTCGAGATTTTGACATTGACGGTGAACTTTGGGTAAAATTACGACTAATACCAACTGCGCCTTGGGTAGGAGCTGTTTCATGGGCTTTTGTTTCACTTCCAAAGATCAAGTTTGAATTGTCTCCATTCCGTTTGTTCAATATAATGGGTACGTAATACTTTTGTGGGTCTAAGAAATTATATTCTTTATCTTTACTTGGATCTGAATGCTGCCGTACACAATCCAACTAAAAACAGTTTTTGGGAACTTGATTCCCCAAATAATAAAAAGTTCTGTGCAAAGTTATAGGAAAATAAAAACAAAGGAACCCTCATGGTTTATAACTGATTATTTAGGCAACTTGCTTATGCTTTTAAATTGATAATTAATTGGTTTTCTTTATTATATAATATATACTATATAGACTGCCCGAAGGGTCTGATAAGCGTAACAACAGAATATGTTGTTTTTTGTTTATATTTTATTGATGTATGTTAGAAGTCACTGCCTGCCATGAAAGCTGATATTTGATGAAAGGAAACTAATATTTAATTTTGAACATTCCGCAATCTTTTGTTTATTAATTTTACGCCAATTCTTTTGACATTGGATTTACACATGATAGTTGGTGCTGAAGGGAGTTCCATATTGGTTGGGAAGGTTGTTTTAAATGGTTATAAGTCATATTTGGATACCTCCTCTTGTGAATTTGAAGCCTTAAAAACCAATTTAACCAATGAACTCCTGGATCCTCCCCTTTCATCACCAACTGTGTCAAGAACCAACTATCTCGAAAACTTAAGCTTTTAGGTTAAGGGTCATGAATCGTTTTATATAATAACATGCTCTCTCATGCAAAAGCCCTTTCGCCACTTGAAGCATGGAAAATCCATAGGTTACCTACGTTGTGCTGAAGTTAAACTTTTTTTAGAAGTATGTAAGCGTCAAGGATCAAACTCTTGATCACTTGGACATAGATGTTTCGATACCAGGTGAAGAAAGAATACTCCCTAAAGCTTAAACTATTATGTGAAGGCTCACAAATGGTTTTACATCTAATATAGTGCTTGTCTCAACTGACTTTCTATTTTTAATAACACACAAAGTTGCTGTCATTGTTTTTGATAGTTCAAAGGCAACTTATAGTCTCCTTGCTTGTCAACTATATATTTTTAAAAAGTAAGTTTGATATATTGTTGCTGACATCTATGTTCTTTCCTTCTTTTGTGCATCGTTCGGCATGATCAGCAATTCCAGTTCTCTCGATGTAAGTTCCATTTATCTTCTAATGTTATAAATTTATTACATTTGATGCTTGCGAAGCTATATGTGTGTGCACTTGTGCGAATGCATTTTGAAAGTGTTACTATTTGTGGAGTGTTAGACATGCATCTTATGATGTTACTAGTTATAGAAAGTAACTGAACTTTAGAAGCTTTGGTTACTCCTGATAGTTAATAGTAAATAGTTACATTTTTAAATTTTGAAGATGTGCTTTCCTTTGTTTCTCTTTAGTAATATTTGTTTTAAAAAATAATAATGTCAACTGCAGTGATTCTTTAAAACATTCGATGTCTTCTGAATTTAATCCATTCCAAGCCCTCTTCTTATTTATGGATTTATTATCCCAAGATTGTCTGAGAAAATTGTTTTTTTCTTTGTATTTTTTTCCAGTCACTAATTGTAATGTAATTATTTCCGCATTTCTCTTGCAGGTTTTTGACTAAACTTCTCACTGAAGATTTACCTAGACTATTTGTACGCCCCAAGCAAATTGTTTTGGATTTCCAGAAGGCAAAAGCTGTTGGTCCTGTTGCTGATGATGTTAAATCTGGAGAAATGCAAGAAGGAAACAAGGATTCTGTTGGTGAACTATCTGTTACTCTTGTGGATGCTCGAAAGCTTTCTTATATCTTCTATGGTAAAACTCTATTGTGTTGTGTTTGCTTTTAAGTAAATTGTTGCATTTTTTTTTTTGGATTATTCAGACTTGATTGGTGTATTCTTCTCTCTTTAATAGTTTTTTGTTTTGCATTCTCTCGAGTAATTTATGTTCTGAGGGCATATTTGTTTTGTCTTCTAATATTCTTCGGTTATTGGGTTCATACATAACATTTTTGTTTGATATATCAGTGTCAATAAACATATTACAAATATAGCCCGCAGATGTTAGATGAAATTTGTATATATGAACCCTGATTTGAACTTTCATAAGTATTAATTCATGTTAGGATAATAGTGGAGCATATGATGCATGATCTCTATGGAAGTGGTGAAAGAAAAGAAAAAGGAAATGTTTAACCTTTCTGATATAGTTGCCTGCTTTGAAACAAACGATACCTCAAGTAGCTTGTCTTCATCCTGAAAGGTACAAAAAGAAAGTAATAAAACATAAAAAGTAAAATTGAAGTGGAATGTTAAGTTGATGTTCTCGTACGTAGAGGTTTTAAATCATAAAAACCACCACTCCCCATTAAGACCCGACAAACGAGAGTAGGAGTGAGGGTAATTCTTGTAAGCAGCCTTATCATTGAATATTTGCAAAGTGACCTTCCACTCACATCTGAGGAAAAGTTGTGATGATCTTTCCAGCATGAAATTATGTGTCGATGACAATTATGATGAAATTTTAAACATGACTGCAGTATTAGACAGAGTTTTGACAATTCAACTTTTATTTCATTCATACATAATATCATTTGTTACTTGTATTAACATAAATAACTGTATAGGTTCAGCTCATGTATTCATCCATTCTGATTTGTGAGTATTTACACGTCTCGTGTTTCCTTTGTTCTCTCTCTCTTATTTACTTGTGAAACACTATTGTTTTCAAACATTTAATTTTGAACTACATAATACTTGTGAGTATTTAGGTTTCTATATAAGCAGACTTTGGCTATGTGTGCTTCATTTTGTCCTATCTGCATTTTCTTTCTTACTGGTTTTAGTTTCAACTAAAACTTAATTATGAAATAGTGTGCATACTCAATTTTTGTTCTACTGTTTTGTCAGGCAAGACAGATCCTTATGTTATTCTCAGCCTAGGAAATCAAATTATACGCAGCAAAAAGAACAGTCAAACTACTGTCATTGGGGCCCCTGGAATGCCAATTTGGAATCAGGTGTTTTTTTTGGATTTCCAGATTTGTCTTTGTTTATGACATTTCTATATTTTTCACCATACTCATGTGTTCTAGATCTCCAGGATTTTCATATGCTTGTTACCAACCCTAAAGAGCAGAAGTTATGCATCCAAGTAAAGGATGCTTTGGGACTTTTAGATTGGACTATTGGTACGGGAGAGGTATGTGTTATGTGCGATACCTTAAGTATGTTGGTGATGTTTTATTTCACATTTGCTCTACTTATAGTTTTATACTTCTTTCCCAGTCTACTACGCATAGATATGGTTAGTTGTTGGATTTTCTTTGGGATCTTGCTGCTTAGCTTCCAGTCTACCTTTCGATCCATACTGCTGCTCTATTTGCTAACATTCTAATATCAATAACATGTGTTTTGTGGTCACTTTTTACAAATATTTTCTCATTGCATAGTGAGGTTCCGTGACTCTTGTACTAGTCATTATTATTTCACCTAGAATCCTTGTCTTAAGCAAAGAAGTGCTTAGCAAATTCTTGCTCATTCCGCTCTTGTTGACTTTGCATTGCTTTTCTTTGATTGACTTTCTGGCTTTTAATTATAAATCCAGTAGTAAGCTAGCTGTTGATCAGCAGTGTCTCTCTTGTGCTGTTGGAGCTCTGATAGTCTTTTGTGGTCGGCTGGAACTGGTTGTAGTTATGAATTGAACTGGGTTAAGCTGAATAAACCTCATAGAATTGGTGATTGTGGACGAGTGAGATTTCTTTTAGATGGGGTTGTTGATTGTTTTTTAGGTATAGATTCTTAAATTATTTAATCTTATTGTGGATTGCTTTTTACTTGGACTGACTTCTCAGGTAGTAGGTATAGGTACACTGAATGTTTCGGAGTTTATCAGGAATGGATGTGTATTTGGAACGTTTTTATTCTAATTTTCTGCTATACCTTGTCACAGAAAGAACTGAAGCCTATAAAAATAAGAAGTCCAATGGCTGGACGTAGGTTAAAAAATTGAAGTGAGAAATTGACATTTCTCCGTCATCCACCTTCACTGTGCTGGGCTTTATAGCCAACATTTTTCCTGTTGCCATGCCATGAGGATTATAGTATAGTTCCCATAAAATACCACACCATTCTGCCTTGGTGGTCCGCATTTACAAAATGGAATATTCTGAATGGTCTGAGAATATATTTATTTTTATGTAAATAGAGTAGTTATTGCAAAGTAAATTTTTATCTTCCTTATCCCCTGCATCAAAGTTGGACATGTGTAGTCCAATCTAATATAATGTTTTCAAGGTAAAATAGTAATGTTTATTTCTATTGTTGTTATTTAAGATTGTACAAAATTTTCATCTGCCATATTGAGTTAATGTGTTGAAAGTTGAATTGGAAAATGGAAATTTATGGTATTTCAGAGTTAATTTCCGATTTTACCATACGTGTATGCTTCTTAATTGAAAATGTTTTCAGGTTGATTTAGGATCTCTTAAAGACACTGTACCAACAGACAGAATTGTGGTTTTACAAGGGGGTTGGGGATTTTTTGGTAGGGGCTCTTCTGGGGAGATATTAGTACGGCTAACATATAAAGCATATGTGGAGGATGAGGAAGATGACAAGGCTGAGGTGGATTCCATTGATATAGATGCTTCAGATGATGAGTTGTCTGATTCAGAAGAAGCAAATGTCACTGATGAGAAGAATGTAAGAGATTCTATGTACGAAACAGATAAAGAGTCATTTATGGATGTTTTGGCAGCATTAATTGTTAGCGAAGAATTCCAAGGGATAGTAGCATCTGAAGCAGGCTTTACCAAACCTTTGGATAATGATTCAAATAGAGGGTCTAAAGTATCAAAATCTCCTGTTGCCAATGCTGAATCAATTCCTTCTAGTTCTGATAATTCTGAAGGTTATGGAGGTACTGCGTTCTTATAATCTCTACTTGAACTATGTATAACATGAATATGTAATTACCTGAAGGTTTATAATAAGATTTAGAAAAGCATATCGTGTTCATAATGACAATTAAAACTTCAATTGCAGGTTCAGCCTTATTTTGGCTTGCTGTGATTACTAGTGTAGCGCTACTAATAGCTGTCAATATTGGTGGTTCAAATCTCTTCAATCCTTAAGATGGTGTTCTGCTGCTTGCAATCTTGGTCTTGGTTCAGTTTAAGTAATTCTAAAGCCCCTCTTATTGTTTCCTAACTTCAACTTTAGTTATTATCAAAGAAGCCTGTATTAGGGTAAATAGACTATCATGTTGCATGAGAGAAAAATTCTTTCATGCACAAACAAATTAGAGGAGAGAGAATAGAAAAGAGAGAAAAAATATAGAGTTGGCCCCACCTGTGATTTGTGTGTGTAGGAGAAAAATCTTCTCTAATGTATCATAAGAAAAGATTAACCCATTAAGGATATACTTTTTTACTTTTATCATGTGGTTTTTGCAAATGTATCACATCTGTGTTTGGTTATCCATTCTGATGCTTGATTTGGAGTACCTCATTAGTGTTTTACAATTGGTTAGTCATCTTTCTTTAGTGTTCGATAAAGTACCACCAGAAAATAAATTTACTAGAATATTGGCTGAAAATATCTTTCTTTTATCGGAAGTAAAATAATCTGGGATAAAAAGCTGCTGGTTACACAGATGGACTACACTCTTGAACATGGATCACAAGTACTCTCAATATTTGTATGTACATGAAATAATTTCAGTTCGTGTTACAATATTGAGCACTTCCAATGTAAAGTTACTGCTTACATGTTATGTTCATACTTGTCATTGTGTTTATTTGCTGCTAAAAGATGCTAATTCTAGTGGGTTTTTTTTTTCTCTGGCAGGTTGGGCAGTAGATTATAATCAGATAATTTTTCTCTGATATACTAGTATAGTTTTTGTATATTCGTGAGTACTGCTGATGGAGGAAAGCATCTACCGGCGGCGCATGATTTTTTGGCTTCGTTTTGTGAGAGCCACAAATTTTAATTCGGCTTAAATCTGTACTTACTGTTCATATGAAGGATTTTGTTCCTCTATAAAATAGAATAACAGGTTTCTCATTCTTGCCTGAGACTATTTTGATAAACCTCGCCATTCCAATACACGTTGAAGAATGATTGTTTGAGGGTTAAAAATCACAGGTCAGAATCATAAAGGTAGTTCTATTCTAATCTAATGTCTAGATCACGCTAACCAATCTTCTACATGCTTGCGTATGAAATGTAGGATCTGGTTGTATTAGCTTTTGAATATAGTACATTTCGGCTGCAGCTCTCTTTCTTTCTTTTCTTCTTCTTTTTCTCTCATTATGTTGGAGGTTAAAATTCTTAGTCTTGAGTTAGAGAGGATGAAATGTGTCTTAATAAATGATGGAACCTTCTATATAAAAACCACACCTGAGTCATCAAGCCAAGAGATTTGAGCTTCCTCGCTGCTGGAGCTTCTTTTTGTACTCCATGATGTTTTCTGATAGTTTTCAAGTGGAGAGAATCAATATGCTCATAATTACTATAAACCAAGCTAATGAACTAATAATATTTAATCTTGAATTATATTAAATATATCATTTTCATGTTTGCATATATTAGACTATATTAACACTTGTTACCACTAAAATGTAGCTTAAGAATCCTTCCTATGATACCCACTGAAAAGGGATGATAATAGAAAAAGGATGTTCTATGAGAATATTAAAAACCCGTATAGGGAAATATCCAATGTTATGTTCATCCTAATGTTTCAATTAGAGTGAAATTCACAACTATCTTCTTTTAATAATATCTCAACAACTTCAAAAGAAAGTTCCGACGAATAGAAAGGTTGCCCTTTTGCCCTTTTTCACAATATAAATAGCTATTTGTTTTCGCTAAATAGCTATTCGTGGTCAAATACCTAACCGTACATGAAGTGCTTTAACGAATATTTTTTTAAGGGTAAAAAAATTGCATTGAAGAAATTCAACCTAAAATGTTCCAGCAAGCTAGTAAGTTACAAATTTGGGGTAGTAAGTTTTTTAAATCAGAAACTAACAAAAAGCCATCGTTTATGAACTGTTCATACTTTTCTCAGCAAGCCGTAAATCGGAAAAAGCTAATCTATAAACTCAAAGACTTCAGAACAACAAATGCAATGAATGTACCTGGTGATACTAATGCGAACAATCAATTACTCCACAAGATGGTGAGATTGCATAACACTTACCCACAAACAACAGTTAAAAATAATTTTGGTACAAGTTGCTATATATACTCATTCTCTAAATCTTTTGTGAAGCTCAATTCTAAACAGCAATACACGGATAATGAAAATTCCATCTAGCATCTCAAGTTCATGCTAAGACATGCCAGAGATATTATATAAGTGCCCTTCTATGTCTGGAATAAAACCTTTCTCCAGCATTTCAAGTCTAACTATATCATAAGTAATACGATTTGGGTTTAAACCCTTTTCCAACATCTCATTAAGAAGCCCATTTGCATCCCCTAGCTTGCCTGCTATACAAAATCCTTTAATCAACACATTATATGTAACAATATTAGCTCGCTTCCCTTCTTTCTCCATCCGTGTCCTCACATTCAATGCTGCCTTGAGATTTCTCTCCATACAATAGCCATCCATCAAAGTATTATATGTTACATGATTAGGTTTTACACCCACGTTGAGCATTTCATTTAGTAATTTTTCTGCCTTACTTGATTCACCGTATTTGCACCATCCATATATTAAGATGTTATATGTTACAATATCAGCTTTCAAGCCCTTGTTCTCCATTTCATTAAGAAGCTCTTTAGCAGCTCTTATGTTTCGTTTTCTGCACAAGCCTGCAATTAAGCAATTATAGGTTGAAACATTTGGAAAAACCCCTTCATCTAGCATTGAACTACACAGTGCAAATCCTTCATCCAGCAACCCATCCTTGCAGTAAGCATCAATCAATGTATTGAACGTTGTTGCATTGGGAACCAACTCTTGCTTAGTTATATCATCAAAGAGTTTTAATGCTTCTTCCATCATCTTCTTCTTACAACACCCATTAATAAGAGCATTATAAGTAACAATATTTGGCTTCAAACCCATGCTCATCATCTTATCCCGCAAAGCAATAGCCTCATCTAGCTTCCCATTATTAGATAGACCATTTATCAGTGAGTTACAAGTAACTAAATTAGGTTTTAGTCCCTGCCTTTGCATCTCTTCAAAAGCCTTCTTTGCAAACAGCACATTCTCATCCTTACAAAACCCGTCAATGAGAGTGTTAAAGGTGATCTCATTTGGACAAATTTTATTAGCAAGCATTTCTTTCAAAATAGCATCAGCTTTGTGCATTTTTCCAGCAGTGCCCTTCTTGCAATGCCCATCAATAAGAGTATTATAAGTAACTACATTTGGTGAAAATCCCCAGGCCTTCATGTCTTCAATAACATCCTGTGCCTTATTCAACTTACCAGCTTTACAGAGACCATTAATAAAAATGTTAAATGTGGTCAAGTTAGGCTGAATTCTTCTCTTTATCATCTCCTTGTACACATGCTCCATATTCCCAATTTCATTCTCCTTCACCAAAGCACTCAACAACGGATTGCATGAATTCAACGATAACTTAAATCCATAATCTTGAGCTCGCCTAAATGCTTCACAAGCAGAGCGGAGTTCAAAATTTCTCACATATGCTAAGACCAACATATCAATTATTAGAGCATTTGCACAAGATCGATCACCACCCAACAAAAGGGAATGAAAAACAGAAGAAACTGTATGTTTCTCATTCTTAACAAACTTATCCAAACAGGACCTGACTTTAGAGTACCTTTTTGAATTTACTAGAAGATATAGAAGTTTGCCAGTTGTTTCAAGACCATATGAAAGTTTGAACTCTTTCTGAGACCATTGAAAGAACCTCAAAACAAGCTCTGAATCAACTCCAGCATTAAGCAATTGGTCAAGAAGTATTCCAGGTTTGGTCACTCTGAGATGGGTTTTGAGCTCTGACCAGTGCTGTTTATTCAACAGCTCCAAAATCCTAGATATGCTGAATGACTGGAAGATTGGACCTGTGAGTAGAAATTAGAGTATTAGCTGGTCAACAAAATTATTAGCAGACAAGGAGAGAGAGAGATTTTACACCAAAAAGGACATATTAACATTAAAACAGTGAATACATGTAAATAAATAAGTCATATTTTTTGAGATTAATGGTAAAAAAGAAAGTAAGAAGACTTAGGCCAATGGAAATTTTAAAATATATCTGTAATAGACCTAATCAGAGTATTGATGATATATACATAAAACAAAAAAGTTACAATATGAGTTGTTAAGGATATTATATCATCAAGAGCTGATACTACAAATAGAGGTGGGTAAAGGGCAGAGGGCAAACACAAGTGCACAAAGGCTCCCTGACTTTATAGAGTACGGGTGAGAATTGATTGTACGTAGTCTTATCCTTGAATTTTCCAAAGAGACTATTTTCCTAGACTCAGAACCAGTGACTTCACAAAAGGAGCAACGTTACCACTTACACCAAGGCTCACCCTCATATTTACCAATATTTAAGAAAAAGAGTAAAACCTTCTACATTGCATGGATACATATATTTGGAACTTATTTAGAAACAAGTACAACTTCCAAGAGATAAAAGCTTTATCACCTTGTATAGATCCAGCAAGTTTTCCATTAGTCATTGCTCCCGGTATACTTCCTTTGATACATCTGTTAATAAATAGTAACAACGGTCATAGACTCATCGCTGAAGGTGAATAAAAACTGCAATAGTTTTTTTTTTTTTTTAGTACAAAAACTGCAATAGTTTTTGAATGTATTAGAAGAAGAACCATCCAATACTACAAAAGTTTATAGAGAAATAGCTGTTAATATACATACATGATACATACTTATGTGTGTGAGTGCGTGCGCGCGTGTATATATATTGTTGTTATCCAGTTGCATTAAGTAAAATTGAAATAACACATAATGAATTAAAACCATAGAGAAAGCGTAATGGTGTAGCAGACATACATGCAGCAGAATTTGGAATGGAAGAATCCACATGCACCGGTGGCTGTGCCGCGTGTCGCAACCACGCACGTGAAGCCATTAAAACTGATCTGCATTTAAAACAATCAGTATTATTATATATTAGACAAAACGAAACCGGGCAATCATTTACAAGTTTCGGATATTTTTCACAACAGCTAAGCGCAATTTCTAAAGCGAAACAGGACTTCGAAATTCGAATATAGAGCGAACTTCACGAAACTAACTGCAAATTGAACTAAACAGAACCGAGATAGAGAGAGAGAGAGGATCATAACCAGATTGTGAAGAATGAAGACGAAGGCACAAGGGTGAATTTAGACGGAAGCAGTTGAGAGTTGAGAGTGTGAGTTGAATCAGGGTTTTGAGTTGGGAACACTCAGATGATCACCCAACACCGTTAATAAAGAAAGAGACTAAAGAATATAATATTAATGATGAGAGATATTTTAATTATTAAATTAATTTATTTTTAGAAAAAATTATGAATGGTTTATCGAAAGTTATAGTTTTTAATATTGCATATCAATTTTGTACCAATGAGAATAATACGTCTTATGTTAAATTTTAATTATAATTTATTAATTAATTATCATTTTTCAATAAATTATGATCGACATATATATATATATATATATATATATATATATATATATATATAAAAGTTATAATTAAAATTTAATATTTTTACACCAACATAAATTCATCTTATCCCATTCCTAATAAATAATTTATGGAAATGTTATTCATTTTATGTGAGAGTAGTTATCTCATGTTATAAAGAGAAATCATGTGAGATTTATCATTAAAAGATAAAAAAATGGGAAAAGTTCACCAATGTTCTTGTAGTTTGTTTCAGAATCACCTATGCCCATGTGATTTTTTTTTATCACATATGCCCCTATGATTTGCAAAATGGTATATTTTTATCACATATGTCCCTGTGGTTTTTTATTTTTTACAAAGCACAGGAATATATGTGATAAAAAAACCACAGGAACATAGGTGATTCTGAAACAAATCAAGGACATTGGTAGACTTTTCTCAAAAAAAAATAAATGAAATTCTCAAAATAAAATAACATAAGATAATAATCTGAGTAGTATTTCTTAATAATATACCCTTCCGTTACGTAACTTCAATAATAAAACAAGTTATTGTAAAGTGACAAAATTAATTAATATTTTGAGTCGCAATATGGTCCGAGGAAGCTAAGCTAGCCCTAAAACAGAACATAACACCTTTGGGTGCATTACATTACATTTCCATCAGTTTTCAAAAACCCAAAACGTGGACTCACAATCACTCTTCACTCCTTCCGTCCAAATTCACCCTAACCCCTTCGCCTTCATTCTTCACTCTCTGGTTACGATCCTCTCTCTCTCTCTTACTCTCTGCTTTGTTGAGTTCAATTTTTAGTTCCTTTCTCGAAACTCGCTCTATATTCGAGTTTCGTTACGATTTTCCTTCGTGAAAACTACCGTATGCAATATCACACTGTTTGTTTTGAATGCAGATCGGTTTTAATGGCTTCACCTGCGTGGTTGCCACAGGAGGCACAGCCACCTGTGTCCGTTGAAACATCTCTACCACTACCTGTGGGTTCTGCTCCTTCAACTCCTGCTGCGTGTATGTCTACTACACCTTTACGTTTTCTCTATGATTTTAATTTATTAAGTGTTATTTCAAGTGATTCAATTGAAGCACCTATTGAATGCAACTGTTTTTGTAGCTCCAGCATCGGCCACATCATTCTCTCACTGCGTGTATCAAAATGTGAACGCTTCTGGGAATTCTCAGCAGTCGTCGACACATTCTGTTAGTATAGTACCGAGTTGTTTGTTTGAATGGGTTTATGGTGATGTTGTAATTCAATCACGGACATGTGTTATTTACACTCTTGTTTTGTTGACTGTATTTGCTGTCTTTTTATGCAGGTGATGAAGTCTAATTCGGCAGTGAATCCCATGGTTTTTCAACCTCCGGTTCCTGGTCTCTCTTCACATGCTCCACCGTCATTTTCGTATAATATTTCTCAAAGTGGTGCAGCTTTTTCTAGCAATCAGCATGCTCCATCTAACACGGTAAGGCTCGTACTCTTACATTAAATTGAAGAGGGTGCAAGCTCTGAGATTGAACAGAAAGAAGGGAATAAGTTTGGGTAATTCCATATTTAAGGGAAATTTATCAAAACCTTAGGCTATGCTTGTTTTGAGTAGGTGGAAATTTTGGAATGAAGATTAGTTGACATTTGATGGGTTTGACAACAACATGGGATAGTTGAAAGTCTCCACACTATAAAGTTTGGCAACTCCTCCACTATGAAAGTGATTTTCCTCCCTCTACCGAGCAACAATGAGTTATGAGTGAATATCAAAACCTACTCAAACATCCTCGCGGTCAACTAAGTAACCATTCACGAAGGCTGGGCCTGGCATAGATTTCAGATGTTCTTTAGTGAAATGAAATGCACTTGAACTAAAGGATGTAAGTAACTGTAATATAGACAAAACTTTAAATGATATAATAATGGAAATTTTGGTTAATAACATAATGCCAGGTGATGTCATCGTATAATAAGTTAATAACATAACAGGGGCCTATCCGTGTTACTTTTATCTTAGGTTTTCATGCAACCGTGGGAAACAGAAAAGATGCTGTCATATTCAAATTTGTGATTTGAGTACATTCTGACAGTCTAAAATGAAGAATGGATATCATGTAATATTTTGGTGATGAGTTGTCAAATAATGGCTGCTGAGCATTGGCATCATGTAATTGGTGCAAAAATAATTTTTTCAGGAGAGAAGCTCAATAATAATAATTTCCTCCCACTTCTATTTGTTTATTGCAGAACATGTTGGACTCTGTTGCACAGGATGTTAATAAAGTGTCATCTGCGTCAGGTATCCTACATTCTGTACCTGGTCATACTTCTATATCTGCAATGCCTCCACCTGCTGACCCTAACTATCGGCCGGCTACTTCATGGATGCCAACTGCCCTACCTTTTCCTATGCATCCTATAATGCCTGGAACTCCAGGGAATCCTGGCCCCCCTGGATTAGCTTCAGCTGCGATAATATCCTCCAATCCAGCTGCTCCATCCACAAGCACAGATTCTTCAGTACTCAGACAAAATGTGCCTGCTTCTGCCATTGCATCAGATCCTACCGCCCTACAGAAAGGCTTATCCTATCCATCCATACCTGCCATGGTTGCTTCCCCCCATGGACCTTGGTTACAGCCTCCGCATATGAGTGGTGTACTTAGGCCACCATTTCTTCAATATCCTGCTGCTTTTCCTGGTCCCTTCCCATTCCCTGCACGTGGTGTTACTCTCCCAGCTGTTCCAGTACCTGATTCTCAACCTCCTGGAGTTACTCCTGTGGGTGCTGCTACTGGGGGAACTTCTGTGTCTGCTTCCAGTAATCAGCCGAGAGGAACAGCTGGTTTGCAGACAGAAGTAATTTCAGGCCATGCTGGTATGCACACTGCGAGTTACTGCTCCATTGACATGTGTTGGCTCATTGATATGGTTTTAAAATACAAATCACTGTCCTTACATAAGTGGTTCTTGTTGTTGTAGATGACAAGAAAAAATTCAATGCTGTTGTCACGCAGAATGAGGATGTTGCTAATGATCAAGTAGATGCCTGGACAGCCCACAAGACTGAAGCTGGAATTGTATACTATTATAATGCCTTGACACGACAATCAACGTATGATAAACCTGCTAGCTTTAAAGGAGAGGTACTCATACTTACTACCTACTCTCTTAGCAGATCTCTTACCTTATCCTGCATCATTAAATAATTTTCTAATATCACAAAATGAAATATATTTTAATGTAGTTTATGTTATTAGTTTATAATATTTGAAGATTTAGATAATGGATATTGGATACCCAAGCTGATGGGGAAAAAAATCAGATACTAGATATTCGTGGGCTAAAACCTTAACGTCGTAACCGTAGAAAATCATTTTAGATGCCTATTTTTTACTTTCAAAAATTGTCTACTATCATCAATAGTACAATTTTTTATCCCTATTTAATTTTATTTTAAATTCATTTATTGATATTTTGGATGTGTATGCAGCCTCACCAAGTTTCTGTGCAGCCAACTCCAGTTTCAATGTAAGTTTGTTGCTTTTCTTCTGGTGGCAAACTACCTTATTGTAAATGTCATTTTGTTTTTTGTTTTGCACTTCTAACTCCTAATATATTTTGGGTTTTTTATTTCTCTTTTCTACTTTTCTCCTATTGAACTTGCTTTCTAAGAGGCCTATAAAAATTGTCCTTTAGTACTATATCTTTAATAAAAAATGTTATAATTCAACTGTTTATAGGTCTTTGCAGGTGATGGTATTGTCAAAAACTCTAATAGTTTAAAAGTAAGGAAAGAGGATGGTGGTGTGCTAGTGAAATTAAAATCTTAATATGTGGGCGCTAAACAATAAATGTGACTATACAGTTGTAGTTTCCTGAAAAATTGAATTCTCTGCAACCAATATTCCTAGGGAAGTTTCATGCATTAAATATAGAAATATGGATTTATTGGTGTGGAAGGGTTTTATGGTCCTATAGATAAATCAGTAAATCCGAGGGATTTTATGTATAGTGCAAAGAAACCATAGTTGCAAGAAATTTGACTACATATTACGTCTTGCTTTAGTGAATCATTCAGTAATGAGAGGATATTGATGAGATTTTTTGTTCATGAGTTAGGTGACCTTTTTATTTTCTCACTTACATTTTTTTAATTTCTTCTGTCTATGTGACTTACTGTTATTTGTTATTGTGGGGTGTGCGTTACTTAGAAACAAAGATTTGCAATATTACCTTCTAATCTTTTGTCATGGTTTCCTATTATAGGGTGGATTTGCCTGGTACTGACTGGCTGCTGGTCTCTACTAGTGATGGGAAAAAATATTACTACAACAACCTAACCAAGGTATGATTCATATATTAACAACTCAACTTTATGATCTAAGTCATTTTTCTTGTTCTCCTGTCCGTTTCCTTGAGTACTTGTCTTGCTAGGATGAATTGCACCTGTATATGTTCTGACATAACAATGCCTGATTAGCTTGTTACCCTTTGCTTTATTACCTCTGCTTCTAATTATGCATTTTTAAATTGTTATTTGCATCATTGTGACAACTTCCCCTTGTTTTTCTCTCTATAACTTTATATTATTATTACTAACAGTTGTAATATTATTGAAATGTAATGAAAAGAAGAGGAATAATGTTACTTTTCCACGAGATTAGATTGGCAGGTCCGTATGTGAGAAAAATCATTAGATAGCAGGTTATGAACTTCTCTAGTAGAAGGATGACTTGAGAAAGAAAGGGAAAGAAACAGGAATAACATGAATTCAGCCTTTTCTCATCAGGTGGGATTGGCTACATGGATCAAACGACCTCAATAAATCCATTTAAGGTCTTTCTTTTTTACGTTTGATCATGAAGAAAGGGAAAGAAAAGAATAGGAAAATAGAAATGTTTTTAATGTGATTTGGTCGAAGTTGAAGCAGTGTGCAAAAGTTCGGATTATTGATTTTTGCCACTGTACTTGATTTGGTGTAGGATAGGTTTTCTTTGCTTCACTATGGTGTTGTGTTGGCGGTGCTTCTTGGTGTCTGAGGGATTTGCTTGTTGGATATTTAATACTGTTAGAGAGAGAAAATCATTCTCGGGCACCACCTAATAGCTTAAGTTTCAAAAAGAATTCGTCTCGATGATGGCCAAATGCTTAGGAGTTAGGAGTATGCTTCTTGGTACCCCGATTCTTCATCATAAGCTAAATATCTTTGCAAGGTAAAGTGGTGCTAATCATGTCCAAAGGACACGTGTGCGAGTGTGTATTAGAGATTAGAGATGTACAAACCATTCTTGGGCCTAGCATTAGCTATGGAAATCAGATTAGGAGTTCAAAAGTATATTTGGGGACATGTGGGAATTCCAAAGCTTCGTTTAAGTTAATTCTTTTGTTTGTACAACAGTTATTAATAGAATTAACAAAATAGTTTATGACAGATTCACCTTCCTCACACTGTTCTTTACCTTTACATGTGTATAATGTGTAGGTCACAATCTGAAACAGGATTAAGTAATTTCTGCATTGTAAAATATTTACTTTTATATGTAACAACCTTTTTGGGATTTTTTATCAGCCCTGGGTGGGTCCTACCTTGGAGTAGGTTTTTTTGTTTTATTTTGATGCTTTTGGTAAAAGCTGGGAGGCCAATTTTGATATTTCTAATTTTGGAAATCATCCAAAATATTGGTAAATAAATCAATATAATATTGACACATTAGCCACTCTTTCATTAAGTTTACTAAATAGGAAATATATTCAATAGAAGTTCTTAAATTCTAATCTTTGCTAAATTATATTAATATATATGTACTGTTAATACTTTTCATTTAAATTGTGATACCATTTCTGTATTATTTCATTTGTTTATTCTTTTGTCTTTTGCTCTCTGTTAGACAAGCTGCTGGCAAATCCCAAATGAGGTGGCTGAATTAAAAAAGAAGCAGGATGGTGAAGTTACAAAAGATCATTTAATGTCAGTTCCAAATACTAATGTATTATCTGATAGAGGGTCTGGAATGGTTACTCTGAATGCTCCTGATATTAAAACTGGTAGTCGTGATGCTGCAGCTCTTAAACCCTCTAGTGTACAGAGCTCATCATCAGCACTGGATTTGATCAAGAAGAAGTTGCAGGACTCAGGAACACCTGTTGCTTCGTCATCTATTCCTGCACCATCAGTCCAAACAGGATCTGAATCAAATGGTTCAAAAGCAGCTGAATCTACAGCTAAAGGCCTGCAAATCGATAATAACAAAGATAAACAAAAAGATGCTAATGGTGATACTAACGTCTCTGACACATCCTCAGATTCAGAAGAGGAAGATAGTGGACCTTCAAAGGAGGAGCGCATAACTCAATTTAAGGTATATCTCTTTTTTTTTCTTTTTCTTTGAGCTGATATAGTTTCTTGTCCATTTCTTTTACTTTGTTGTTTTTGTTTCTGTTATGAAGAATCCTGATACTCCTGCCCTGATCTCATTATATATTTTTAAATATGCTAAAATCATCACATGAGATATACCTATGACTCCCCCCTTCTTTGGATTTTATTTGCTGCTTTTATTTTTTGTGATTTTATTGTTTTTAATCATCAAAAATAGTTTATATGTCCTTTTCTTAATTTGGGTTTGTCAATTGCCAACCCCGACTAGTTTTGAATAAAGGCGATGTTGATGTTGAATCATCAAAAATAGTTTATGGAAGATTGTTAAATTGCTGCATATTTGCATTTAGTTAAAATACACTATCACACCGTTTGTGTAGAGATTTAAATTTTGGGGGACAACTAGTGCATAATTTTGCTTTCTTCCGTAGTCATGCTACATGTTCTAGAACAGTTGTTTTTTTTTTTTTTTTTTTTTGGGGGGGGGGTTCTTCCATGCAGTTGGTAATTTGGGTTAGAAAGGAAGGATGATCTCTATTCTTTGTCATGCTTTGGGACAAGATTGTTTTTTCTATGGTGTTCACTGTTCAGCATGTGGATCTCCTTGGTAGATTGGCGTAGGGATTGGGGAGCTAATTTTGGAATTTGACCTAATAACTTTGTTTGTGTTTGGTGGCAAGCTTTCTTAGTAGTTTAGTTGAAGCCCTGAAGGAGGAATCCTTATTCTCCCTCCTTCCATAAGCCTGCTTACCTTTCAGTAATAAGCTATTCTATAATAAAAAAATATATTGGTGTACAAAATGATACGTGAATTGTTTAGATTTTGAGGGAGGGTGACTTCATTTATTATGGGTACCAATCGTATTTGCATGAATTCCAAAAAAAGAAAATGAAAGAAAAAGTAATCTAGGTGATGTGGAATAAAAACCCTTGGATTAAATCTGTGATGCACTAGAGATATATTGAGAGAAAAGAATGGTCTACGAGATCTGAAGCACATGCAAAGAGGGCTTGTCTTCTGGTTGAACATAGGTGAAATAGTAGAAAACCTGTTTTCAAAGAAGACTGAACTGTCCTGTTACCGCCATTAGAGACCCATTTATGTAGCATAGAAACCCTAGTGAATAACAAATCCTAATGCATAGAACAGGTGTAATCTTATTCTGTTATTCGTCTAAAGTAACTTTTGAGAATTTAATTGATAAATAAGATATAATAACAGTGCTACAGTACTTCAGTTTTGTTTCATGAAAAATAGTAATCTCCAGTAGCTTAAACAGGATCCCAACTCTTTGTCTTGCATCAATAGGCATACATGCCTTTGGCTTTATGGTGCATTTCGTTGGACTTGGAGCTAATGCCTATAGCTCTAAGAGAGGCTCTCTATTTTTCCTATTGCTCACTGACTTGTCTTCCTTGCCTCTTCTTGGTGTACAGTGCGTGGTTCTCTGAGATTTATACTGAAGGATTTGAAGGATTTATTTATTGAAGTCCTGGCTCTTCTTTATTTTTTCTCTCTTCTGATTTTTACTATTTAATGAAATATATTTTCTGTCGTTGTTCTTTCCCTTTCTCTGTGGTAAACTTATTCTATAAAAAAAGTTAAAAAAGGGTCTTTCAAAGCACTTTTATGTCTCACTCAATAGCAGAGGTTAGATTTCAATTTGTTTGATTGTAAGACATGGTGTTTCCAAGTCCATCGATTGTTAAACTGGATTAGAAGTTTGATTGATTGTTTCTTGATGAGGCAAGAGTCTGAAATGAAAAATCAACTGACTGATAAATTTGTTCGCACATGTCCAAGAGAAGATGCTTGAAGTCTTAGAAGAACCTGCCTATGCATCTGCTCTTCAACACATAGGAAAAAAGAAGAGGATATAGCAGTGATACTGTAAAGAACCAATTCTCCCAAAAATTTAAACTGTTGGGTGAAGACACATAAATAATTTTATATTATAACTATAGTAGGGATGTATTTCAGAGCTCATATATTGGTAGTTTGACAGCTGACATGTCTAATTTCACTAACCAAATGAAATTCTCGATTATATGAAATGGAATCCTTTCTTACTGCATTATTACATATATATAAAATTGATAATAAATTTTGCTCTGAATAATTTTTTTTGTGTTCTGGTCATATTCAAATGTGTTCTATGTAGGGCAATACACTCCATGAACCATGATTTACTCTCAAATGAGCCTTATTTTATATGTAATATTATTTTGTGTTTATTTGTGCCTATGCATTTTATAGGAGATGCTTAAGGAGCGAGGAGTGGCACCATTCTCAAAGTGGGAGAAAGAACTGCCGAAGATAGTATTTGATCCACGTTTTAAGGTTTTTGGAGATTACATATTTTTTATTATTTTGTTTGGGAATTTGTGGCCTATCCTGAACTGGAACTCTTATAACTGTTGGTTGTGAATGAGTTGTGTACTGGTGCAATGGTGGAATTTTGATGAACTTTGTCTTAATTCTGTTGGTGTCTGGATTGATATCCATTTTGGAGCTATGCTTTTCATGTGTAAATTAGTAGGGTCATTTAATTGACTATTCAAAAAGCGAAAATGTGGAGACACACATGTGGAATTAAGTCTATTTTTTGTACATCACTTGGTTGAATGTAGTGGATTTAAGAGAAATTTTTCTTCACATGTATAAATGTTTCAACTTAGGAGCCATATTAATGTTACATCTACTTTCAAGTTTCAAGAACTCGCTGCTTCTCACATAAAATGCTTCCTTGAAGTGTCTTCTGTCTGCAGGAATTTCATGTATTTGGGTAGTGTGTCTCATTGGACTCTTACAGGAAATTTTTTTCTTTGCAGAATTAATGGGATAGGGTTATCTTCTATGGCTAGGGGACATTTCTCTTATAGATGTGCATAGGGACCAGATAGCTCTTTTGAGACGATGTATCTAGCTTTATAGTTTAGTCTATTCTTTTTCCAAAGATGATGTCTTACCCTCCATTTTTGTGTTTTCTTGTCTCTTAAAAATATTTTTTTTCTTGTCATTTTCGGCTTATTTAGGTTGTCTTCTGCAAAAAATTTATTATAGGTAATCTGTGTCAATACAGGCTATCCCAAGTTATTCTGCTAGGAGATCCTTGTTTGAGCATTTTGTTAAAACTCGTGCGGAAGAAGAACGCAAAGAAAAACGTGCTGCACAAAAAGCTGCAATTGAGGGATTTAAGCAGTTACTGGATGAAGCGTCAGAGGTTAATATTGCCTCAGTTTGGAGCTCATTCATTTTTATTAGTTCTGTTATCAAATCTATACCTTCAATTTGTGGAATTACTGAATCCTTATAGATCATTTGTCTTTCAGGATATTAATCATAACACTGATTATCAAACTTTTCGAAAGAAATGGGGAAATGATCCACGATTTGAGGCATTGGACCGCAAGGAACGGGAGCACCTATTGAGTGAAAGGTGCCACTTAGAATTTTAATAGGATGTTTTATTTAGCCTTCTCTTTTAATTTTCTTTGCTTGTGTGTGTTTATGTGAGCAGCATCCTTTCCATTTAATTATTCGATTCTTTAGTTTTCTTGTGACTTTTTTTCTGGAGGTTTTATGACTGTGAGTCTTTGTTACTATACGTGACATTCTTAACATGAAAATCTAACATTTCATTTTCATTTTTAACTCCTTGAGTTTTCTGGATCCTTCGTCCTGTATGTTGGACGCACAAAATAGAAAAGACTGGTATTGGGTTAAAATTACCTTCACAGGCATGTTTCTGAATTGAATTATGATTGTAATGCATCCTTCAGTGGCAAACAAATTTTGGAGGTACAGTATTCAATCTGAGGAGAGACTGAGAGAGTCATTTATCTATAATGCAGTTTTTGTTTGGTACAGTATCATTTTGCAGATTTGCAACAGTGTCAGTGAATGTAAATCTATTGACTTAGAAAATGAAAGATAATGCTTGGAGTCACTACTTCAAAGATGCTGTAGGGTTGATTAACAACCTCAAAATGTGATGACTGATGACAGTGAAGACGACTAATGACAGAAACTACTGAATTCCAAGATTCAGTTATCTTTCTACTTAAAATTCCAATATTTTTTTTTCCTTCAAAATAAGAGAGTACAATGAACCTATACATGTTAATGTTTTGATCCCTCTTATATGATTTCTCTTTGATTCTATCTATTGATTTGCTGTGATACTGATGGGTTTTATGCTACTGCATACAAGTGAGTTTTTGTTAGAGACATCTAAAAATCATTAATGTAACCTCACCAAAATGCATAAGCTTTTGTGTTGAATTAATTCTTTACGTAGTATCAGAGCCTCGGTGTCACTCGTTCGATCCTCATCGCCCCGATTTAATTAATAAATAATTAAGTCTTGTGGAGTTTCTTAGCACAGGTAGATGGGTCTGTGCATTATCCACCCTTCAAGTCCAGTGAACTCTCGTGTGAGCTGAGTTCAAGTCCAGTGAACTCTCGTGTGAGCTGACAATTTGGGATGCAAATAATCATATGCTTGCTTGGTAGTTGGTACAGTAAAATTTATCTTTATTTGAGAATGACATGCATTTTATTTCATTTTCCACTCTCAAGCCTCTAGCGCATCTACCAGTCTCTAGGAGTGAAATCTCAATATTTCCTAACCCCTCTTTATATTCTACCTTCTTTTCAAGGAAGCTTGAGAGGGAGTTTCTGTTAGTGTATGTAAAGAACCAATTCAACCCAAAAGCTTAAGTTGTTGGATGAGGCTACATTCATGATTTTATATATCTCAACACGCCTCCTCACACGAGAGCTCACTGGGCTTGAAGGGTGGACAATGCACAGGCCCACCTACCTGTGCGAAGAAAGAAATTTCACTAGAAAGAAAGTGGAGGGGCGGTGAGGATCGAACCCGGTACACCGAGGCTCTAATACCAAGTAAAGAACCACTTCAACCCAAAAACTTAAGGTGTTGGGTGAGGTTACATTAATGATTTTATATATCTCAACAGTGTAGCTCATTTCCTTATAATAAAAAGGCTTAAAGGTAAAGGAATCAAGACATGTTTGTTGCATATGGTTGTCTTTTTACTTCACCAGCATCTGCACGTTTGTTGCATGCAACAATTCTTCCAAAATGAATGCCATCTTTCCAGTCATTCTTTTTTATTTTGTTACTCAAAATTTGTTACATCCGACTGAGATAAGTTCTTACCTTTGTGTGTGTATATATTGCTTTTGTTTGGATCCTCATTCGCATTAATATTGGACTTTTTCCTAGACAGAGAAATGATTTCTAATGATAATGCTTGAAAGCAACATGAGTCAGCAGGTAGTAGGCTAATGACAGACTCTCGGATTCTGTGGGTGTGTCCTTATGCCCTCTGAACTCTTTGGATTTGCATGGTAAATGGTTTCTTTATGTCAATGTGATATTTGCAGAATGCTGGTTGATGGAGTTCCTGTTTGTGTTTCAGAGTGCTTCCTTTGAAGAAGGCTGCTGAAGAAAAGGCTCGAGCAATGTGTGCAGCTGCTGCTGCAAATTTTAAGTCAATGCTTAAAGAACAAGGAGATATAGCTTTTAACTCCCGTTGGTCCAGGGTATGGTCTCATTATAAATAATACTTGTGGGCTATTTTCTATTTGATTCAAATTATTAGCCTAAGTCTTAGGTTTAATGACTATTGGTTGAGCTCTGTAGAGAGCATTCCTGTTTTTGCAATTGAAGAAATTTTTATATTTTGTTATCTGCCTCGAGAATCGGAATTGATTGATATGTTTTCTTGAAACAATAGAGGAAACGAAAGAGAAATTATAAATCAGTTTCTCTGGGACATGCATAGGAATAAGAAAGAGGACTCTAAGTAAACACCATGATCAGGCATGTACGGAATAAAAAATCATTCTCAATTCTACAAAATATTTTTTAAAGCCTTCCTTTTAGTTGTCAATATGCATATAATTACATGTATTGTTTGGTATACTTTTAGGAAAAGGTTGAGCCATAACCTGTGATACTTAAGGAATTTTTTTTTACAAATCATGAACAAGTGATCTTGTGTGTTTTTAAGTTTGTCTTGCTATGAGTTATTGTTTAACTTACATGTGATAGATTTTGACTGTTAGTTTTCCCGATGAATTGATGTCTGAAAAGCTCGGTGTGACAAGAAATCAATTCTTACTTCACAAGTGACAGGTTTTTTGGATTTGTATGATATGATAGCAGGATAGAAAGTTTGTTTTCTGTGTCCTGAGAATGATCTAGGCAGTTGAAAAATCAAGTGTTAATTTTCTCTATGATCTCTCTCTCTCTCTCTCTCTCTATATATATATATATATATATATATATATGAAAATTTATTTCATGTTAATATCTCTTTTTCTGTGACTTGTATTGTTTAATTTATAGTCTTTGGTTGATGCAGGTTAAAGAAAGTTTCAGGGACGATCCAAGGTATAAATCTGTGAGGCATGAGGATAGGGAAGTTTTGTTCAATGAGTATATATCTGAATTGAAAGCTGCTGAACATGCAGCAGAACGAGAGACCAAAGCTAAAAGGGAGGAGCAGGTATTAGCTGGTTAATATGTGTTCAATGTCTTTTTTAATCAACAAATATGTGATGAATGACTTTTTTAATCAACAAATATGTGACGTATGACTTTTTTAATCAATATGAATGTCTTTATTAATGCCTTGACATGATGCTGTTATGTTACTAGTGGGTATATAATTTTGAACTACTTCACATGTACAGTTTTTAGCTTATTGGAGGCTTTGGTTTGTTAGAGTGACTTCTATGATGGGTATTGGCGGTGTCTCTTTTATTGATGATTTTTCTGTTTTATATTGGTTGGTATTGTTTGAGTTGGCCTCTTAATTTCTTTGTATCCAGATTTTCTTCTAGCAGATTATTTTTAATAGCTTAATTCAAACACTTGAAACTGATTTGCAGGAGAAGTTGAGGGAGAGAGAACGGGAACTGCGCAAACGGAAGGAAAGGGAAGAACAAGAAATGGAAAGGGTGCGACTAAAAATTCGAAGGAAGGAGGCAGTCACTTCTTTCCAAGCTTTACTGGTGGAGACAATCAAAGACCCTCTGGTATAACCTTTCTTTATGTGGTTCTATTCTCTTATTATAGTCCCATATTGAATAGAAGGACTAAACTGCATATAGTAGGAGGGTTCAATTGAAAATTAAATTAAAATTAGATGAATGCAAATGAATTTCTCAGACACTTGAAGGTTGAATTGTACAAAGATTGCTTGCTGGTAATTTGTTTTACATTACGAGGAAGTTGGCTGTTAATAATGATAAATTTTATACCCTATTTTCTTTCATTGAATAAAATTAATGTCATCTGTGTAATCATTTTCAGGCATCATGGACAGAATCTAAGCCTAAATTAGAAAAGGATCCTCAAGGACGTGCAACCAATCCCGAACTTGATCCAGCTGACACAGAAAAGCTCTTTCGAGAACATACAAAGATGCTTCAGGAAGTGAGTGACAATATCTGATGCTAGTGGTTTTCTATGGCATTTTCTTTTGCTATATTATTACCTGTGCTTTAGATATATTCTTTAGTGATAAAAGTGACTGAGTGCAACTCGAATTTGAAGAGAGGGATTCAGTAACTGCATGAGTAGATTTGCATTTTTGGTTAACATATGTGCTCTACTCTAACGTCAGTGACCCTTGTGATTTGGCCAGCGTTGTGCACACGAGTTTAGAGTTCTCTTAGCTGATGTCTTGACTTCTGAAGCCGCATCTCAAAAAACTGATGATGGGAAAACAGTCCTGAATTCATGGTCTACAGCTAAACGTCTTTTAAAATCTGACCCAAGATATAACAAGGTTCCAAGAAAAGAAAGAGAAGCCTTGTGGCGCCGGTATGCAGAGGATATGCTGCGGCGACAAAAGTCATCTCACGATTCAAGGGAAGAGAAGCATATAGGTGCTAAAGGTAGAAATTCTTTAGAATCTTCCAAACTTCCATTTGAGAGAAGATAATTTTTGTTGTTCTTTTGTTATCCTTTTTCTCCTCTCTCTCCTTTGCCAGAGATTAGGTTTATTTTGTTTGAAGTCTGATATTGGATCGACGGAGTTGTAATTGTTGTGTTTAGTATATCACTCTAATTCCTCGGACCTATTTGGGATTGTATGATCATCAACATCATTTCATTGTAGAAGTATCGCTAATGTGGTCAGTGCCCCAAATCTTCTTTCAATTTACCCACCACTGGTTTCGTTCTTGCAATTATATCATTCATTCAAAGTCGAAACTGTTACCTACAAATTTGTTTAGAAATTATTAACTTATTTGCTTGTAAAAAAAAAAAGAGAGACTTATTTGACCATTACAATTTGTTTGTGAAGATTTTGACGATTCACTTTTTAGTTTGCGTAGGTATACTTTATTTTCAAAAACATAAACTTGCATAAATTAATACTGAACTTAAACAATGATTGTTTGTCCTTAAAGGATAGGCGCAAAGGGATAAGCTTGTTTGCAACAAAATTGAGGAATATTTGTATAGAAATATATTACGTACCAATAGTTAACATATATAAAAGCGTTTAAACTAAGACCAGCAGCAGAAGCTCGACGATAGGCCGGCAAGCAATACTACACCTCCTATCTATTAGTAGCCTCCGACAAGGTAGTTGCAGCTCAACATAGGAATTTCAAACATATTCCTCCATTGAAATATCATATCATAATTGACTAACAGTAACAGCTAACAGACTCAGTCATGTGTTGCTCTAACAGCACTCTTTGATCAGGAAAGCTTATTAAGCCCATGAAAAAAACGGTGTTTTCTCCTCTTCGAGTGCCTCCGAAACTCTTTTGTAGTGACATAGGGGACAAAGTGTACCTGCATTGGGATAAAATGAATAAATTTTCAGTATTCTTCTAATACATACTCTCTCACTAAAATTAGAGATAAGTGGACTCATGAATTTAAAAATATAAAAAAAACGTGTGGAATAAATGCACTTAAGTGAGCCTTTAGTTTCCAGTTTTAAATAAGTGTAGCACTGAGTCTATGGGAGTCCTAAAAATTTATTCCCATAAAATACTATTAAATCAGTAATCACACTCTGTTTTCCCAAGACAAAATACATCATTCAATAAGTTGAAAAGGTAAGAAAAACTACTGAATTTGTAATAGAAAATTTTGAAGAAAACTCATAAAGAAATACAATCACAAAAATAAAAATAAAAATGGGCTGATTGAGTACAAGAGCTGTCTAAAGATAGGATTTTCTTGAACTCGAATGCTGGATTTCACTATAAGAATAGGTAAGCATGCTAATCAATGTAATTCTATTTGAAATGTCATGCCCTATTTGGCCACAAAATGTAACATTTTAACATGTAAGCAAACCATATAATTTTTCACAGAAAAAAGGTATCAAAGCTTTTGTCAAGACTTGTTTGACCATAAATACATGATAATTAACATTCCAATATCAGAAATAGAGAATATTACAGGGGAAGTTAGTTAGTAGTAGAGAAGAGAGATACAAAATCCATTTAAACACTCAGAATTCGTGGGGCAAACCTGAGAATTATTTCGTAAACCAAAATTTTGAAGTGCAGCATCATCCACTAAGAGCTTGTTGTTATTAAATGACAAGCAATAATTTGCCCATACGTGCCTCCTGCAATTGCATCCGTTTTGACAATAAAATAAGTATTTCCAGATTGCTATATAATCAAATATCAAACGGAAACAACAATGTTTTCTCATTTTGAGAAAGGAGAGAGAAAAAGAAAAGTGGAACTGACCAAGAAATATGGCGGTGACCCATGCTGGATTGTTCCATGTCATTTACTTTCTTCTTGATGGCAAGTTTCAAATCCTTGAGTGTTGCTGAATTCATCACTATCACATCTTCACCACCAAAATTACTAGTCAAAATAAATAAATAAATAAATTCCCAGAGGGATATATTTATTGAAGAGTGTGTGTTTGTGTGTGTGAGTATTAATTACCAAATGAATCTCCATCCAATTTGAGTACAGAAATGCGCATGGCACTCCCCAATTCAAGGCTGATAAGAGTGTCAACATCCATCAACGTTGGGTTCTTAGGAACATCGCCAAGTATTGGATCCTCCAACAACGTTGTCAGCACCGAATTCAGCCTCGCCTTTTTCACGCTGCTCTTGTTATATTCTCCCATCTATCTCTGCAATGCCGACAGAGACACAACACAACGGAAGTGATTGAACAAGGTTTTATGGGCCGGGTAATATAAATCCGGGCAAGCCCAATAGTACTCGAACCCGATTCGGTTCAACACTGTTGTTTGTTACTGGTTTCTGAACGAAACACGCGTTATTGATTAGTAGCGTAGCCCGAGTGCTGTTTGGTGTAATGTATAACGCCTGGTAGTATACACTACAATAGAATTCCTTGATACATCAAAATGATTTATAACTTAATCTGGTCTAAAGGGGAGGGATTAAGCCTGAGGGCATGTTTGGTGCACAGTATATGATAAGGCCTGATAGTATAAGACCTGATTGTATAAGACCTGATTAAATTTTAATACTATCCTGCATTTGGTATGGTATTGTATAAGATATATCCTCCAATATTTTAAAAATTAATATATTAAAAAAAATTATTTTAATATATTAATATTGAAATGATATATTAGTTCTTGGAAATTGTATTTTTAAGCAACATTAATACATCAACCCCTTATCAGGCCTAATGCTATCCCTTTAGGCTTGATTAAGTTATACATCATTTTGATGTATAAAGAGATCTTGTTGTATAAGCTTATATTATACGATGGTCATACCAAACAACTGAAAATGTCATAACGTATAGTATAAGTTTATACTATCAGGCCTTATACATCACATCAAAGTCCTAAGAGGCCCTGATAAGGGATTAGTTAGTGCAATTCTCAATAATTAATATATTATTTTAATATTATCATATTAAAATAAAAATTAATTTTTCAATATATAAACTTTTAAAATATTGAATATTTTTATTTTTATAAAATGAATTTATTTTTTGGAGACAATGATCAATAGATTTTTATAAAAATTAATAGAGGAAGGATATTGTGACAACCAAGTTGTGTTACTACCAAGTGACTACCAATTAATCTCACCATTAGATCGATTATGTTGATCCAACGGTTATATTTATTTCCATCTTTATATGGTCATTAATTCCCAAATTTAATACTTTATATTTATTTTCACCTTTGTATGGTTATGATTTCTCATATTTAATAATTTCACTTTAAATTGATTAGTGTATTCAAAAAGTATATTAATTTTTATAAAAATAAAAATTTCTAATATTTTAAAAATTTATATATATTGAAAAATTATTTTTTATTTTAATATATTATTTTATTAAATAATATATTAATTATTGAGAATTGGATATTAATAGCCTAATTCTTGAGAGTAGCTACTTCCGGTTAGTTGAAGCTGCGGCATGACGGAGAAGGCGGCGCCACCACAACAACAACCACCACCACCGTCGAAACCTCTGACACATCAGGAATGGGAAACCCTAATGGAAGAGTTCCAGTGCGGTGCCTCTCTATATCATCTGGTGGATATCCTTCTCTCCACTCTTCTCCGCAAGGATTTCCCTCTCTCTCTCAAGCTCCAACTCCTCGTCTTCCTCCACGAATTCTCCGATTCGTTCTTCTCCGACCTTGACAATGAACATCACCAACAACTCGACCGTCTCATCGACACTCTCCGAACCGTCGTTCACGCGCCTCTCGACGGCGTTCACATCACTCCCGCATTCAAGGAACAATTCATGGTTTCCGTTACGTCCATTCTCATATGCCTATCTGAATCTGAAAACAAGGTTCAAACGGAGAGCTTGGTTGAATTGCTGTTGACGGTTATTAACCGCCCTAATTTCGGGTCGGATCGGCAAACCCGATCCATTGCTTGCGAATGCCTAAGGGAATTGGAGCGATCCAAACCCGGTTTGCTTTCCGATGTGGTTGGCCACCTCTGGAGTCTTTGCCAGAACGAACGAACACACGCTTCACAATGCTACATCTTGCTCTTCACCACAGTGATCCACAACATCGTGGATCGGAAACTCAGTGTCTCCATTCTCAACACCTCCGTTCCAATGGTTCCTTTCAATATGCCGCAGTGGGTGAATTCGGGTTCAAGTTCGGGTTCGGGTTTGAATCAGAAGGAGTTGAGGAGGGCGTTGTCGTTCTTGCTTGAATGGCCACAAGTGATGACTCCTTGTGGGATGATGGAGTTTGTGTCTATGATAATACCTGTGGCTGTAGCATTGGAATTGCAGCCATCCATGCTCAAGGTGCAGTTTTTTGGAATGATTCGTTCCTATGACCCCATCTTGTGCCATGTTGTTTTGATAATGTATTTGCATTTCTTTGATGCTTTTGATGGTCAAGAGGGAGAGGTTTCCCGCAGGCTCTTGTTGATTTCAAGAGAATTGCAGCATTATTTGGTGTTTCGCTTGCTCGCTGTTCATTGGTTGTTGGGTTTCAATCAATTGATTTTCAGTAAAAATGTTTTGAAGACTAAGCCTGTGATGATTGAAGCTTGCTCCACCTTTTATCCAGCTTTGTTTGATCCACTGGCTTTGAAAGCCTTGAAGCTTGACCTTCTTGCATTTTGCTCGGTGTGTGTTCATGCCTTGAGACTGAAAAGTAGTTCTGATTCCCATCAGGAGGATGACTTCGTTAATCCGGTGAAGCTGTTTGAAGACGGTCTCGTTTCTGTCTCGTCTTTCAAATGGTTGCCTCCGGGGAGCACAGAGATTGCCGTTGCTTTCCGTACCTTCCATAAGTTTCTGATTGCTGCATCTTCTCATTTAGACAATGATCCTTCTACTACAAGAAATCTGTTGGACTCCACGATATTCCGCACTTTACAGGTGTTTTAGAGTCTTCCACCCAATGCGTGGGTTATTTTTTCATATTTGCAAATTAAAGTGGATGTTGATGTTAGTATTTCGATTTTAGAATTTGTGCTCTCTCATGTGGATTTGTTTACATCCGTGTCACTAATGGAAATTCTAATTATAGCATTCTTGTCTTATGGCTCTAAGCTATCAATTCTCATTTTTTTAAATTCCCTTATATGTTAGTAACTACAGAGATCAGGTTCCATGGTTGAGTCGATTTTATGGCAAGTTGATTTTTGGTCATGTCTTTCATCAGTGCAATGTCTTTAGGCATGACACGTTCAAGTTTCTTTTTTCAGGGGATGCTTGTTAACATTATGTTGGAGAGTAGGAGACTGGTTCCTGTTGTTGTTGCTTTTGTCGACCGATTACTCTCCTGTCAAAAGCATTCTTGGTTGGGTGAGTGCTTACTTCAGAAATTTGATGAGCACTTGCTTCCAAATGTGAGAATGGATTATAAAATGGTTTATTGCTTCCCAATATTTGATAGAATTGCTGAAAATCAGACAATACCTCCGCGTGGATTGTTAGAGCTCCTCACAAACTTCATGATTTTCCTAGTGGAGAAACATGGCCCAGATACAGGGATGAAATCTTGGTCCCAAGGAAGCAGAGCTCTTGGAATTTGTCGAACGATGTTGATGCACCACCATAGTTCTAGATTGTTCCTCAGACTATCTCGTCTACTTGCATTTACTTGTCTCTATTTTCCTGATTTGGAAGTTCGCGATAATTCAAGGTATTGCATTATGAATTGCTTCTTTTGATAATCTATTTCCCATGTTTTTTTTCCCTTCACCTTTGTTTTGAGAATTAATTCTTGAAATTAAAGATAGCTAGGAAAAGTTCAAAGGGCCTGCAAAAATGATTGCCTGGCTCTGCTGATATGTTGTATTTTGCAGGATCTACTTGCGTATGCTGGTCTGCATTCCAGGAAAGAAACTCAGAGACACCCTGAATCTGGGGAACATGATCCTTGGAATTTCACCATCTTCACACCCAACCTCTTTTTTCAATGTTCAGTCACCTCGACCTTCTCAGAAATTCAAGACATTTAAAAACTTATCATCCTGCATTCACCTTGAGCGGCTGAACCCATTGCTTGTTAAACAGTTTTGGTCTTTGTCATTTGCAAATTTAGTTGTAAGTAACAGCAAGCCTGCTTATCTGGAGGGCATCAGGGACCTAGAAGTCCCTGTTGAGGAAAAGGAATTTTCTGACAGGTCCAATACACAAATCATTCCTGAAACTGGAAGAATGAATCAGCCTCAAGAGCTGCTCCGTGTTATGGATTCTAAAGTTGCAGGAATATTGAACACATTGAGGAAGTACTTTTCTTGTATTCCTGACTTCAGATTTATGCCAGGACTCAAAGTTAGAATATCATGCAGTTTGAGGTTTGAATCTAGTACTTTCAATCGCATGTTGGGAATCGACAACACTGCCACAACGTTGGAAGAGATAGATGCTCTTCCTGCTATATATGCTACTGTGTTAAATTTCTCGTCTTCTGCACCATATGGACTGATTCCATCCTGTCATATACCTTTTCTTCTTGGTGAACCTCACAGTCAAAATGTCTCCCTAAGTATTGTTCCTGTTGGAAAAGATTCCAAAGAAGAGGAAAAATATAGAGCTACTTTTGTAATTGATTTGGAGCCGAGGGAACCGACACCAGGTATAGTTGATGTTTACATTGAAACAAATGCAGAAAATGGTCAGATCATCCAAGGTCAACTACAGGGAGTCACAGTGGGCATAGAAGACATGTTTCTCAAGGCGATTGTCCCATCAGACATCCTAAACGATGCAATACCTCAATACAACTTTGACTTGTTCACTGCGTTATGGGAGGCATGTGGCTCATCCTCCAACATTGGACGGGAGACCTTTCAATTGAAAGGGGGCAAAGGGATTGCTGCCATCAGTGGAACTCATTCTGTAAAGCTTCTTGATGTCCCTGCAACCTCTTTGATCCAGGCAACTGAGCGCTATCTGGCACGCTTTGTTGTAGGTGTGAGTGGGGAGCCACTTATTGATGTTGTATGGGAAGGAGGAATCATTCAGAATGTCATTTGGGAAGATGCTTCCCCTGATGCTACTTCGGTTACTAATCTTAATACTAGTCCACTCCGACTTACTTACAATGATGAAGAGTATGAGAAGGGGGGTAGTAGCAATAGCAGTAAAAGAAATCTGGGCTGTTTTCTTGTTCTAATATTTCTTCCACCGCGGTTTCATCTCCTTTTCCAAATGGAAGTTGGTGATCTTTCAACTTTAGTTCGTATTCGTACAGATCACTGGCCTAGCTTAGCCTACATTGATGATTATTTAGAAGCTCTTTATCTGTCATAAGAGCTTTCGTTTCTCCTAACATTGATGACTGCATAAAGATTAATAATCCACAATCAGATAGTGGCAATGTATGTCTTTTTTTCTTTTGCAGTATATAGTTTGTTCACGCTAAGTCTGAGCTGTACAATAAGAACTCATTTTTGCTTTCTATGCATTTTAAGATAGAAACTTCTAAAAAATTTAGATTGTGTGCGTGTGTGTGTATATATATAGATAGATAGATATAGATACAAGCAGTTTTATAGCTTGACAGTGGTTTGGTTTTAAAGCTTTTTTGTCTAGTTCAGTAGTGTTAATTTAGAGGCTTATGGATGGAACAAATGCGAATTTCCTACTACTACCATTTCTTTCAATCTAGCTCTTGAAGCTTGGCTGAATTTGTAATTTTTGAATAAATGAGTTTTCTAAATTCATGTTGTCAACCCCAGCTAGTGGAAAAGGCTTTTTTGTTGTTGTCCTAAATCCCGCTGCTGGATTATAAGCCCAAAACTGTATTGTATGCTCAAATGTTGCAGTTCAATAATTTAGTTACTTTATCTTACAGTATTATTTATATTAAAGCTATATTAAAAGTTAATTTGTATCAGCATTTATGGAATAATAATTTCTAAGATTGGTTTGAATTACAATGAGAACATAGAATTCTCTGCCAGATTTTGTGATATGCTCTTTGTAAAGAGTTACCCCTGTTGGGTCAATCTGTTCTCTGATTTCAGATTCCCCCACCCTCATTGGCATTGCTCTCAAAGTTGTCTCTCGTCTGAAGTGTGGGGTAGGGGATGCTTTCTGGTGCACTATAAGGTCTTCCTTCCTTGAAATTGGGCAAAAAGGTACTTTCTCTCCTTCCTCTCATGAGCTGTTTGGTGTCATTCTTTGGTATGGCCTGTAGCATTTGTAAAATAAGTCATTCATTATTTTTATGCAGGTAGCACTGTCCTGTAAATTCCTTGCTGCAGACATATAATGTATAAAGTTGCAATACGCTTTGTTATTGGAATTATGGAATTTTTATTGTTTAGATAGTATGGGATTGTTATTAGGACGTGGACCGTTAATGGTTTCGGGTATGCAAGTGATTTTAGTTGTAAATTTTTATGCAGGCAGCACTGTCCTGTAAATTTCTTTTTTCGGTATTATCTTAGTGGATTCCTTATACTTCTATCTCTTTCTTTCTCTAATAAAATTTTCTTCTTTTATTAATTTTTTTTTTATTAATTTGAATACTTATGATAAGCCGTAGCCAAATTTCTTCAAATTCTTGTCACAAACCAGTAGTTTGAAATATGACAAGGTTAGCTTATCTACTGATATCAGTGATTTATCCCGTTCCTCTTTCTCCCATCCTTTGAGAATTAAGCAACCATCGCCTAAGTTTAGCAAGTAATGAATTTTTATTTTATTTTTTGGTGTGCTGTTAGCAAAAAACCAGCAAAAAACTACAAAATAGCGACTGTACGGACTCTACAAACAGATGCTAGATCAGCAATAAAAACAGAATAAATCTGAGAAGGAGAATAACAAAAGATAGACATATCTGGAGCATTAGGATTATCCAGAGCATAGTTTGCCAGCCAGTCAGCACAGTAGTTGCCTTCTCTGTATGTGTGGACTAAGTAAACCCGCCAGTCTTTTTTAAATAAATTGATAAAATATTACTTTATGAATGAATTTAATTGAATAATAGAAAGTAATATTCAGTTGAAAAATCATAAGTTAAATAATTAAGAAAAATTAATTGTATTTTTTTTTTCAGCTATTTTCTTTACCATTGGTGAAGAGCATGGCAAGAATATAATATACTTTATGCATTTGTTTTTAAAATAAATTATACTACCGCAAATCAATAAGTGGATCATAAATCTCCACAATTATAATGGAAAGATCTCTGATTAATTTCTCAACAGGGTATTTACCAAAAACAATTCAATACGACTAAACGATCAGGCGATTCTCATGGAAAGGATAGAACCAAATTGGAAGGGGAAATTGAAAAAAGGAGCTTGACTCTCCCATGAGTGGCACTTCTGCAATGACATGATATGATGTTCATTCCAAGCCTGGTGGTCCTAGACTCATGTGGATTATAGCGATATAATAAAAGTATAGTAAAGTCACTTTTGGTCCTTGACAAAAGATATGGTCTCTGTTTTAGTTATTTACAAAAAAAAATTAGACCCGAGATGCTTAAGGAATTTAAAGTGGACTCATTTTAGTGCTTTTGAAGAATTAATGTAGATTTTTTTTGAATTTGTGAGGCACCACGATTTTAACTAAATGAATCCAAAAGATACTTTACTCATAAAAGCATCATATAAAACTTCCTCTATGTTGTGATGTGGTTTTATTTCCATTGGATGAATAGACAAGGGTTTGTTCCAATTAAATCATTAGTCTCAAATTTGAGTCTTAGATATGTTGTGTTAAAAATTTTGATAGGAAAAAGCAGCACCTTAATCTTATCACGGTGTGCACATATGAAAGTGAAAATAAAATATTTTCTTTGTCTTCAATGTGGAAATATAAACAACTTTTATGTCATTAGCCTAAGATCTACCCATTAAAGATATACAAGGGGTTAAAGTTTTTACCTTTTTCACTTGAAGACCCAAAGTGTATGGGTCCACACGGCTATCCCGGTCACAAGTGATAATTCCTCCTCCTTAATTCTCCTTCTCCTTGGATGCTTGTTAGGCAATTGCAAGGTGAAGACTTCAAGTGTTTGGATTTTAATTTCCTCAAGACTATGATAGTATCTTGAGGTTGAGTGGGGCAACAATGGAGGATGAGGGTGATGATGGTAGTTGCCCAAGAACTAGGGTTCTTGGTTCTTTTAGTTAGGCGAAATTTATCTTGATTAAAAGACTTTACCTAAGCACTTTTTTCACGATTACATGATTAGGATTATATTCTTAATTTGGATTGCTAAAAATGGCCTAAATTCATTGTTGAATTCGGTAGCTTCCATAATTTATAAAAGCTTCCGTACTTTATAAAAGCTTTCATAATAATTCGCTTACCCCATCATTCTTTTCTTTTTTTTTTGAACATCTTCCCATCATTCTTTTCTTATTTGAATTCGTAATTCAAAAAATAGAGTTGTTGTTGTAAGAAGCTTTATTCAATCCTTATTAGATATAGCTTTGCATAATTCAAGATAATCATAATTCACTCAACCTCACGAATTCAAAATTTAAATTTAAAGTACCGGGACAAAATTTTGCCGCCTTACGGTCCTGATGCCTCCGTTGATTTAGTTAGTTAACCCATGAATTAATACATAAATCTAAAAAAAAAATAAAAAAATAAATAAAGAAATCTAGGATATATTTGATTGTATTCTGTTTTTTTATTCTTTAAATCTATTTTGTAGAGTAATCAATTAAATGATTGTTTTTCGTATTTTTGTGTGATGAAAGTTAAAAATTAGAATAAAATATAAAATAATTTAAATATGTTCTCTAAATTTGATTTTAAAAATTTAAAAATAGGTATAATTTTTAGAATTATTCGTACAAAATAAATATTATCAAACGGGTTTTATTTTCTAAAAATTAAAAATCTATTTTTAAAAATAGAATTCAAACAGCCTCATCTCCGGCTACAGAGAAGAGATAAAAAAACGATTTCACAAATGAATTAGGAAATATTTGATTGTGGTTTTTTTTAAAATATTTTATAAAATTAAAACGTATTTTTATTTTTGGTATACACCTAAAATTAGCGTAAGTGTGTTCCCCATTTCAAGATAAGAGGAGTCTTATATTAACATAGGTGCTAGTTAGCTGATGTGGTTCATCCTTAAGAAAAAACTTTTGGTACATTACATTTAGGTACATCTTACATCTTTTCCTAATAAAGGAAGTTTTTAGGATTTAGCAGGAAAAATAAAAAAAAAAGGTTTAAATAGAAAAATAATTTCGCCATTTGAAAAAAATATCTACCCAAATGGGTACCTATGATGTATTAAAAAAAATAAAATCATCCTTATCAAGGAGAATATTTTAAGTGCTATCATTGCACATATATCCATGTAATGAAAATATGACACGCATGCTACATGTTAGAAAAAAAATTCTAATATTTTGTCTATTTATACATGAAATTAAATACTCTGTAATTTATCCGTAGTACAAATATTTCATTTTGAATAAAAATAATACTTACCACTGAGCGTAACAAAAACACTACAAATGCTCTTCTTCAAGGTCCGAGAAAGAGGTTAGTTAAGAGACTGTTTGGATCATCTTATTTTTAAGTTAGAAGCTACTTATAAGCTAAAGCTAAAAAAAGAACTTAAAAAAAGAAATTAAAAGCTGTTTGAAAATTACATAAAAAATTTAGCTTAAAATTTACTTAAAAGCACATATTTCAAGAATATTATATCTCTCTCTATCTTTATAACTCTTCATTTTAAAAAAATACACAATTCAAGAAAAACAGATAAGAACTTAAAATCCTCTTATTTTTAAGCTAGAATCTACTTATAAGCTAAAGCTAAAAAAAAGAGCTTAAAAAAATAAACTAAAAGCTGTTTGGAAATTACATAAAAGTTTTAGCTTAAAAATTACTTAAAAGCACATATTTCAAGAAAATTATTTTTCTCTCTATCTTTATCACTCTTCATTTAAAAAAAAACACACAATTCAAGAAAAATAGATAAGAGCTTAAAAAAAAGCTCCTTCTAGGAGTTTTTAGTTTTTAACTTTTTTCTTCGTTATAAAAAAAAAAACGCTTTTCGTTATAAGAGCTTTTTCCAAAACCTGTTTGGCCTAGCTTATGCTTATAAGTAGCTTCTAGCTTAAAAATAAGAGGATCCAAATAAGCACTTAGTTTTAAGCTTTTTTCTTCATAATAAAAAATAGAGCTTTTCATTATAAGAGTTTTTCTCAAAACCTGCTAGGCTTAACTTCTAACTTAAAAAAGAGAGTCAATCAGTCATAATTGGTAGAAGTATAATTTTTCTCCTTTTATAATGCATTTTATTTATTTATTTATTTATTTTTGAAATTCGTTATTTGAAAGCTTAACCCAAACCCTAGCTCAGTGTTGCTTATAAAAGCAGGGAAAGGAGAAGGTAAAATCAAACCCCAGCCCTCACTCCTCTCTCTCTATGTTCAAGTTCTGAAACTCGATCCCTTGATGTTGATAAAATCATTCTATCAAATCAAAGGCAATAATTAAGTAGTTTTGGTATGGCTTGAGTCCCCTGCCATATATAGCGAATTATTGCCTTTGATTTTGTAGAAAAGAATTTATCTGAGACATCTCTTCCAGATTGGTTTTCCAATGATGTAATTTATGAATGATGGGAGAATGTTTCACTGGGCAATTGTAAAACTCCGGTTTGGGTGATGAAAGATTGATCTTGATAATGATTTCAGTAACTTTTGATTGTATCACATAATATGATTTGTTGTTTTCAATTTAGCAAATGCTAGTTGGAGTTTGATTTTAGCATGCTTTTTTGGCGTATTTATCTAAATTTGTCTTGTTATAATTGCTATGTTTTTCTTCCCATCATTTACTTTGGTAGCTTCAAGCCCTATCTATTATGAATGCAAAACTTGTTTGATAGATTTTGTTTTCTGAATAAATTTTAACAGCGATGGTGTAAAGTGAGTTGTGAGTAGATAATTATTCAGAACAAATTAAAGAATACTCGTTTTTCTATTCTATAATCAAATTGTGGAGAACAAATATTCAATCAAAGCCTATCTCCTAATTCCAATGGAAGTTCGGAAGATTCTAGAGATTAGCCTTGTCTTGGCCAAATCACTATGTCACTGATGTTATAGCTCATATTTTAACCTAAAATGAATGTGCGTGTGTTGTCACTTATGTTATAGCACATATTTTAACCTAAAATGAATGCGTGTTTTTGTTTGTTTAGTTTCACGTCCTTGAGGATCTTCTTCCATGATGCCTAAGAACACGAGTAGGCAAATGACATTAATTTTTCTCTAATGAAAGAAAATAAGATATGAAATGATCATTATCAACTGCCAATTCCAAGTAACATAAAGCAAATTAACAGCAAGAAATCCTAGTACAATTCAACCTTAAAAAGTGTCTGAGAAACTCATTTACATTTATCAATTAATTTTCAATTGAACCCTCCTAATATCTGACTGGATGCAGTTTAGTCCTTGAATTGAAATGAGACTAAATTGCATCTAATCAGAGACCAGAAGAATAATGTTGGAAATGTATCAATAATCAAGAAACAAAAATGAATTTTTATTAAACTAGAGGGATTAAAAACATAATCTGATCCTTCCAGATTTTGAACTAAAAAATTGCTCTTGCTTGAGTTTATCTGTTAATGATAAAAATAACCAGAGTAACTGTACCAACCAAAGAAAGAAAGTTACACCAGAGGGTCTTTGATTGTCTCCACAAGTAAAGCTTGAAAAGGAGTAATTACATGTTACTGAATTTAAGTTCCCCAGCTTCATCCCGAGTCTTCATGTCGATAGATTCTTTAGCGAAAGTAAAGAATAATCACTTAACACAAGGGCACATGCTTGGGAACTATGAAGCACCGATACTCCTTAATTTTTTTTTTCAACGTATCGGATACGCGTATCGGAAACATATCGGACACGTATTGTTTGGTAATCGACATCTTGTATCATCGAGAACGTATCGAAAACGCCGTATCGGTGCTTCATAGCTTGGGAACATGCAAGCCAATCAAGAATAATCACTTTGATTGTTCAGGAAAGCTTATAAGATTCATTCATATCGATTTGACTGTAGCCAACTTGCTTGGGAACATGCAAGCCAATCATTTCACTCCTTACTCGCTCAACTTCATTCCATCTCTCAGCTTCAGCAAAAATGTTAGATAACAACACGTAATCTGCATGTGTTAGATGCTCCAATCTGGCAAGTTGTTGGAAGGATATCTTAGCCAACTCAACGTTACCTTGTGTCCTACAAGCACCCAGCAATGTACTCCATAAAACTGCACTGTCTTGGAAAGGGACAGTCTTGATCATCTGATGAGCCTCTTCCAACAAACCCCATCTGCTTAAAAGATCAACCATGCAACCATAATGCTTGATATCCGGCACAATTTTGTACTGATTCACCATATGATCAAAATACCATCTTGCTTTATCAACCAAACCCTTATGACTGCAAGCAATCAAAACACCAATAAATGTTACCCGATTTGGCCTAATAGTACCAAGCCTCTGTTCCATCTCTGAGAACAATTGCAGAGCCACCTCACAGTGCCCATGGACAGCCAAACCAACAATCATAGCATTCCAACAACTTACATTTTTTATCCTCATCCCATTAAATATTTCCCAAGCTGAACTCAAATTCCCACATTTAGAATACATATTTACAAGGGCGTTACCTAAATACCCTTCAATCTTATGGTCACACACTTTGAGAGAGTCATGTATCTTCTTACCCATCTCCAGCTCACCTGTTTCAGCACAGGCACCAAGAACTGATATAAGTGTTACTTCTGTTGGTTTTACATCATCATTTTGTTGCATCTCAGAAAAAAGTGCCAATGCTCCTGCATAATCCTTAACAGAAACACAACCAGCAATAATAGAATTCCATGATACAGCATCCCTCTCGGGCATAAACCGGAACACCCTTCTTGCTTCCTCAACATCACCTAACCTAATGTATCTTGCAATCAAAGTGTTCCACGAAACAACATTCTTGTGTGGCATTGATTCAAGAAGGTAATCTGCTGATTTATAATCACCAATACAATCATATGCTGATATCATGATATTCCAAGAAACCAAACTTCTATTGGTGATTTCATCAAACAAATGCTGGGCAATTGGAACCAACCCACATTGAGAATACATATAGAGCAAAGAGTTGTGAATACATGGGTCATCTTCAAACCCCAATTTGAGAACACTGCAGTGAACTTCAGCCCCTTTTGAAACAATAGCAAGCTCATCACATTTTCCATTGCCATAATCATCTATAAACCTGTAAGCTCTAGAACAGGCCTTGAGCACAAAATTGAAGGTGAAATTATCAGAGACAACATGGGTGCTTTTGCTTTGCATCATGTTGTTGTAAATATATAAAGCTTCAAGAGGGAAAGAACTGTTGGCAAAAGCTCGAATCATAGTGTTGGAAATGAAGGTGTTGTCCATGGAAGTTTCTAGGAAAAGAGAATGGGCATGGGAGAGGTTACCCAAAGGAGAAAGTGCTGAAAAGAAAATTAACTTAGAAGTGAAAGGAACATGAGCTTGAAGCCCTGCTTTGGTGATAATGGCTTGGACTTGTTTCAATTCAAACATGGAAGACAATTTGTGAAGCATATGCACATAATGCCTCCTGAACATGTCAACCCAACAACCATTTACCTTCCTTCTCTCAAACCCAACAAAATTAAAATTATATAAATTTTTTGTGATTGTGTTATGCATTTGTTTACACACAACAAAATTAAAATAACGAAAGAATATAAGTTTTTGTTTGGATAAAATTTTATAACATGATTTAATAAATACCAAAAATTAGATAAATTTAAGGGAAATCATATTCTTCAGCAACAGGCAAATGGATCTCTCATGCAGTAGATACATTTTTTTTAAAGTGGGTCCCATTACTTAATAAAATAAAATAAAAAAATTGTTGACACTATTCTCCATGGGTGTGCAGGAAGAATTCATATCCTCTGCAGCAGAAGAAAATATAACCCCTAAATTTAAATATAAATGAGGTTACTTGACTTTTTTTTTCAGTACTAATACAATTTTAATAATAAAAATAGGATAAAATACAACTTGCTCACGTGTGTGGCACTAGGCTTGTGCTATGTCATTTCCCTTCCCCTGTTTAAAACCTTCAACTTTCTCTTTCAAATTCTTTCATTGTGTTGAGTCTGCAACTCTGAAAAGCTCTATCTCGAAGCTTCTATTCTACGCTCTTGGCTTTGCTTGAACTTGAAGATCTCATAGTCATAGCAATGGTTCGTGCCCTCATCTTCTCCCCTTTTACATTTAATTTCTTCTTTGTTTTTGTTAATCAATCCATTGCTTCAATTTTTTGTAAGATTTCGGGCTGGAATTGAACACTATTATTCGAATTTTAGGTTCTTTGTCTTCTATGGTTTCTAGTTCTGTATTTTATTCAGTTCTTCCCTCTCACAAATCCCTTATTTCTAATTCATTTAAAATTTGATCTTTACATCAAATGAAATCAGATTGAATGTTCCATTTTTTATTTTTTTTTAATAATTTTGTCATTTACGTGTTTTCAGCTTTGAAATTTATATGTTTTTAGGATACTTGATATTTTCTGACTGCGAGTCTAATTATTCTGTTTTTTCAAAAAAAAATTCCCATTTCTCACTCGCATGCTAAAAGTTTTCCTCCATGGAGATGTATAATTTGCAAAATTTTCTAAACAATATTTGAATATTGTAGGATGCTGCAAAGACGCATGGTACTGTGTTGGCATGTACAGATGAAGCAGTTCTTCCTGTCAGTCAAGTGTTTGATGCACTTAGAGAACTTGGGAAGGAAGGGGTTGAACAATACGATCCTATGGTTATTACATTTGCATCATCACGAAGTAATTCTACCGCTCCTTTGATTGCATTTTTTTTTTGTATTTTTTTAATAATCTATACTGGTTTTGCCTATAGAACATGTCTTACAGGGTTACTTTACTTTTTAAATAGAATGAATTTGTAGCAAAAACCATTGTTTTATTTTTCTATTGCTTACATCTTGCTCTTGCTCAAATTTCTACTTACCACAAGAAAAATATGTTTATTGCAAATGATGCTTAATTATTCTCTTCTTGAGGGATCTTTTTATCAGCTGCTGTTGTTGGGTAATTCACAAAAGTTGCATTCAATTGAGTTAATATACAAGTTAGGCTTCTATAGCCTATACATATTATTATTAGCTTTAATTGACGCTTTCAGCACAACTGCTTTTTTCGTGGAGTTTGTGTCCAACACAATTGTATAAAGTAAAATGCCAATGGATGATCATGCATAATACTTTATGATACTGATTTTTAATACTTAGTGGATCTGTGATGGGTATTTCATTCAAGTAGGAAAACGAAGCTTAAACATGCTTCATCTGTTGGGGAAAATTCCAAATTTAGCATGCCATTTTTGGAACCTTCCAATATGATAAGCCAGTCTTTTTCAGAAAAATGTATAGATTGGCGCTTCTATTGTGCATTGAAAGATCAAATTTTGCTTATATTTTTACTATTTATGTTTTATTTTTTTCCCTTATTTTACTTTAGAAAATAAGGGAATATTGGTAAGAGAGGCTATATAAACTCGCTGCTATGCATTGTTTTTACTTGTTAGATGTTGCATAGTCATGAAAGTTTATCTTCGTTGCGTCATTATGAATATAATATTTATAAAACCGTGTTCATTCTCTCAACTCTAATCTTGTATTTCAATGATACAGATCCAGACACACAAATTTTCTGTCATTAAACACTGTTTTTTCTTTTTACATTCTGATCCAGTTCTATCATTCCTTTAAACATTTGTCAACCTCGAAATTTATGTTTGTTGGAAGAACATGGACCGAAGCTTTAATTTCCATTACAAACACATGATTTTCCATTTTGTGCGTATATGATATTTTATTTTATTGTAGTCAAAGAAACCAATTTTTACCACATATTCTTGTAACATTTAGGTAAGTTGTCAGTGGAATCTTCTTCGGTGGATTTTGTCATTTTAATCTGGCAGTCTCTTGATTGTTCTATAGACCAACTGATTCGAGAAATTCTCAGAGTGTTAAAAGTAGGTGGGACAACTTTTATTCGCAAGTCATCTCAGTCTGCTGTGGGCTCAGTTGATAAGGTAATAACAGCCTAGATTGTGCCTCAGTGAATTTATATTGTTGTACATGATGTGATTTTTTGCTCATTGTCCTTGCAGGTGATATCTGATCTTGTGAGCAAGTTATTATTGGTAGGGTTTTCAGAAACACAAGTTTTAGAAGGCAAATCTTCTGGGGTGAGTTTCATTATCTGATATTTGTCTCTGCCATCTTTTATTCATCATTATCTTCCAATCATTTTTTTTTTAATTTTTTTATCGTGTTTGGTTTATTATAAAATAGAATACAATAGAAACATTTCATGGATGAGTTTTTATTTTCTCATGTTTATAATACAATAAAAAACATGTGATGAGTTGAATAGTAGGCTGACATGGGTCTTAAAACCCATTCTAGTGGTATTTGACAATTCTCAGGTTAATTGTTTTTCATTTCTAGCACGATCATTAATTTCAACTAGATTTTTCTTCTTTTCTTCTTGCTTCACTACTTTCGGGCAAATTTGTCTTCATGATGAGTGGGTTGTGGTTATTCTTTTTTTATTCTCCTAATTAACTTAGTTATAACCATTTTACAAATTCTAATAATGTATATATTTTGTGTTGCATATAGATCAAAGCTAAAAAGTCTTCATGGAAAATTGGTTCATCTTTTGCAATAAAGAAGTGGTGAAGAGTTCTCCTAAAGTGCTAATTGATGTTGATTCAGATCTGATTGATGAAGATAGTCTTTTGACTAAAGAAGATTTAAAGAAACCCCAGCTGCCACCTGGTAAAGAGTACTTTTATAGTTTGTCATCAATTAGTAATCTGTGTGATATGAGGCTATTAGCTAACTTGTTTATGATGTAGGTGATTGTAAAATAGGAAGCACGAGAAAAGCCTGCAAAAATTGCAGTTGTGGGAGGGCTGAAGAAGAGGAAAAAGTATTGAAGTTAGGATTGACAGCTGAGCAGATTGATAATCCTCAATCAGCTTGTGGCAGTGTACGTCTTTTTTATTTTTTGCAATGTACAATTTGTTTATACTTTGTCTGGCTGTGCTGTTCAATAAAAACTCATTTTGCTTTCTGTGTATTTTAAAATAGAAAGTTCAAACTTCTAAAATAACTAATAATTTAGATTTGTATACACAGTTTAATAGCTTGACAATTGTTTGGTTATTGTAACATCCCGGGCGCTGACGAGGGCGGGGAGTGATCGCCGGTGCGAAAGGTAATGGACAAGGAGCGACTCCTGGCTTCTAGGGACGGGGGTACATGAATGAATCGAATCAACACCCGAAAGAAAGAGATTCCAGAGATTGTGCTGGTATGGGACGGTACAGTTAGGAATGACTTATAAGAATTAATTGGTACTACCTATACTAACAAGATACATCTACTTTTCGGTAGCCCGGAATGGAAGAACTCTATAGTTAAGCGTGCTTGACTTGGGGAAATTCTGGGAAGGGTGACCTCCTGGGAGGTTTTCCCGAAAAGTGTGCGAGTGAGGACAAAACACGCTGAAAAGTCTCGTGTTAGTGTGTGGGGACAGTCGTTAATCCTTGCAAGTTGCCAAGTGTTACAAGTGGTATCAGAGCAGGGCCTCTCTTCCAGTACGGTGTGGTTTGAGGACGAACCAGGCGGAAGCTGGTGGGTATGTAACATCCCGGGCGCTGACGAGGACGAGGAGTGATAGCCGGTGCGAAAGGGCATGGACAAGGAGCGGCTCCTGGCAGGCTTCTAGGGACGGGGGTACATGAATGAATCGAATCAACACCCGAAAGAGAGGGATTCCAAAGATTGTGCTGGTATGGGACGGTACAGTTGAGAATGGCTTATAAGAATTAATTGGTACTACCTATACTAACAAGATGCATCTACTTTTCGGTAACCCGGAATGGAAGAACTCTATAGTTAAGTGTGCTTGACTTGGGGAAATTCTGGGATGGGTGACCTCCTGGAAAGTTTTCCCGGGAAGTGTGCGAGTGAGGACAAAGCACGCTGAAAAGTCTTGTGTTAGTGTGTGGGGACAGTCGTTAATCCTTGCAAGTTGCCAAGCGTTACAGTTATATAGCCTTTTTTTAGTTCGGATGAGTTATAGAAGCATGGGACAATTAAAATAACCCCTGCTCCAGTTAATTTCAGATAAATTAAATTTCATAAGATGAAAAAGCTAGTGCTGTAACAGAAATCCTTTCCCTTTTTGTTACGTGTAACTTGTGGATGGAAGAAATGCTAATTTCATACTAGCGCCATTTCTGTCAATTTAGCTATGGAAGCTAGGCTGAATTCCTATTTTATATATGAGTTCTCTAAATCGAGGTACCAAACCCCACCTAGTGGGAAAAGGCTTTTGTTGTTATTGAAATCCTCCTGCTGGGTTATAGACACAACTTTATTGGATCTTCATATCTTGCCCTTTAAAAAATTAAGTTACTTTATCTAATTGTATTTAGTTATATCGTTAAAGATATATTGAACATTAATTTTCATCAGTAATTCAGCATTGATGGAACAAGAATTTCTAATATTGCTTTTGATCTACAGTGTGGATTGTGGGATGCTTTCAGATGCAGTACCTGTCCCTACAAGGGACTTCCCCCTTCAAATTGGGCGAGAAGGTACTTTCTCTCCTTCCCTCTCTTGTGCTGTTTGGTGTCATTTCTTTGGTATGGCCTTTAGCATTTGTTAAATAAATCATTCATTATTTTAATGCAGGTAGCACTGTCCAGTAACTTCCTTGATGCAGACATATAATGGATACAGTTGCAATACGTTTTGTAATTGGAATGGTATAATGGAATGTTTAGATAGTATGAGATGTTTATTAGTTATGTTAATGCTGACAGAACCATTCGTCCTAGTTGTTTGATACAATTTTAAGAAAAGCTTCATGAGATATCCAAGTTACTCTGGAGCTGTAATACCTTTGCCTTTCTCTCAATTTTTTGATAAAAAAAAATTCCCATTTCTCTATTTCTTAAGCTTGGAGGCAAAGTGTTGTCATCCGACGTATAAATTTCAAATCCAACCAAGCTTTGAGTAATGTTGTACTCGAATATTAAGCTATTCCTTAACTATTTCTGGAGGAAAAGGAACAATGCCTTGCAGCCTGTGTATGATGGGTAGAAAGTCTTGAACCAGAGCTTGTGATGATTATTAGAAATCTTGATTCCTAATAATGTAATAGTTGTATAGGTTTTGATTAATTTAAATTTAAATTTCAAATAGACCGGTTCCAAATTTTAAAACTGTTTAAACCGTTTACAACTTTGTCCGAATTTCTGGACTAATTTCTTGTGTTTAATTGTGATGATTAATATACACACACAAAAAAGTTTTCCACACTATTTTTTTTTTTATAGACATTTTCCACACTATTTAACTCTCATTGAAGTAGTTAAAGAAAAGTTCAACTAATCTGAGATAGAGTTTATATCAACATATGTAGAGTAGTTAAAATTTAAATAGATTGAGTTGAATTACAGATGCTAGGCCATGAGGTGTAGCCATCATAATTCAATTGTCATAAAAATAAGGGTTTTCGTTTTATCCTTTAACATAACACAACAAACTTTTCTACACTCACAACATTTTGTGGGGCCCACACTTTTTAAAACAAAAAAATAAATAAAAAATTAAGGCACGCAAAACGAATCTCTATAACATTACACAATCACTTTTCCTACAACATAACTCTTATAAAACCCTAAAAATAATGATAATAGTAATTTTATCTTTTTGTAGAGGAGATATAAGCCTGGTTAATTACACTATTTCTCTTTTAAGAGATGCGGTAATCACTTTACTCTATTATTTATTTTGAAATATTATATTCTCCTTATCATTAAGTATGTGGAGGGAATTTAATGGATGATTTCTAAATATACAGTTGTATTTAAAATTTAATAAGATTTTTTTTTTCATTCTTGTAGTTTCGCCGGTTTAATCGGATTAGTTGAATACTTAATAAATCAATAAAGAAATAAATTAATATGTATTACACTTTAGTTATTTCAATGTAATTGAATTTTAAGTGCAAATTTTTTTCATGCAATTGTCATCTTCATTCCAAGTTCCAACTCTTAATATCAACTTGAACTGAATAATAAAGATGATAAAGATATTATTTTATCGAATCATGGAAAGGATCTTGGATCATGTTAAAAAATATATGATATCATCATGTGAGGAATTATTAACATACAGTGATAGATGAAGAGAAATAAAAAATATTAAAATAGATAGTTACAAAATCATAACCGTTGATTCACTTTTAAGTGATTATGATTTTTTCATATAATCATGTCATTTTTTTTAATATGAGATGATCCATTTCTGACGTGGACACCTGACTCATCTTAAATAATATTTACATTAAGAGTTTTATTAATCTCATATTAAAGGAGATAAGTTATCTTATGTCATAGAGACAAATTTATGGGTTCCACTACCTAAAAAAATAAAAAAAAAATAAAAGAAAAGAAAAGAAAAAGGTGGCAGTGTAGGAAAAAAACTTATCTCATGTAGCATGAGAATAATTTTTCTCTTACATTAAATACATTAAAGTGTCATGCATTTATTTTTTTTAAGAGAGAAGTATAATTTTTCAAAATAGAGAAAAGATAAAAGGGCAATTTATCTTTAAGACTTCCTGTATGTATTAAAGTGCAGGTAATCAATTGTAAGATAAAATTTTTTAAAAAGAATTTAATATCATTTGCGTTAAGACTCTTAGTTGGTTTAGTACATTACTTATTATCAAAAATAAAATAAAATAGTACATTACTTTTGGCTACTTTAAGTAGTGTGAAAAAAAAAAAGCGAGTTCAGTTAACTACAAAAAAATAAAATAAAATAAGATGAAAAAATGTGAGTGGTTGTGATAAGAGATGAAAAAATATGGTTATATTATTTGATCACAATCACTCATGATGATGAGATAAGAGAGAGAAAAATATATAATTTTTAAATGAGTGATTATGATCAAATAACATGACCATTTTTTCACATTAGAAATTTCACTCCCTTACATAACACATCTTGTATTATGCCATAGTACCAAAAAATTTGGGTCCCATTAAAAAAAATAAAGAAAAAAAATAAAAATATGTATGTCACCTTTTTGTGTCTATGTCATGATATAAAATGTGTGGTGTAACATCACACTCACATTTCATATAAAAGATTTTGGATGTACAAAAGTAAGAGTGAGAATATTCTAATTACCAAAAATTCTTACTACTAACTTACTACCCATCACATCACCATTGGATCAAAGAGAGAGAATGTTAAAAAGTTTTTGAAGAAAGAGAAAATGTTAATCTAATGGTGATTAGATAGGTAGTAAGTTGGTAGTAGAAAATTTTGGTAGTAAGAATATCCCTCCTCCAAAAGTAATATGTATAAATAGCTAAGGTTTAAAAAAAAATAAAAAATCATGTGTGGGTAGAAGAACTAAGATTCAATTTTTTTTAGTATTTATGTGAGAATCTCATATATTATTGCAATTAAATAAATGAAATAACATCTGTCATTTTAAAGGATATAAGCTTATATCATTTTAGATCATAATCGTTGATTTCCGTCTATCAACGATTATAATTTATTGGATCAAAATTATTAATTAATTAATAATAAATTTGACCCATTAAGTTTGACCAATAGATTATAACGGTTGATGGACGAAAATCAACGGTTATGATCTAAAATGATATAAGTTTATATCCTTTAAGATGATAGATGTTTTTCCTATAACCAATCTTTCTTATAATTATCTTTTTTAAGATTTAATTTCAGTCTTACACTACTACTTATGAAACACGGACATGGACACGTTGGGACACGTGTCCAACACGCGGTCGACTTTGTGGGACACGCGAGTTTGACCGAATCCGACACGCGGTCAACGTATGTGGATACGTTTTGGCATATTTTTAAAAAATAAAAATAAAATTACAATTTAAAAAAATAAAAATATTTAATAAAAAACAAAAAGTCTGGAACCCTATCTCGTCTGATCCTCTCTCGCGCTGGAGGCTGCTGGTCTGGTCCTTCTCTTCTTCGTCGTCGGTCGTCGGTCGTCGCCGGTCGTCGTCGACATCTCCGGTCGTTGGTCGTCGTCTACATCCGGTAAGTCTCTTTCCATTCTCTTTCGATTCTCGCCTTTTTGATTATTTTTGGGTCTAGAGAGTCTGAGGCTATGTGTGGTTTTTTCTCGTCTACATCTCCCTTGTATAGTTTCCTTCATATGTGTGGTTTTTTCTCCCAGAACGATAATATCATGCTTAACTATATTATAAATTCCAATAGAACCCAGAGAAACGAACCATAAAGCAAGTATAGGGGAAAACATGAAACCCACTTTACTGGTACCAAACCGTTGTATGCTGAACAAAGCCACCAGGACTAGAATTGAAACAATAACCAGTGCATCTGCATGTGAGAAACACAAAAAAGATAAAAAGAAATTAAGCTCTGTTGTGCAAAATTCTAATTTGTTCATTTCCATAGTTCCACAAGATAAATAACACATTGGTTGTACTTAGGCCAAAGCACACCAAGCTCATTAATTGAGAGATATTTCAGAGACTTTGATCTCAAGTGCATTTGCTGCAGAAAATTATAAAAGGATTCATATCTTGCATTGCAATTTTTTTTATTGGAATAAATTTTTTTCTCTGTTTCTTCACCAATATATTTGACAATAGAAACAAGAACAAGATAGACTTTGACAATAGAAATTCAGTCAAGCATAATAGGCTTGGGGTCAGAAAAACAGCATGAGATATGAATGCTACTGGTAGAATCCCTTATCTGAGGCAATAGAGATTCATATACAACAAAAGAGTTAGGTACTTTGCCTTATTTTTATTGTATATTGAGCTGGCCTTTTGCTTTAGCAATTGTATATTAAGCTGTGAAAGAATGAAAGAAGGGTTTTGGTAAAGAGTCAGGTACTTTGCCTTATTTGTATTGGTTAACCCCTTATCTGAGGCTACTGGTAGAATCCATAACTCATGCCTCCAGGCTACTTATGTGGCATTAGATATGAATGCTATGTCCGTACCTTTTGGGTTATGGAGTTCTTCAAGTAAATACCATGTGCTACTGCTGCCTTGTGGAATTGTAGCTTCTTCCTACTTCTGGTTTCCAATTACAAAACAAGCTCAAGTGTGTACTACATTCAGTATTTCAATTTATAATAATCCCCCCCACGGTGTGCATGGTGATAAAAGTGATATGAAACAGTATTTCTTTTATTGGGTTTGCATATACAATTATCACATGAAAAATCACGAAATATTATTTAACAATATAACCTTATGCCCTGTATGATCCAAATTTGAAACTTGAAACCATGCATTTAAAAATTATGAGCTTGTATAGGAGCAACGAACCAAACAAGAGAGTTGTTTATTAAGCTCTTGGAATTAGAGTTGGTTACATTACAAATAGCCATGTCCATAACAATAATTAAGAGTTGGCTGGAAATTCTAAAATATTCTTCATGATCATGCTCATATACATTACACCCTCTTGTGCAAACAGAATTTTGCACTCTACATTGCAATCACAGATTTTTAAAGTGCTCTGTTTTATACACTAAATCAATCTCACTAATTTTATTTTTGTTTGACACATTTATAGAATTACAAGATGGATCATTCGAGTTCTGCCTCTGCCAGTGCCAGTAATAGTGCTGCTACTAGTGCTTCTGATGTCAATGAATATTTAGCATATGAGTTATTATGAATTGCTATATGTATTAAATGTAAATTATATTATATATATTAAAAATATTATTTAATATCAAAACGTGTCCCAACGTGTCGAAATTTAGCATTTTTTAGAATTAACGTGTCGGAGTGTCGTGTCATGTCCCATGTCCGTGTCCGTGCATCATTGACTACTACTACCTTAACACCTCACTAACCCCCCTTTAAGATAAATATTCCTAAAAGAAGGGTTCAGCAAAACGACAGGGTTTTGTTTATCAGAAGAAAAAGAGGAATTGTTTATTCGCATAGGTTTCGAAAGCTCATCGTTTTGTTTGGCTTGGACTTCGGGTTCGACTTTCTTCTCTCTAATTCTGTACATGATTCTGGATGCACCATAAAATTTGTTCACATATGACATTGATGCTTTCTGTATCGAAATTCATTTTTTCTTTGTTATTTCCGTTTACTGTCTGTGTATTTGTGAGAATTATGTAGCGATGCCTTCGCGAATGTTTGAATTAGAACGTAGTTGCTATGCATTGTTGCTTTCAATTGTCTCACCGGTTTTTTCTGCATATCCTAAAACACAACTTGATTCATTGATTTTGTGCTCCCTTGCTTTATAGTGTAGGATTGACCTAGGGATATAGTTTTGAGGTTAGTAGGGTTTCAGCCTCTTTTGCTTGATCAAATTTTTGGATTATTTGAATGCTTTCTGAATGATACATTGCAAATCTTGCTTGATATTTAAGTCAACTGTAAATTTTTAATTTTGTTGAGTTGTTTTCTAGTTTGTGGTTACTACTTACTAGATCTCAGAACAGATTACTATATTTTGAGAAATGACTATATAATCAATTAGATTGAAATGGAGTTCAAAATAAAATTAATTTAATAAAATGTATCTACCCTTGCATGACTGAAAGATCATGGGTTCGAATACAGGAAACAGCCTCTTTGCAATTATGCAATAGTAAGGCTGCGTACAAGGATTGCCTCTATCCCACACTAGCTAGTCGGGTTTAACGGGGAGTGATTTTTTTTTTTTTTTAAGATAAAGTAAATAAAGGGTAAATACACCTTTACTCACACAAGCTCACTTTAGAAGAACCTTATCCTTAATTTAAAATAAACTCCAAAGTCCAAACAATGAAATCTAATTGAATTCCATTGATTTTGATATTGGTTCCAAACAAGAGAATTCATGTAATATGGTTTGAGTAGTTATAATTAGACTAGTACTTTTTATGTGATAATATAATGGCCATTTGATTGTCTCTGATGTTTCTCTGCTGAATGCAGACAACCTTCTACAAGCAGCATCCAACAATGCTTCTGGACAAGAATGCCATTCAGGAAACCCATTATGAGGTTCTCAATGTCAAGGAAGATGCAAGTTATGAAGAAATTCGTGCTAGTTACCGTAATGCTGTACTCAGTTTACATCCTGATAAACTATTGAAGACATCCGAGACATCATCCAGCAGTAATCAAACAAATGGAGAGAGGTTTCTCAAAGTACAAAAGGCATGGGAAGTTCTAAGCAATTCAAGCTCTCGGTTATTGTATGATAATGAACTGCGAAGTTCGAGGCGGGATGTACTGGCTGCTGAAGTTGCAGAAGATGTAAGCTTGCAGGATATGATAGCTGAAGATGCTGGAGATGCATTGGAACTGTTTTATCAGTGCCGATGTGGTGATTACTTCTCTGTCGACTCCTTGGAATTGCAGAAAATGGGATATTCTTTGTTGAAGGAAGGAAATAGGCTATCTATACTCAGCATTGATACTTTATCAGGATCAGTTATTCTTCCCTGCGGATCTTGTTCGTTAAAAGCTCGTCTGGTAATCAGTATTGTTGACAATTGAAATTATTAACATTTTTAGTATGGACTATGACCCATTGAAATTATTACATTTTTTATGAAGATAGCAAACTAATGATAGCTGCCTATCATTGGAAAAAAAATTTGGGGGCAGAAATCCAAAAGTGTTCAGTGCCGAATTCTTCCAGATAAGCTATGCTGACGCACTTATTAAATTTAATTTACATTCTTAATTATAGTTTTTTCTCATTAGAAATTGAGCGTGGTATTCAAAATCAACTTTATCCATAATAAAAGTTTAAATTTTAAGTTTATCACTTCAAAAAATGGATGAGACTTGAAAATTTCATGGCTTAACTTAAAAGAATCTCGTTTGCACTTGAGACTCCAAAAAGCTGGAGATTTTCATATATTATTTACTGTCTACAGAAGCAGCATACATATGTAAAAAAAATAAAAATAATCCAAGCATTCATGGGTAACGGTACACATTTCAGAAAGGAGAATATTGATCATCGATACATTATACATACAATCAGTAAGCAAAACTGACGATTATTCTATATATGAAACTTCTTATTTTATGCCATGAATCATAAATTTGATTTCTTTAGTTCCAATAGTCTAGACCACCTTTTATCAACAGAGGCCCGGCTTTGTCCAGTAGTATCTGAAAAATAAGACGTTCTTTCATAAGTTTTACTTGATTTCTTTAAGGAAATTTTGTTGGTGTTGCAAACAGGAAAACAAAAAGAAGAAGTAATCAACAAAGAAAAGAAAAGTAATCAAGCCATGAAGTTTTCAAATAAAAAATGCTTACACTGTACTGTATACTCAGATTTCTCGCACAAGTCCGAGCACGTATCCTGCAAAAAATAAATTAAATATAAGACTACGGAGGATTTCCAAAATCAAAATTCTGAAACAGAAATTGTAAAATCATGATTTGCAATTCTGCTAAATATACTTTTACTGAGGAGTTTAGCCGAATAGCATCTTGGACAAGAGAGTCAAGATCAACTTCGTATCCCGGTCTAGCATATATCACCTGTATTGTGAGTAGTTGTGTTAGATTACCCTTTATTACTTTGGCAACAGCATTGAACATGATATACTTGAAATCATCTCATGACTAAAAATTTGGTATAGCTATTGTCATTCCTCCTTAAAATAAGGTGATGAAAAGCTATATCCATCGAAAACACTGTCTATTACGGTCAGTTCTACATTACAACATAGATAACAACACATATATATCCTGTAACACATTTTCAGCCTCAAATTTTAACCTTAAAATGACACACACTTTTCTATATTGCAATAGCATTTTCATGTATTCTTTTGAAACATTCCAATTATTTTTGGAATTTTATAAAAGAAAACACAAGTAAGCTTTTTAAAGAGAAATTATTTTAGAGAACTTCTATCTATGTGCAAAAAAGGAGACACAAAAAATGAAACTAATTGGGTTTTGGGACTTACATTAGGGTCTCCGCCAATATCAGGTAGCTGTTTATCTCTAGCCATGAGAACCCATACGTTAAATTTAGTGTCAATCTGTAACCATTAGTAAATACAAAGTCATCCACATAGAACAAGCTTAATGGCATTCGTCAAAACATAATCAGCATTTGACAATGTAGATATCTTCAAGAATACATAAAATTGGTTATAAGTACAAATTTATTTTTCTGAAATATACGTATAATATTTAACTATAAAGCAAAACATCAAATTGCAATAACATCAAATAATACATTTTCCTTTCAAGAAATTCTTTTGGTGTATATGTGCACTTAACAGTCCCAACACCAAGATATATTGGTAAAACCTGGGTATTTTTAGGTAGAAAAAAGTTCAGAGGAAGGTGAGAGTAAGCATGAGTTTTTTGACACAGTTATAAGATTCATCAAACTTCTCTTAAACTTCAACCATTCAAATATAATACGCTTTCTCCAACATAAACAACATGGTATGTAACGATTTTATTTTATTTTTTTCTGGTGTGAGGCATGTGAGAGATCATAAACCCATGTTATTTGAGGACCAGATCAGCCAAAATGAATTAAGAATAATGCCACCCACACACATTTACACACACCACTTCATAGCTATATTCTGCCTTTTAATGTGCTCAGTGTTAATATGCACTAGGCATAGCAGTTAGACAGGAAGCCCTCCCAATATGTGCTTACTCTAAGGTTCAAACTTTGGCAAGTTTAGTACTATATACATTTAACTATTTATGCTAAAATTTGTTTAAGGCTTTAATGTTTCTACAGCGAATGTAGATAAGTTATCTACATTTTCTCTCAAAATGATGTCGTTTAGGGTTGAAAGATTAAAAAATTATAATAATAAAGTCTATTATAACCTTGGAATAAATTATAATTACAAAAACACTTTGATTTTCGCCCCAAAATGACGTCGTTTTGAGCTCAATGTAGATAACTTATCTACATTCACTGCAGAAAAAACAAACCCTTTGTTTAATAATATAAAAGGTTTCACAAATCTGAAAAAGAAAAAGCCAAAAATCAATTCATAATATCAAAGATACTACAATAAGAATCACATTCACTAGTGATCAATGCAAAGTATCTGAATACAAAAGAAAAAATCTACATTGTCAAGCCATGTAACAGATCTAAACCAAAAACCACTCCCCATTAAACCCAACTAGCGAGTGTGGGGTGGAGGAAATCCTTGTACACAGTCTTATCCTTGCATAATTGCAAAGAGGCTGTTTCCTGGATTCGAACCATGACTTTTTAATCATGAAGGAACAGTTTTACCACTGCTCCAGTTCTAAAACAATCAAATTAATTAGTATATGTTCATGAAGAAAGGAAATGCCAGTCGGCAATATGAAAAGAAACTGAACAAAGAGGAAGCCAGAGTGGGTAGGGTAGAGATCAAACTCATAATATCCAAGATACTACAATAAAAATCACAATCAATAGTTATCCATGCACAGTATTTGAATGAAAAAGAGAACATCTACATTGTCAAGGCAATAAGGCATGTCACAAATCTCAAACCAAGAAATTAATTAGTATCTGTTCATGATGAAAGGAAATACCTGTCGGCAATATGGAGAAAAACAGTTGCTACATTTTCTAGTGAAGGATGTCATGACTCTTCCATCCACCGATAAGCCAAAGCTAGCATGCTGGCATTATCATGTAGAAGTGTTGACAAGTGACTAAACAAAATTAAATTTGAAATATAGGAATATTAATTCTAGTCACTGACGAAGATAGAAAATATAATTCAATATTGTCATTAACATAAAAAGGGAGTATGAAAAAAATGAAATTGGAAGTGCATAAATACTTAATTTTGTATATCATTCATTTTTACAATAGAATTTCCATTCATATATCTAAATAAAATATTTGGAACTACCACCTTTTGGATGGAGAGGTTGATGAATACTTGTGCATCCTTATGTGGGTCATCTTCAACTTCAATCAAATCCTGTAACTGTAGGTCGTGCAAAGATACGAGATAGTCACATGTCCAATCTCCATGATATTTGCTATCACCCGGTGATATTGTGATCAGACGGCGAGCACCCTTACTCGTGTTCTTCCCAATCTGTGTTTGATCACACAGAGTAAATAGCATTAGAATATTGTTAAGGACCAAATGGCTGCAATTGCAACCATCTTGGTCGTAAGAATAATAATAAAGAAACCAAAGACCCTATTTGTATTACAAGAATACTATGTGTATATGTTATGCACATTAACAACACTTATTTATATTTATGAGAAACAAGTTTGATTGAAACTTTTAGATGATATTTAAAATATTAAAGAGAATGAAAGAAAAATGAGTAGGATTATATCGAAAAACTTTTTGTTTATAAATTCTTACAAACTACATGACCCGTAATACTCTACTCAAGAATGTACCACGGTAATACTGGTAATACTCTACTTAAGAGTGTATTATCGGTCAGACGTAGTGTAGTTTGTAATAGTTTTTAAACAAAAAATTTATAAATATAAATTGCAGAAATGAAAATATGACCAGTATACTTGTTATTACATAACCATAGATATAAGAAAAGCCAAGCACAGATTAGAGAATTAAAAGAAGTAAAATGAAAGAAGATAGATAGTTAGTTACCAATGGAGAGTGCAAGTTATACTTTCTTTTGGTAGAAGCAGTAAACCTGGCATCATTATTATTATAAGTGTGAAACTGAGAGAGCAACTTCAACGTTTTGAACTTGGCTGCAGGGTGGCGGCACGGATTGAATATTATTGAGTTGAAGCTCCTTTGGGTTGGGGATACCAAATTTCCAGCTTTCGCCATAACTCACGCTGAAGACAGGTTTTCTCAAAGTGTAATGTAACGTAAGTGAAAGAAGATGGTTAACTTAACCTTATCTTTCACGTGTGACTGATATTGAAGCCTCATAACGCCAATTTAGTTTTCTAGGGGACACATGACAATTGAGACCTACGAAGACGGTAACATGATATTACATGATTGATTATGTTAATTTTAAAAAATATTAAATTTTAACATATTTTGATATTAAATAATTTTTAATTTACACAGTGTATATTATATTTAATATTTAATAATTTAACAAAAAAATAAAGTTAAACTTATAATAGCCAACAATTTTATAAAAAAATATTAGATATCCCAAATATTTATATTAAACTTAATAAAATGATAATCATAATCCAACAAATCTAATAATTGGAACTAAAAACGCAACACAACGTATCCTTTAAACTTATTTTTTTGAGTCTCTACAACGAGTGTCGAGAAGTGTCAGACGCGATACGTCGGAGCTTTTAAAGTGTCGGTGCTTCATAAGTTGAGACCATATCCATGTATATATCTCACGTGCCTTGGTTTTTTTACTTTCAACCTCTAAGGGATCTTTCATTTTTATTTTTCACCCTAGTGTTTTATCATTTTGGAATCATTAAATATTATTGTCTCCTATATTCATATTTTTTAAATGGGTCATATAAAAAAAAAAAAATTCTCTCACTTCTAACTCTTTTCTATCTTATATTTATTGTTTGGATAGGGGATAATATTTTTCTTACGTTATGTATTATCCTAAAATTAATTTAATTTAATTTAGAAATTAGTTTGTGTTTGGAACTTAATATAAAAATTATATAATTTAAATTATTTAGAAATCAAACTCATGTTTAAAAACATTATAAACGAAGTAAATCATTAATTAATTTTTAATCCATCAGTACCGATCTTTGTTAATGAAACTATATTATTATATAGTTTTTTAATTTGTTTTCCAATTAACTAATTTTTAACTTAATTTATTGTAACTAGACGTGCCGCATTCCTCATTCAGACTTTTCCAATTAATCAATATCAGTATTATCTAAGTTTATTCATTTATAAATTATTAGGACCTACAAAACAGAACAGCAACATGAAAGTGGCTTCCTCTTTTGATAAAATGTAAGTAGAACCTGTAATGTTTGGGATCAATAGTTAAGTGAAGAATTGCATGAATTCCCCGAGACTAACACTTAATATGCTCCCGCGCATTGCATCTTGATAAACTGTGTTTCATAGATCACAACTTAATGGAAGTTCTATACCATGTTAGCTACTTTTCCCTTTTATAATTTCATTAGATGCTAACAAGGATGAATGGTACGTCAGGCAGACACGGAATCAGGAAATGAGCGTACAACTTCAAAACCCATCCAAGTACCATATCTCAAAGCCAAACTGAGCTTAACCTGTGACAGAATTCCACGGGAGAAACTAGGTACATATCAAATGTTTTATTAAATAATTAACAACACTGTTAATCACATATTTCAATTGGTTAACCATATTTCAATTAAATGTAAATATTCATTAAAATAATATATTAATTAGCAACAAGCTAACTACTAATCAATTTTTTTTATTTTTTTAAAGAAATATAACCTCAAACATTTAAAAAAATAAAAAATTAGTTGGTAAACTGACACAATCCAACCGTCCTCAACCCAAGTAGGGTTTTCTAAACAGCTCATTTTTATAACATGGATAATCATATTTTAGACAAAGCCCATTATTTTTTATGAGAAACATGGACTCGCACTGGCTAAAGATGTATAAAGCTAGTCAGTATAGCAAATTAACGAGAGACTTTTCTTTAAAAAACAAAAACAAAACTCTTGTAAGTAAGTTAGTGTTTAAAGTAAATAAACAATGGTTTGCTCATTTTTTCCTCCAAAAGGGGATCCTTTTAGTGTAAAGGAACACTAAGTAAACACACATGGCGTGGTGTAAGTAACCATTTCAGAAGAAAATTTTGGATGACTTACCTTCTGCGTCTTCAAGCTTTTTAATGAATCAAGTATGCTGGGTGTTTTTTTCTACTATATATGCTTTGTAAATTATTTCTATAACTGACAAGGAAATCAGAAAAGTTATTAGTACAGTAAAGATGGTGAATAAATGGTAATCAAGGCCAATCTAAATGTCTTACATCCTCACTCAAGGTCCAAGCACCTTCCGCCATCTCATCATATAACTGGTTCCATCCCCAACTTGAGTACCCCAAGAAAAACCAGTAATCACCGGCTGGTTGATTTTCTGATATCAGCTGCTTAATTTTACGAATTGTCGCTACATGATCAAGGAAGTAAATTCCAGGTAGTATTTCAGGTAAATAATTTATGGAAACTGTTCTAGTTAAGGATAAAAGAGGCATTCCAGTTTTCACAACTGGACCCCCAAGGGACAAAGGAGCCTCTGTTAATTTTTCAAAGCCTTCTTCCAATTTAGGCAGGGAACTCCATTGCATATGCTTGTTAATCATAAGACCTTGAAATCCAGTTATTTGATCAGCTGCCACAATGAGAATCTTTGATCCATCAAATGGTTGAGTCCCCGAAAGCTTTTCTGTGGCAATTAGCACTGAACCAATCACCACGTGAGGTGATGTTTCATGCAGTCCACTTGATACAGGTGAATTCATCAGGTTAGGTTTGACCACTTGGTCCAGCATCATTTCTTGAACTGGGCTTCCATGAAATTTGTTGCGTGTATGAAGCGATTCCTCATGGATGCCAGTTTGCAAAGTATCATATAAGTTCTGACTCCTGACTACTCTTTCAGATAGCCACAGAACTGCTACTGAAACAATGAGATAAAAGCAAGAATTTAGACTACCACAGTTGATGTTGTAAGGTTGAAGAAACAAAGGACAATGAACTAAAAGATGATATGCTGAAAGAAGCAGACGGCAAATAGCAGATACACTAGCTACAAGTCTGTGACTCTGTCCTGAACCCAGAAATGCGTTCTGAGTTTTCAGAATAGAGATGAGTAGAACAGAGAGAGAAAAGAAAAATGAATACTTCCGTATTGTTTACTTTTTTATTTTTAACCGTATTGTTTATTGAATTGCAAACTAAAAACCCAAGAGAATTCTCCTTCCAAGGGTTTCCCCAAAGAGTTGCCTCTTTTACAACAGAGCCTTTGCTCAGTTCTCACATCTAAATTTTCGAATGCCTATCTTGTACCTTGCTCTCCTGCTATTTAAGCCAGAACCTCTGTGCTTAACTACTTATTCCCTTGGTAGATTCTAACTGTAACTATCTTAACATATATCTACCCGTCTAGGAATCAAAAGGGATAGGAAACAAAGATCTGTCAATGTTCATAAGAGAGTTTGATACAGTTTGACGCCAACAATATCTGATTCAGATGCTTAATGATAAACCATATATACAATAATAGTAAATCACACATGAATGTTTACCTTTCTCTTTGATAAGATCATGAAAGTTACTTCCATGCTCAGCCACAAACTTCATAACATCAATTACAGCTGCATCTCCTTCATAAAGAAGAGGTTTCTTCTTTTCTGCTGGAAATAAAACCAGAGCAGGATAAACTTCCCTCTGCATATGAAAAGTACACCAAACAACATTAACCAGAGACTATAAACAAAAGGCTATAATGTCCAAAACTTTCAACTGCACAAAATTTCAAATTGCCAGGCCTGGCAATTAACTATTTAAATTCAATGTTACATGTTTCAAATAAATCGTAGATTAGGTTCATCATATTTCTTCATATCTGTTGATAACAAGAATATAAAGTTTTAAACAATGTGAATGTCCCTCTAGGCTTTGCAATGCAACTAAATTAATCCCATCACAAATTCTATTATTCTAATTTATCCATACTTCTCGCTCATTAACAATATATTAACATAAATGAGCAACAGTTTTACGTGCAAGTTACTGCTACAAGACTTGGTAACTAAGCAGAGAAAACTTTCAAAAAGGCATTGTTGTCCTTTAATGCCTGTAGATGTCCCAGACAGGAAGGACTCCTTTCATTGGTATTCCAAATATTCCACTGAAGGAAAATTAGTCTGCTGACACTGTTGTAAAAGTACCAATCAACAATCCATCATCTTCATTTGGCCCAACAATAATGACACAGATAAGTAATATATTGCCAAGTAAATACAACCCACTAGTAAACTCAAAATGTGTACAAAAAGAGTGACAATAATACATGATGGATGTAAAAAGGAAACAGAGCACGAAGGACTTGAAGACAGTTCCACAGGTACCTGATCTACTGACTTCAGTATAAAATCACAGTCATTCAATGTACAATCCAGTAAGTAGATTGCCGGAAGCTTCATCGAAACATAATCCAAATTTTCTGCCATGTAACAATCAATTGCCAAACTGTTAGAGACTGTATCTACCATTTCAACAGGAAATTCTTCCAAAAATCAATTCAAATAACACCATACAACATCAATCAAGTCTGCCGAATAGGATAACAACTATTGGCATTCATGAATCATGAAAAGATCAGTGGTGCAGAGTTTGATAAAGACACTCATTTACAACTTACAAGTGAAAATTAACATTTCATGATCAACTAACAATCAATTTGATCTTGTCATGCAGTTGGTGGGAACAACAACATGCACAAAAGAAACAGGAACAGCTAGTTACTAATACAGAAGCTACTGACCAGTTTACTAAAAGTAAAGCCACAAGCTTCTCCCATTTTAGCAAAACTTGCTAAAAACAAATACCCTAAACAAGCATTTTAACTGGATGAAAAATGAGGTGGTAGAGACAGACACACACATATACACACAATCTTACCAAGATCAGAAATACCCTTCACATTCTGAGACCCCCTCTTTAAAATATCCATATAGCTCTTGATGGCTCGATATACTTCGCGAACAACAACTTCCATTCTCTGGCAGAATGCACACCAACTGTTGCTAAACAAGACCAAGACATCTTTATTCCATGCATTAGAAGTGCTTTCTTTGTTAGATAGGTTGAAACCAACAAGTTCAGAGAAAGTATGAGTCGTGATTCGAGGTATAGAATCCACCTCATGAAAATCCAAATTAACAAATGGAGGATGAGTGGCCTCCCTTTGGCTTTGAAGAAGATGTTCTGACCTCTTATATGGAAGCAGGGTTCCATTAAGAAACTCAGAAAAAAAACCATACAGTGAAGAAAAGTCGAAACTTTTCTCTTCAGGGTAAACATAATGCTGCTGCTGAAAGGGATCAACTATAACCAAAGATGGAATTCTACATCCACCAGTTAGTCTTTTAAGTAATTGGTAATTACCATCAGAATAGAAAAAGGAACCATTGAAACCGAGAAACTGAGCCTGTTCTCCCCCGTACTCATTTCCGTCTGAAGAATCATCTGTTTCCGATTCAATGATTTCAGCAGTAGAAAGTTCATGATCTGTGATGGATTCTTCAGATTGCACATATTTTATCTCTTCATTTGTTACAACAGAAGGTCTCTTCACTTCATCATGCTGAATAGATGGATCGGTCAATTTGGGATTTTCCTCAGGCCCTCCAGCAGATCTATATGGATCCCCATCCAGCATCACAGTATCTGTATGGCCTTCTTGAGAAGTTTCTGTCGAAATTTGATTTAGCTGAACTTCTGAATGTGATTGTTGTGAATTAGCTGACCTGATGTCTATATCATCAGATAAAAGTTGGAAACCTAAATCCTTTGCAAGGGAGCTTAGTTTCCCATCCTTCTTTTGCTGGAGAAGGTAACCCAAGATCTCATTCAAAGAACTCACTTGTAAATCAGAAGCTACATTTTCCAAACTAATTTGCTTACCCTCATTTATTATCACGATGGACGACATCTTGTCCTTTAGTTTAATCTTCTGTGCAGTCACAGGCAGCTTTAGCCTAGGAAGCTCAGATGTACTCTTAACACTATGATAATATCGGATGGAAACTTTCTCGTGATTATCAGTATTCTTCTTACCTGTTTGGTTCACAACATGATAGTGTTGTGCCAATACTCTAAAATCTTTAAGAGCTTCCTTACTTTTCCCCCTAGTTTCTGAGGAGTCAGATGTTCGATCAACAAATAGAAGTACTGATGGCTTATTTGCTGGTAGAATGGGCTCTTGATCATGTCCATCAGCTTCCAGCTAAATGATGACAAACAAAACAGTGTAAGTCCCAAAATTGGATTAGTTAATTGAATGAAGTATGGATACTTTCATATTGGTGGTGTATCCATATCAGTTAAATAAACCAGTCTGCAACAATACAATCAGAGATGGGCTTAGAGATTGGATACGGTTGAGATGAAATATAACATTATGGCATAAACTGCAGAACATGAAACAAAATTTAGAGAGGTTTTATTCACCTCTTTGACAATATAATTATTCATCTGCAAAACATACTTCAAGTCGTCCTCTTCTTTAAGAATTTTTGAACAACTTGAGCATCCAGCAAGGTAGTGAACCGCAAACCATGAACCAGAATCACCAACACCTAAGGATGAAAGCATCGACCTATCTGAAACCAGTCCAAATCTATGTCGTTCCAGAGGCAGAAAGAATTCTTTCACAGCAGTCATGAATTTCAAGTAGAAAGAATGGAAACGCTCAAATTCTTCAAATGAACAGGAATTAAGAACATGACGATTCCTATCCTTGGAGCCTTCCAAAGGACCACCTTTTACTGAGGTAAACTCCCCAAGCCAAGGAGCTTCACAAAACCCTTTATCAAAGCTGAGTTCAGCCTTGCACATGTCATCCTCTGATAATTTGGGAAACAGAAAAGGGTGAAATGATGAATTTATTATTTAAGGTCAAAAATTTCATATTTTCATGCACTTAGATAATACCAGCCACCTTCTGGTTAGTCTTCTCCCTTGATACTGATATTCTATAATTACCTCCACTTAAGCCCATTCCAAGGTGATCGCCTGCAAGGAAAAAACCCACATACCTACAGTGACTCACCTTCTGATGAGGGTTACGACAATTAATACATTCCAGAAAATATATATACGCATGACATAAGTATACAAAAAGAGAAAGGAAGCCTCGGCACAACGGTTGGTGTTGTCGCCACGTGACCTGTAGGTGACCGGCTCAAATCATATAATCAGCTCCAAAGTAAGGCTGCTTACTATATACCCACACAATGGCTCAGATCCATTGTCTCATTGATTCAACATCATGTGATATCCGGGAGTCACATGGCAACAAGAGTAACTGTTGTGGCAAGGCCACTCTTCAAATATATCTAACTAATAATAAAGTGAAAAATTTTAGTACATTACCATTATACCATATACTATTACTAATATCATAGAAATTATTTCTGAAATAAGCAAATGTTAAATAAGATCAAGGTAGGTAAACATCAAATTCATTGAGGCTACACTTACAGAAGCCAGCAGCAACATTTAGACTCACCGTGCATGCTGAAACCATTAACCGTTCCATTTTTCATCTTATTTTCGGCAAGCAACTTTGGAGTCCATCCACAAAAGTCAACAAGAACTAGAGCCTCATCAGTTGAATCAAGGAATGTTGTGAAATCTTGAGGAGTGTTGAGGGCTTTAAGGGGAACCTCCTCAGGCGCAAGGGACATATAATGATACAATGAAGACAATATATTATTTGCTCTAAGCCTTCCTCTGTACTTGTAAGATACAGAATAATGGAAATAAATTACTGTTATTTCATCAGTAGCAGTAGCACCTATGGAATCTGCTAGCATCTTCTCTGTGTTTCTATGAATAAACATGAGTTTTAAATTGCCAAACTCGTGAGGCTTATCAGCAACCACGAGCGAAACATGCTTCATAAGAGAGCGAGACTCGCCAGACCCTACGGTTCAAAATTGAAATCAAACACATTAGAACCACAACAACATGTTCCTAGCATAGCACAGAATCTTGAATGTGAAAATAGATTCTCCAAATCAAAAGCATAAGTTAAAAAAAAAAAAAGTGTTACAGGGAATGGTGACGAGAAGTAACACGTGTTGATGGAGTCCGATTTGAGAAGAGAAATTGTGCTTGGTGAGGATCTGCCATTGGCACGAAGAACAGGGAACAATGGATAAGGATGCTATTGCTATTGCTATTGTTATTGCTACCACTCTGGACGGAGGGATAGGGGCCTTCATTGTTAACTCTTTCAGTTGCAGCTCCCGTGAACTGCTCAGCTTCGCGACGGCTACAACCACTGTCTCACACTTTACACGGCGCAGTAGCCTTTGTGGATCGGGTCGGATTTCAACTTCTTGTTATATACTCGTTGTTTCGGATCCATTATTCCAAACTGAACTAGTTTAGTTTTTTTTTTTTTTTTTTTCAGTAAAATGAACTAGTTTAGTTAACCGATGCAGAAATTGTTTTCCTTTTTTTATTTCGATAAAATTCCTTTAATTAAGTTTTTAATTTAAAGAGAGTAACTACTATGCATATTTATATTTTATTTTAGGAAAAAATGTGTATCATTTTAAAGGATGTAAAGTTATATCATTTTAAGTGAGAAGAAGAGATAAATAAAGAAGTAGAGAGAGTGAACAAAAAAAATAAAAAAGTATAAGTTTCACCTCTTTGTGAGAGTAAAATGACCCCAATTGTGTCATTTAAAAGGATAAATGTTTGGATTCGGTTTTTCTGTCGTTAACGTAGATAATTTATTTACATTGACCTCGAAACGATGTTGTTTTGGAACAGAAGTCAATATAATTTTATAATTATATTTTATTTCATTATAATTTTTTAATTTTCAATTTAAAATAACGTGATTTTAAGAACGAATATAAATAACCTATGTATTTCATCGTATAAATATTAGAGGCGAGATATTCTTACTACTAAAATTTTTCACTACCAATTTATTACTTATTTGATCACTATTAGATTAACATTTTCTCTCTCTTTTCAAACACTTTTTAATATTCTTTCTCTTTGATCCAATGGAGATGTGATAGGCAGTAAGTTAGCAGTAAGAATTTTTAGTACTTAGAATATCATCGCTCTAAACATTAAAGCCATTAACTTTTGACTTCGAAGTTAAAATTTTTAGTTTTTAAAAAAACTAAATTTTTAACTCTTTTTTTTATGACTTCATTTTAAAAGCTTATAAAAACCGGCCCAATATCAATATAGATACATAATTGAGATTGAGCGTTGGCGTTAAAACTTAAAACAAATAAAGACATGAGTGAATGAGAAGTGGATTCTGTGCGAAAGGTGTTAGAGCTCTGCTCATTTCTCTTCGTAACTGTAACCCTCCTGTCTTGGCGCCGCAACTCTCACTTGCTAAGCTTCAAAACCCTCTTCGCAGATCTCTCTTCTCTCCACCCTCCTCCTCCGCCGCCGCCGCCGCCATGCCTGGTAATGACTCACGCGATTTGGAGTGGCCGGCAAAGCGCGTCAGAGACACTTTCATTAAGTTCTTCGAAGATAAGAATCATGTTTACTGGAAGTCTAGTCCTGTCGTGCCCTTCAATGATCCAACCCTTCTCTTTGCTAACGCTGGTATGCTTCTCATATCCTTAGTTCCTTCTCTGTTTTGTCACTGAATGAATGGAATGTACGATTTTTTTTTTGAAATTATTTTTCATTTCTGTTTCATTTGTGTAAATTGAAATAGGTTTTTGTTTGAGATGTGTAATTTGTTTTTTTTTTTTTTTAAGTTGAGAAGTGAATCTGGACACTGATGGATAGTTAAATTGTTATAGATATTTTGTATTGGTAATAATAATATTATATTGTTATTTAGTTTTTGTATTTGAAAATATATATGTGGCGTTCACTGTTAAGGTTTCATTGTGATGTGACAGGGATGAACCAGTACAAGCCAATCTTTTTGGGAACTGCGGATCCTAACACTGCCTTGAGCAAACTATCTCGTGCTTGCAATACCCAAAAGTGCATTCGAGCTGGTGGTAAACACAATGATCTTGATGACGTAGGAAAAGATACCTACCATCACACCTTCTTCGAAATGCTGGGTAATTGGTCGTTTGGTGATTACTTTAAAGAAGAAGCCATTAGCTGGGCATGGGAACTTCTAACGAAAGTATGTTTTTTTCAGTTGGATTTTCTTATGTTGCTTCTTGAATTATGAGCCCTTTTGTTATGGACATAGGTATAGTTTGGTTAAATCACGTTGCAAAGTGCTTTGTGCTAGAGAATGATATCTTAGCACTAGCAGGTAGCTAGTAAGTGACTGAAGCTACCCCTCCTGGGCTATATAGGTTGGTTCTTCTATGTTACTAGGCTTTTGTGGTGCTTAAATAGCATCTGGCATATTGTGGCAAGTTGCCATTCTGGTTTTCAGACCTCATTAAGAGTAACGTTTTTTTCAATTAGTAATTGCACCATCACTGTCGCTATTACCACCACTTCCACTCCATCAACTGCACCATGCCTTCCATAACTGCATTGGGTTTTGTTTGAGGAAGAACAATTTTTTGTAACTAAATATGATATGGGAGTTTGTTAGCGGTCAATCATCATTAGCAGTCTTGGCATTGTGAATCCCAATTGATTGTCATGTTCACTTGCTAATTGTGAATAAATTAATAATTTCATCCAAAGAAAAAGATGATTAGAATGTTCAATTCAATTTGGATCCCCCAGCTAAAATCTTGTGAGAAGTTGATGGTTATTTATTTCATTCCTCAAGTTATATAAGTCATGATTATATCTCTTGTAAATTTACATTATTTACTTCTTTATTGTGCTGCAGGTTTTTAAATTACCATCGGATCGCATTTATGCCACATATTTTGGTGGTGACGAGAAGTCTGGTCTTGCCCCTGATAATGAGGCTAGAGATATATGGCTAAAGTTTTTGCCTCCTGGACGTGTGCTTCCTTTTGGTTGTAAAGTATGCTTCTATATTTTCTCTTAAAAAATGTAGAATGGAATATTTTGATTAGACTTGAAAAGATATCCAATATTATAGTACACTGTTTATGTAATATTTTGATAATATACTTTGTAATTTCTATGTTCAGCAAGATTATTGTAACTACAAGACACGTGTACTGTCTTTGTTTTAATTTGTATTAAAGATGGTTGCATTTTATACTGATACTAGACCCTAAATATACCTATATGAATGTTATTACACAAAAAGCTTGTTTCTGTTCTGGTTATCTAGTAATAAATTATTTTTCATTCTTAACGGCCATTTTAGTTACCCTATAAGGAAATAATATAAGCCATTTTAGCTGTTTACTTCTGCAATTCGATGCCATATTTATTGCATACTGTGATAAGGATGTGACTGCTGGTAGTTATCAATGATTGATAAATGAAATTGTGGTCTCAGTTTACAGTCTTTTTAAGCTGCTAGTGATGGGATCATTTCATTGTTCTTAAAAAAAAAAAAAACACTTAAAAAATGCAAATGGAATGTTTTTAATTATGAGAATCATAGGACATGCAAAATGTATTTATTAGTATACTGTAAATTTTGTCTGGACTTGATCTTTATATCTAACTAGGTGTATATCTTTGGATAGGACAATTTCTGGGAGATGGGTGATACTGGTCCTTGTGGACCTTGCACTGAAATACATTTTGACAGAATTGGTAACCGCGAAGCTGCATCACTAGTTAATAATGATGATCCTACCTGCATTGAGATATGGAACGTTGTCTTTATTCAGGTATTACAATGATTTACTGAGTATCTTACTGCCATTCTTTTTTCCCACATTCATGTACTTGATAAGTTGGTATGAGAATCCAGCCCAGCTTGCCAATTTTTTAAATCACCTTGAAATCTGTATCTAATATGTTTCTGTTTCTTTATCTCATAACAGTTCAATAGGGAAGCTGATGGCTCTCTTAAACCTTTACCTGCAAGGCATGTTGATACAGGCTTGGGTTTTGAACGATTGACCTCTATACTGCAGAACAAAATGAGCAATTATGACACTGATGTCTTCTTGCCTATCTTTGATGCTATTCAGCTGGTATGTTGGTAAAGGCATTATTAGGTTTAAGTATATTTCCTGTATGTTCTTGGAACGGTAATAATATTTAGTCCTGAATTTGTTATATTTGAATTGAAATTCTTGTAATATGGTGTCACTCATCACTCTTCTATAAGGTAGTGCCTGTACATATGGTAGAGAGAGGAGAGAGGATTGTCAAATTTGTCTGCCCCAGCAATTAACTTTTCACATAAAGAAGTTTAAGTGAAATGCTTAAATGTATAACTCTTGCAAGTTCATTAAAATTGAAATAAACGAGGAATTTCAAGTGGACTGGGATTTGGGTAGAGTGTGGAGCTGTTACTCGTGTAATATCCATTGGTCATAGTGCTTTCCCCCCCCTGTTTTCTGGCTTTTTCCCATGGATATAAACATATAGTTTGCTGTAGGTCAAACCAGATTAAATTCCATTTTTTTTTCTGTTTGCACACCTTGATAAATCTAGGTCTGTTGGACAAACTAACTTTTGTATCCCCTCGAGTTGCCTCTTCTGATATCTTTATACCTTTTGACAACTCCTTAACTTTTAAGAAATAATTTTTTCGGCCCTCAAGAGAATCTCCATAAAGTAAATTATGAATTCTACTTGCTATTGTTGAATACTTGTTTTTTTAGAGTTGTTAGCTGTCTATATATGCAGTTGACGTACAACACTCTTCATGAGCCATGGTGTAACACTCTTCATGAGCCATGGTGTGGATTTCTACGTGCTTTTTTCAAATCCTGTGATTGGATGTTTGAGCTCTTGTTGAGAAATAATGTTTTGCTGTATTTTTTTTTTTAAATTTTTTTTTGGTTCAGCACTCTGATTTAATGTTCGTGACTATGAACTGCTTGATAATTATATTGATAATTAATTTGTTTTCCTGTAACCCATTTGCAGGCAACAGGTGCTCGGCCATATTCTGGGAAAGTCGGACCAGATGATGTAGATAAAGTTGACATGGCATACAGGGTTGTTGCAGATCACATCAGAACCCTGTCATTTGCAATTGCTGATGGGTCTCGTCCTGGTAGGATATTGTAGGAAATATATTTATTCACATTTTTTTCCCTTTACAATTTACAAATCTCAACTTCTAGTGTCATAGTTTGCTGTCTTTTTTCCCCATGTATCGAGGGAGGCCTGTTCTTCAGAGACAGGGTTGTACCCTGTTGGTGGCTGCACCCCTTAACCCATTTATTAAGGCTTTTGACTTTTATATTTTTATTTGTTTGTGATACAAGCTGTATATCAGTTTGACTGTGTGAACAGTATGTAACTGTCTCTCTTTAAAATTAGGATTTCCACCTGTTATAATTTTTTATGATAGAGAAAGGACTTCCTTCCTTAATTCTGTTACGTTTTCTTCTTTTGAAGGTAATGAGGGCCGTGAGTATGTTCTGAGGCGTATACTCCGTCGAGCTGTTCGTTATGGACGTGAAGTGCTAAAAGCTAAAGAGGGTTTTTTCAATGGGTATGTATAATGGTTAGCCACTTTATTCTGTTGCCAGAATCCAGATCTTAAACTTTTGTGTTGGATTCCATATCCTAGTGTCATAGTTATCTAGAAATTATATTTGCCTGTTATTTCAAAGTTGATTTACTTGTTTAAAAAAATTTCACATTATTATGAGTCATCTGATAGGCAATTTCTGGTATATATAAATTAATGAATATACATTCTGTTTGTAATTTTTTTCCCCTCATTTTTTTCTGAATCCAGGCTTGTAAGTGTTGTGGTGAATGTGATGGGTGATGTTTTCACCGAGCTAAAACAACAGGAAGTCCACATTAGGAACATAATTGAAGAGGAGGAGGAAAGTTTTGGTAGAACCTTAATTAAGGTGAGGATAGTCTCGTTTCATCAAGACTTCTTTATGGTTATTACTTATCAGTCTCCTTGACATAATGACAGCCATCCTTCGGATTAGTTTTGTTTCTTGTGAATTCGATGATTTATCATCGCTTTATGGATAGTTTTTGTGGTTTTCTTTTACTTATATGCCCAAGAATAAAAAAATCTGACTGTTTTTACTTCTCCAGGGGATTGAGAAATTTGAGACAGCTGTTCGAAATGTTCAGGGAAAGATACTTAGTGGGGAGGCAAGTAGAATCTGTTATTTTCATGGTTACCTAATAGTCATATTTGCTTGTATTAATTACTGTTTTTACTCTTGTCAGCTACGTGTTTTTCTTAAGTTGGGTTCTTGCAAGTATATGCAGACAATATTTAAAATTCACAATATTTGATGTTTATAACTTCTCAGTTCTCAATAGGTCAGTGTTAACAAATTCATTTTGTGGATAGTAACAGAATGTTTTAATGAAAAAAGCACGAAAAGTAAAGCTAATAAGGAGGTCAAGATATCTACCATTACAGAAAAAGCAAAGCACATCATTGTTAACAAATTGTAAAAACAGATTTTTCTCTAATTGTTGTAAATAATTGCCTTATTTTTGGCAAGTGTCTTCCTCTGATGCCAGGGACTATGGATTGTAAGTTTCTGATGGAACCTCAATTTGCAATGAAATGAAATACATATTCAGATTATAAAGACAGATTACAATGGAGACCAGCTCCTATCCAACAACAGAACACTACAACAATGGCTGACATAGAAACAGTGGGCATAGCCCTTACACTAAGAAACACAGAAATTGCTGAGAAGTAATAACAAACATAGAAAGAACAAGAGGAAAAAGTCCGCTCCAAGATAACAACCTAGGCTTGAGAGCTTCTCTATTTCCTCTCCAAATCTCCCATCCTAATTCCCCAATTACAAATAACAATCATCATAAAGAAACCCCATCCTAAACATCTATATATAACTAATTCCTAACCTAATTCCTAACTAATGGGCTTGGATACTTTATTAGAGGCCCATCAGTTTCCCATATGTTTGTCGTGAAGATCATGAAATTAAAACTTTTGATGTTTTATCCAAAAATATTGATTGTAAAGATTGTCAATTTGGTCACAAAGTTGCAGTTAAAATCACACCCCTGCTACTGCATGATTGGACTAGTGTTGGTTATTTCGTATTTCATGGCTGAGCTTCTATCAAATGTTGATTCCCTTTTGCATAATTGTAATATAATTTAATTTAATGTTTTGCTTAGCTGTTTTTGAATAGGTCTATGGGCTATTTCTAATACAACTATCTCTTGATTATAGGAAGCATTTGTCTTGTGGGATACATATGGATTCCCATTAGATCTCACTCAGGTAGGTGGATTTCTTCACTGTAATACTATATGGAATTGTTAGTATGCCTTGTGTTTTTTATTTCCTAATATTTTCTATTTATCAGCTGATGGCTGAAGAAAAGGGATTACTTGTCGATGTCAATGGTTTTAATAGTGCTATGGAAGCTGCTAGAGAGAGATCAAGAAATGCTCAAACAAGGGTATCATAATTTGCTTGAATGTCTCTTTTCCCTACCCAACTTTGGTCTGAATTTTGAAGACACTCAATAAAACTGAGGATAAAGAGACATACCCATTTATTCTTTTTCCCTGCCTTCCTCACAACTTTCTTTTGTTACTGTCAGCAAGTTGGTGGTGACATTGTCATGGATGCTGATGCTACCTCAGCCTTGCACAATAGGGGCATTGCTCCAACAGATGATAGCTTCAAGTATGTTTGGCTCAAGGTAATCTTTTTTTTTTGTTTTTAAGGACACCGAGGGGATAAGATCAGTTTTTTTAACGTAAAAAGAAAAAAAAATTGAGAACACTGAGAATACATATAGAGCAAAGAGTTGTGAATACAAGGGTCATCTTCAAACCCAAATTTGAGAACACTGCAGCGAACTTCAGCCCCTTTTGAAACGATAGCAAGCTCATCACATTTTCCATTGCCATAATCATCTATAAACCTGTAAGCTCTAGAACAGGCCTTGAGGACAAAATTGAAGGTGAAATTATCAGAGACAACATGGGTGCTTTGCATCATGTTGTAAATATATAAAGCTTCAAGAGGGAAAGAACTGTTGGCAAAAGCTCGAATCATAGTGTTGGAAATGAAGGTGTTGTCCATGGAAGTTTCAAGGAAAAGAGAATGGGCATGGGAGAGGTTACCCAAAGGAGAAAGTGCTGAAAAGAAAATTAACTTAGAAGTGAAAGGAACATGAGATTGAAGCCCTGCTTTGGTGATTATGGCTTGGACTTGTTTCAATTCAAACATGGAAGACAATTTGTGAAGCATGCACTTAATGCCTGAACATGTCAACCCAACAACCATTTACCTTCCTTCTCTCAAACCCAACAAAATTAAAATTATATAAATTTTTTGGGATTGTGTTATGCATTAGTTTACACACAACAAAATTAAAATAACGAAAAAATATAAGTTTTTGTTTGGATAAAATTTTATAGCATGATTTAATAAATACCAAAAATTAGATAAATTTAAATATAAATGAGGTTGCTTGAGTTTTTTTTTTCAGTACTAATACAATTTTAATAATAAAAAGGGAATAACATATGTCATTTTAAAGGATATAATGTAATAAAAATAGGATAAAATACAACTTGCTCACACGTGATATGCACGTGTGTGGCACTAGGCTTGTGTTGTGTCATTTCCCTTCCCCTATTTAAACCCTTCAACTTCGTCTCTCAAATTCTTTCATAGTGTTGAGTCTGCAACTTTGAAAAGCTCTATCTCGAAGCTTCTATTCTACGCTTTTGGCGTTGTTTGAACTTGAAGATCTCATAGTCATAGCAATGGTCCGTCCCCTCTTCTTCTCCCCTTTTACATTTAGTTTCTTCTTTGTTTTTGTTAATCAATCCACTGCTTCAATTCCTTTTAAGATTTCGGGCTTGAACACGATTATTCGAATTTTAGGTTCCTTTGTCTTCTGTGATTCCCAGTTCTATATTTTATTCAGCTCTTCCCTCCCACAAAGCCCTTATTTCTAATTTATTTATAATTTGAGCTTTACATGAAATCAGATTGAATGTTCATTTTTTTTTTTTAAATAATTTTGTCATTTACGTTGGATGGATAATTTTGAAGACGTTTCACTGTTCAGCTGTAAAATTTATATGTTTTTGGCATGAATGCAAAGGTCCCAGAGAAGATGAAAGTTTCTCTCCCATCTCCAACTCCAAGAATGGTGCGTGATTTGAGTTCATACTGCAACTATTTGTCAAAGATCTTATCATGTCTGATGTCTCCTTTTACAGTGCTATGCACTCTCCGCTTTAGCCATGTTGGCTTGGACGTGTTGAGTGTGGAAAGCAGATAGCACATGTAGCATAGGGTGTTGGGCGAAATGGGTTTTTCCATGGTGGCCCAAATTGAGATCGAAATAAATTAATTTCTAAGTTCTTCTCTCTCTTTTTTTGTTTTTTGCCAAGATGTTGCGCGTTCAAGTTCTTGGATGCCACGTAAAAAGTATTCTATATTAGCATATGGCCAATTTAGGGAAACCAATAGGTTTAGTCTTACAAATTTTCGAGCTACTAATAGGGTTCCCTTGGAGTAGTTTTGCTTGTATTTAGAATAGGCAATTGGGTTGATGCTTGTGCTATTTAGAATAGTCAAATTATTCTGTTTTTGCAATTTTTTCCCATTTCTCACTCGCATGCTAAAAGTTTTCCTCCATGGAGATGTATAATTTGTAAAATTTTCTAAACAATATTTGAATATTTTAGGATGCTGCAAAGACGCATGGTACTGTGTTGGCATGTACAGATGAAGCAGTTCTTCCTGTCAGTCAAGTGTTTGATGCACTTAGAGAACTTGGGAAGGAGGGGGTTGAACAATATGATCCTATGGTTATTACATCTGCATCATCACGAAGTAATTCTACTGCTCCTTTGATTGCATTTTTTTTTGTATTTTTTTAATAATCTATACTGGTTTTGCCTCTAGAACATGTCTTACAGGGTTACTTTGCTTTTTAAATAGAATGAATTTGTAGCAAAAATCATTGCTTTATTTTTCTATTGCTTACATCTTGCTCTTGCTCAAATTTCTACTTACCACAAGAAAAAGATGTTTATTGCAAATGATGCTTAATTATTCTCTTCTTAAGGGATCTTTTTATCAGCTGCTGTTGTTGGGTAATTCACAAAAGTTGCATTCAATTGAGTTAATATACAAGTTAGGCTTCTATAGCCTATACATATTATTATTAGCTTTAATTGATGCTTTCAGCACAACTGCCTTTTTCGTGGAGTTTGTGTCCAACACTATTGTATAAAGTAAAATGCCAATGGATAATCATGCATAATACTTTATGATACTAATTTTTAATACTTAGTGGGTCTGTGATGGGTATTTCATTCAAGTAGGAAAACGAAGCTTAAACATGCTTCATTTGTTGAGGAAAATTCCAAATTTAGCATGCCATTTTTGGAATCTTCCAATATGATAAGCCAGTCTTTTTCAGAAAAATGTATAGATTGGCGCTTCTATTGTGCATTGAAAGATCAAATTTTGCTTATATTTTTACTATTTATGTTTTATTTTTTTTCCTTATTTTACTTTAGAAAATAAGGGAATATTGGTAAGGGAGGCTATATAGACTCGATGCTATGCATTGTTTTTACTTGTTAGATGTTGTATAGTCATGAAAGTCTATCTTCGTTGCGTCATTATGAATATAATATTTATAAAACCATGTTCATTCTCTCATATCTGATCTTGTATTTCAATGATACAGATCCAGACACATATTTTCTGTCATTAAACACTTTTTTTTTTACATTCTGATCCAGTTCTATCATTCCTTTAAACATTTGTCAACCTCAAAATTTATGTTTGTTGGAAGAACATGGACCGAAGCTTCAATTTCCATTACAAACACATGATTTTCCATTTTGTGCGTATATGATATTTTATTTTATTGTAGTCAAAGAAACCAATTTTTACCACATATTCTTGTAACATTTAGGTAAGTTGCCAGTGGAATCTTCTTCGGTGGATTTTGTCATTTTAATCTGGCAGTCTCTTGATTGTTCTATGGACCAACTGATTCGAGAAATTCTCAGAGTGTTAAAAGTAGGTGGGACAACTTTTATCCGCAAGTCATCTCAGTCTGCTGTGGGCTCAGTTGATAAGGTAATAACAGCCTAGATTGTGCCTCAGTGAGTTTATATTGTTGTACATGATGTGATTTTTTCCTCATTGTCCTTGCAGGTGATATCTGATCTTGAGAGCAAGTTATTATTGGTAGGGTTTTCGGAAACACAAGTTTTAGAAGGCAAATCTTCTGGGGTGAGTTTCATTATCTGGTATTTGCCTCTGCCATCTTTTATTCATCATTTTCTTCCAATCATTTTTTTTTTTAAATTGTTTTATCGTGTTTGGTTTATTATGAAATAGAATGCAATAGAAACATTTCATGGATGAGTTTTTATTTTCTCATGTTTATAATACAATAAAAAACATGTGATGAGTTGAATAGTAGGCTGACATGGGTCTTTAAACCCATTCTAGTGGTATTTGACAATTCTCAGGTTAATTGTTTTTCATTTCTAGCACGATCATTAATTTTAGCTAGATTTTTCTTCTTTTCTTCTTGCTTCACTACCTTCGGGCAAATTTGTTTTTCTGATGAGTGGGTTATGGGCCCTGAGTCACCTAAATTTATTCTTTTCTTATTCTCCTAATTAACTTAGTTATAACCATCTTACAAATTCTAATAATGTATATGTTATGTGTTACATATAGATCAAAGCTAAAAAGCCTTCATGGAAAATCGGTTCATCTTTTGCAATAAAGAAGGTGGTGAAGAGTTCTCCTAAAGTGCAAATTGATGTCGATTCAGATCTGATTGATGAAGATAGTCTTTTGACTGAAGAAGATTTAAAGAAACCCCAACTGCCACCTGGTAAAGAGTACTTTTATAGTTTGTCATCAATTAGTAATCTGTGTGATATCAGGCTATTAGCTAACTTGTTTATGCTGTAGGTGATTGTGAAATAGGAAGCACGAGAAAAGCCTGCAAAAATTGCAGTTGTGGGAGGGCTGAAGAAGAGGAAAAAGTATTGAAGTTAGGATTGACAGCTGAGCAGATTGATAATCCTCAATCAGCTTGTGGCAGTGTACGTCTTTTTTTATCTTTTGCAATGTACAGTTTGTTTATGCTTTCTCTGGCTGTGCTGTTCAATAAAAACTCATTTTGCTTTCTGTGTATTTTAAGATAGAAAGTTCAAACTTCTAAAATAATTAATAATTTAGATTGGTATACACAGTTTAATAGCTTGACAATTGCTTGGTTGTATAGCCTTTCTTTAGTTCAAATGAGTTATAGAAGCATGGGACAATTAAAATAACCCCTCCTCCAGTTAATTTCAGATAAATTAAATTTCATGAGATGAAAAAGCTAGTGTTGTAACAGAAATCCTTCCCCTTTTTGTTACGTGTAACTTGTGGATGGAAGAAATGCTAATTTCCTACCAGCGCCATTTCTGTCAATTTAGCTATGGAAGCTATGCTGAATTTCTATTTTTTAAATGAGTTCTCTAAATCCAGGTACCAAACCCCACCTAGTGGGAAAAAGGCTTTTGATTGTTATTGAAATCCTCCTGCTGGGCTATAGACACAACTTTATTGTATCTTCATATCTTGCCCTTTAAAAAATTAAGTTACTTTATCTTACTGTATTTAGTTATATCGTCAAAGATATATTGAACATTAATTTTCATCAGTAATTCAGCATGGATGGAACAAGTATTTCTAATATTGCTTATGTTGCTTTTGATCTACAGTGTGGATTGGGGGATGCTTTCAGATGCAGTACCTGCCCCTACAAGGGACTTCCCCCCTTCAAATTAGGCGAGAAGGTACTTTCTCTCCTTCCCTCTCTTGTGTTGTTTGGTGTCATTTCTTTGATATGGCCTTTAGCATTTGTTAAATAAATCATTCATTATTTTAATGCAGGTAGCACTGTCCAGTAACTTCCTTGATGCAGACATATAATGGATAAAGTTGCAATACGTTTTGTAATGGGAATGGTATAATGAAATGTTTAGATAGTATGAGATGTTTATTAGTTATGTTAATGCTGGCAGAACCATTCGCCCTAGTTGTTCGATGCAATTTTAAGAAAAGCTTCATGAGATATCCAAGTTACTAAGGAGCTGTAATACCTTTGCCTTTCTCTCAAATTTTTGATAAAAAAAATCCTCATTTCTCTATTTCTTAAGCTTGGCAAAGTGTTGTTATCTGACGTATAAATATCAAATCCAACCAAGCTTTGAGTAATGTTGTACTTGAATATTAAGCTATTCATTAACTATTTCTGGAGGAAAAAGAACAATGCCTCGCAGCCTGTGTATGATGGGTAGAAATTCTTAAACTAGAGCTTGTGATGATTATTAGGAATCTGGATTCCTAATAATGTAATATCAGTATAAGTTTTGATTAATTAAAATTTAAATTTCAAATAGATCGGTTTAATTGTGATGATTAATATAGACACACACACACAAGTTTTCCACACTATCTAACTCTCATTGTAGTTAAAAAAAAAAAATTTCAACTAATATGAGATAGAGTTTATATCAACATATGCAGAGGAGTTAAAATTTAAATAGATTGAGTTGAATTACAGATGCTAGGTGGTGTAGCCATCATAATTCAATTGTCATAAAAATAATAATAATAGTAATTTTATATCTTTTTTGTAGGGGAGATATAAGCTTGGTTAATTACACTATTTCTCTTTTAAGAGATGCGTTAATCACTTTACTCTATTATTTATTTTGAAATATTATATTCTCCTTATCATTAAGTATGTGGAGGGAATTTAACGGTTGCTTTCTAAATATACAGTTGTGTTTAAAATTTAATAAGAGAATTTTTTTTCATTCTTGTAGTTTCGCCGGTTTAATAGGATTAGTTGAATAATTAATAGATAGAAATAAATTAATATGTATTACACTTTAGTTATTTCAATGTAAATGAATATCTTTTTTTAATTATTTTTTTTGTAAATGAATATTTTAAGTGCAATTTTTTTTCGTGCAATTGTCAACTTCATTCCAAGTTCCAAATCTTAATATCAACTTCAACTGAATAATAAAGATGATCAATATATTATTTTATCGAATCATGGAAAGGATCTTGGATTTGAATTCTCTTATGTGAAAAATTATAATTATACAAAGGTGGATCATTAGTAATAAAGGAAAAGAAATAAAAAAATATTAAAATAAGTAATTACAAAATTGGTTTACCATTATGTGGTTATGATTTTTTCACATAATCATGTCATGTCATTTTTTTTAACATAAGATGATTCATTTTCGATTGGACACCTAATTCGTCTTAAATAATATTTACAGTAAATACAATTAAGTGTCATGCATTTATTTTTTATTAAGAGAAAAGTATAATTTTTCAAAATAGAGAAAGGATTAAAGGGTAATTTACCTTTAAGACTTCCTGTATGTATCATAATCAAAGTGCTGGTAATCAATTGCAAGATAAGAAATCTTATAAAGAATTTAATATCAGTTGAGTTAAGACTCTTAGTTAATTTAGTACATTACTTTTGGCTACTTTAAAGTTGAGCGAAAAAAGAAGAAGAAGAAGCGAGTTCAGTTAACTTTACAAAATAATAATAATAAGAGATGAGAAATATGAGTATCATGTTACATGACATATAGAATTTGGATCCCATTGAAAAAAATATATAGAAATATGTATATCATCTTTTTGTGTCTATGTCATGATACAAAATGTATCATGTAACATGAAACTCACATTTCGTATAAAAGATTTTGGACAAACAAATGGATAAAAGTAATTTGTATAAATAGCTAAGATTTAAAAAATAAAATAAAAAGTCATGTGTGCGTAGAAGAACTAAGATTCAATTTTTTTTAGTATTTATGTGAGAATCTCATATATTATTGCAATTAAACAATCTTTCTTATAATTATCTTTTTTAAGATTTAAATTTTACTCTTACGCTACTAGCTTAACACCTCACTAACCCCCTTTTAAGATAAATATTCCTAAAAGAAGGGTTCAGCAAAACGACGGGGTTTTGTTTATCAGAAGAAAAAGAGGAATTGTTTATTCGCATAGGGTTCAAAAGCTCATCGTTGTGTTTGGCTTGGACTTCGGGTTCGACTTTATTCTCTCTAATTCTGTACATGATTCTCGATGCACCATAAATTTTGTTCAGATATGAAATTGATGTTTTCTTTATCGAAATTCAATTTTTCTTTGTTATTTTCGTTTACTGTCTGTGTATTTGTGAAAATTATGTAGCGATGCCTTCGCGAATGTTTGAATTAGAACGTAGTTGCTATGCATTGTTGCTTTCAATTGTCTCACCGGTTTTTTCTGCATATTTTTAAAACACAACTTGATTCATTGATTGATTGATTTTTTGCTCCCTTACTTTGTAGTGTAGGATTGACTTAGGGATATAGTTATGAGGTTAGTAGGGTTTCAGCCTCTTTTGCTTGATCAAATTTCTGGATTATTTGAATGCTTTCTGAATGATAAATTGTAAATCTTGCTTGATATTTAAGTCAACTATAAAATGGGAATAACATCTGTCATCTTGGAGTATATAAGCTCATATTATTTTAGATCCTAACCGTTAATTTCCGTCTATCAACGGTTATAATTTATTGGATCAAAATTATTAATTGAGGTAGGATCCTTTGACACCGGTGTCAAATTTGAAGTTTGACACTTCGTCTAAGAGCCGTTAGATCAAAAAATATCAATGGTGTCACATGCTTACAAATCAAAGTCGTTGATATTTTTTGATCTAACGGCTCTTAGATGAGGTGTCAAATTTTAAATTTGACACCGATGTGAAAAGATCTTGCCTCTTATTAATTAATTAATAATAAATTTGACTTATTAAGTTTGACTCAATAGATTATAACGTTGATGGACGGAAATCAACGATTAGGATCTAAAATGATATAAGCTTATATCCTTTAAAAAGATAAATATTTTTCCCATAATTCAATTAGATCGAAATGGAGTTCAAAATAGCATTAATTTAATAAAATGTATCTACCCTTGAATTTTAGTGAATTAAGATAAAGTAAATAAAGGGTGAATACACCTTTACTCACACAAGCTCACTTTAGAAGAACCTTATCCTTAATTTAAAATAAACTCCAAAGTCCAAACAATGAAATCTAATTGAATTCCATTGATTTTGATTAGGGCTAGCAATATGGGTCGGCCCGCCCCGGCCTGTTTTGACAAAATGGGCTGAATTGAGCAACCCAGCCCGTTTTATGAGTGGGCTGGCGGGCTACGGGCCAATCCGCCTAAAATAAAAAAATTCATAAAAATAAAATATAAAATATAAAATTCTGCATTAAAAATTCTTTAAAATATAAAAAAATTCTTTAAAAAAATCTGCATAAAATCCTAATGTGCATATGAAAGTCCAACAAAAATTCTAAGGGTATATATGAGAAATCGTAAGGAACAAAATAAAAATAAAAATCAAACTCAAATACATTACTCTATTTGAATAATAAAAATTAGTTACATTCAGCGGTGACCATCCTTGCAAAAATAACGAGGTGCCTGATTGTTTGCGTGTATGAAAAAAAATGTTTTGATAATTTGATCTTATTTGATTTGGGTAATATAAAAAAAAAAAAAGGATTCTTCTACCCTTTTTTGATCTTATATTGTAATTTAAAATGTTAATGATCAGATTCTTCTACCCTTTTTTTTTTCAGAATTTATTGATTGAATATAAGGATTTTTAACTCATCTTTTTTGGCCCCACTGCTGAAATTAGTAAATGATGTTGCCTTGAACCTTGAACTTATTATTGAGAGGGGGATGCAAAGAAAAGCTCAGTTGTGAAACATGATGGATGAAAGGAAATTGAATATTAATGCTCCTCTTATGTCTGTGAGGCGCTCTTCTGGTCCATCACCATCCTTAACTGAAGCAAAGAGAAAGATATTAGAGAAGCAACAAGCTCTTCCATACTATAAGTCAGATACAACCTTAGATCAGATAACATAACCTGTTGCAGTGCCTTTCAATTGGGAGCATATCCCTGGAAGACCCAAGGGTAATGGTGGATCTGAACCTCGATCTCTTGAGGAGGCTTCAATTACTCCAAACCCATGTCTTCCCCCTGGAAAGTCCACAAATGTTGCTAAACAGCCATTGGAAAAGGAATGTAATGTTGCAAATAAATTCAGGTCCTCAAGTAAATCAAACTCTTTGAGTGACAGTGTAAGTAAAATAGATTGTGACAAAGAAGGAAAAGATGAGAAAATAAAAAATGTGGAAGAGAATGATGATGATGATGATGTTTTTTATTCTGATGCCCTTGAAACCCTGTCACCTACAGAATCATTCTCTATGAACTGTAGTGTAAGTGGTGTAAGCAACTTAGATAATTTGGATGCAAACAAGTCTAGATATTGTGCCTAGATACAGAACTTGCTGTTTGCTATTGGAAAAAATCAAACAGAAAAATATGTATCAAGCTGCTAAGAAAATTGAGGATCTTATGAAGAAACTGTAAAGTGTTGTTAAAATATAGTTGATCTTGGCCCGCGGGCTGGCCCTAACCCGTGGGGTTATATGATTTTTTGGCCCGTGTGGGCTGATTGATATGCAGGCTTTTTGGCCCTGGCCTGCACGGGCTAAGGCCTAACGGGCCGGGCTGGCCCATTTTGACGGCTCTAGTTCCAAACAAGAGAATTCGTGTAATATGGTTTGAGTAGTTATAATTAGACTAGTACTTTTTATGTGATAATATAATGGCCATTTGATTGTCTCTGATGTTTCTCTGCTGAATGCAGACAACCTTCTACTATTGGTGATTTAAGAACAAGCAGCATCCAACAATGCTTCTGGACAAGAATGCCATTCAGGAAACCCATTATGAGGTTCTCAATGTCAAGGAAGATGCAAGTTATGAAGAAATTTGTGCTAGTTACCGTAATGTTGTACTCAGTTTAAATCCTGATAAACTATTGAAGACATCCGAAACATCATCCAGCAGTAATCAAACAACTGGAGAGATGTTTCTTAAAGTACAAAAGGCATGGGAAGTTCTAAGCAATTCAAGCTCTCGTTTGTTTTATGATAATGAGCTGCGAAGTTCGAGGCGGGATGTATTGGCTGCTGAAGTTGCAGAAGATGTAAGCTTGCAGGATATGATAGCTGAAGATGCTGGAGATGCACTGGAACTGTTTTATCAGTGCCGATGTGGTGATTACTTCTCTGTAGACTCATTGGAATTGCAGAAAATGGGATATTCTTTGTTGAAGGAAGGAAGTAGGCTATCTATACTCAGCATTGATACTTTATCAGGATCAGTGATTCTTCCCTGCGGTTCTTGTTCGTTAAAAGCTCGTCTGGTAATCAGTATTGATGACAATTGAAATTATTAACATTTTTTGGTATGGACTATGATCCATTGCGATTATTAACATTTTTTATGAAGATAGCAAACTAATGATAGCTGCCTATCATTGGGAAAAAAAAATAGGAGGCAAAAATCTGAAAGTGCCATTTTCAGTGTCGAATTCGGAAATTGGAATGCAAGTTTCAGATAAGCTATGCCGACTCACTTATTAAATTTAATTTACATTCTTAAATATAGTTTTTTTCTCGTGAGAAATTGAGCCTGGTATTCAAAATCAACTTTATCCATAATAAAAGTTTAAATTTTAAGTTTATCACTTCAAAAAATGGATGAGACTTGAAAATTTCATGGCTTAATTTAAAAGAATCTCGTTTGCACTTAAGACTCCAAAAAGCTGGAGATTTTCATATATTATTTAATGTCTACAGAAGCATACATATGTAAATAAAAAATAAAAAAATTATCCAAGCATTCATGGGTAACGATATACATTATACATACAATCAGTAAGCAAAACTGACGATTATTCTACATATGAAACTTCTTATTTTATGCCATGAATCATAAATTTGATTTCTTTAGTTCCAATAGTCTAGACCACCTTTTATCAACAGAGGCCCGGCTTTGTCCAGTTGTATCTGAAAAAATAAGACGTTCTTTCATAAGTTTTACTTGATTTCTTTAAGGAAATTTTGTTGGTGTTGCAAAATAGGAAAACAAAAAGAAGTAATCAACAAAGAAAAGAAAAGTAATCAAGCCATGAAGTTTTCAAATAAAAAACGCTTACACTGTACAGTATCATCAGATTTCTCGCACAAGTCCGAGCACGTATCCTGCAAAAAAATAAATTAAATATAAGACTGGGGATTTCCAAAATCAAAATTCTGAAACCCAAATTGTAAAATCATGATTTGCAATTCTGCTAAATATACTTTTACTGAGGAGTTTAGCCGAATAACATCTTGGACAAGAGAATCAAGATCAACTTCGTATCCCGGTCTAGCATATATCACCTGTATTGTGAGTAGTTGTGTTAGATTACCCTTCATTACTTTGGCAACAACATTGAGCGTGATATACTTGAAGGAAAATATACTCTTATGTTGTAGGTGAGTGTTTTTATCTTCTACACATACATCGATTTTCGTGTTATTTTTTTATATTTTTTCTTTTTCTATAAGTGGGTGGGTCCCACACATGATTGTCTCTATAGCATGAGAGAGCTCTCTCCTATTACATGAGATTAATAAAGCCCATACTTGAAATCATCTCATGACTAAAAAAATTGGTATAGCTATTGTCATTCCTCCTTAAAATAATGTGGTGAAAAGCTATATCCATCGAAAACAGTCTATTACGGTCAGTTCTACATTACAATATAGATAACAATTAACAACACATATATATCCTGTAACACTTTTTCAGCCTCAAAATTTAACCTTAATTGGACTACTAAATTCAATTCAAGGGTAATAGAACAGTTGTGTTTAAAGTAGTTGTTACAAGATTAAATTTCTGGCTCAAACTTTGCTCGTGAGAATTGCGCTAGTGTAACATGTAGTCTATGTTTTATTATAGATTCAACCTTGACCTATCAAAACATACCAATCTTGGAAAGGTGGAGAAGAATCTTGTCTATAGATGGGTTACCAGTAGGCTGAATCCAAAATAAATATGCGAATACCAAAACTAGCGCCATTTCTGTCAATTTAGCTATGGAAGCTATGCTGAATTTCTATTTTTTAAATGAGTTCTCTAAATCCAGGTACCAAACCCCACCTAGTGGGAAAAAGGCTTTTTGTTGTTATTGAAATCCTCCTGCTGGGTTATAGACACAACTTTATTGTATCTTCATATCTTGCCCTTTAAAAAATTAAGTTACTTTATCTTACTGTATTTAGTTATATCATCAAAGATATATTGAACATTAATTTTCATCAGTAATTCAGCATGGATGGAACAAGAATTTATAATATTGCTTATGTTGCTTTTGATCTACAGTGTGGACTGGGGGATGCTTTCAGATGCAGTACCTTCCCCTACAAGGGACTTCCCCCCTTCAAATTGGGCGAGAAGGTACTTTCTCTCCTTCTCTCTCTTGTGTTGTTTGGTGTCATTTCTTTGGTATGGCCTTTAGCATTTGTTAAATAAATCATTCATTATTTTAATGCAGGTAGCACTGTCCAGTAACTTCCTTGATGCAGACATATAATGGATAAAGTTGTAATACGTTCTGTAATGGGAATGGTATAATGGAATGTTTAGATAGTATGAGATGTTTATTAGTTATGTAAATGTTGGAAGAACCATTCGTCCTAGTTGTTTAATACAATTTTAAGAAAAGCTTCATGAGATATCCAAGTTACTCTGGAGCTGTAACACCTTTGCCTTTCTCTCAATTTTTTGATAAAAAAAAATTCTCATTTCTCTATTTCTTAAGCTTGTAGGCAAAGTGTTGTCATCCGACGTATAAATATCAAATCCAACCAAGCTTTGAGTAATGTTGTACTCGAGTATTAATCTATTCATTAACTATTTCTGGAGGAAAATGAACAATGCTTCGCAGCCTGTGTATGAAACAACTAGAGAAACGCAAAAGTGAAATTTTTGAGAAGCCAGAATTGCCATTTGAATTTAAAGAAAAATTTAAAGAAATGCAAAGTTGCGGGTCCATGGAAGAAGGTACATCATCAAGGAAACGGAAAAATGAAATTTTTGAGAAGCCGGAATTGCCATTGGAATTTAAAGAAAAATCTCAAGAAATGCAAAGTTGCGGGTCCATGGAAGAAGGTTCATCATTAAGGAAACACAAAAGTGAAATTTTTGAGAAGCCAGAATTGCCATTTGAATTTAAAGAAAAGTTTCAAGAAATGCAACGTTGCAGGTCCATGGAAGAAAGTACATCATCAAGAAACACAAAGGTAAAATACTTGAGAAGCCAGAATTGACATTAGAATTTTAAGAAAAGTTTCAAGAAAAGTAAGGTTGTGGGTCCATGGAAGAAGGTCCATCGTCAAGGAAACGCAAAAGTGAAATTTCTTGAGAAGCCAGAATTGCCATTGGAATTTAAAGAAAAATTTCAAGAAATGCAAAGTTGCGGGTCCATGGAAGAAGGTTCATCATTAAGGAAACGCAAAAGTGAAATTTTTGAGAAGCCAGAATTGCCATTTGAATTTATAGAAAAGTTTCAAGAAATGCAACGTTGCAGGTCCATGGAAGAAGGTACACCATCAAAGAAACACAAAGATAAAATTCTTGAGAAGCCAGAATTGACATTGGAATTTAAAGAAAAGTTTCAAGAAAAGTAAGGTTGTGGGTCCATGATCATCAAGGAAACGGAAAAGTGAAATTTTTGAGAAGCCAGAATTGCCATTGGAATTTAAAGAAAAATTTCAAGAAATGCAAAGTTGCAGGTCCATGGAAGAAGGTTCATCATCAAGGAAAAGCAAAAGTGAAATTCTTGAGAAGCCAGAATTTCCATTGGAATTTAAAGAAAAGTTTCAAGAAATGCAAGGTTGTGGGTCCATGGAAGAAGGTACATCATCAAAGAAACACAAAAGTGATATTCTTGAGAAGCCAAAATTGTCTTTGGAATTTAAAGAAAAGTTTCAAGAAATGCAAGGTTGCGAGTCCATGGGAAAAAGGTCATCATCAAGGAAACGCAAAAGTGAAATTCTTGAGATGCCAGAATTGCCGTTGGAATTTAAAGAAAAGTTTCAAGAAATGCAAGATTGCGGGTCCATGGAAGAAGGTACATCATCAAAGAAACACAAAAAGTGATTCTTGAGAAGCCAAAATTGTCTTTGGAATTTAAAGAAAAGTTTCAAGAAATGCAAGGTTGGGTCCATAGGAAAAAGGTCATCATCAAGGAAACACAAAAGTGAAATTCTTGAGATGTCAGAATTGCCGTTAGAATTTTAAAAAAAGTTTCAAGAAATGCAAGGTTAAGGGTCCATGGAAGAAGGTTCATCATCGAGGAAACGTAAAAGTGGAATTCGTGAAAACCAAAATTGTCATTGGTATTTAAAGAAAATTTTCTAAAAATGCAAGGTTATGAATCAATGGAAGAAGGTACATCATCAAAGAAACACAAAGGTAAAATTCTTGAGAAGTCAGAATTGCCATTGGAATTTAATTTTTTTTTCAAGAAAAGCAAGGTTGCGAGTCCATAGAAGAAGGTTCATCATCAAGGAAACATAAAAGAGAAGTTCTTAAGAAGTTAGAATTGACATTGAAATTTAAAAAAAAAAAATTCAAGAAGATTTTTTTGTTTTGGTAGAATATGAATACGAAAATAATTTTTTTATTTTCCATGAGAAAATTTTCTGACAGTACACACATATGTGTAGGTCCCATTTTAATTTTTTTATCTTCCCATTTTTTTTTGTGGATCCCTTTATATTATATTATATGTGTAACAAAAAAAAAAATTCTCATTTAAAATAAGAAAATTAATCACCATATAAATACCATCTCCATTTTTATAAAGATGTTTTGGTAAACCCGTAACTGAACAGGAGAGATATTTTGGGGAAGAGTGCGAAACAGTGGATGCGATTAAATGCAAATTACAAAATTCAAAAGGAAAAGGAAGCAGCGTTGACCAGTCCACTACCAGTTGGAGCAGCAAGCGCGAACACAAGATCCAACGATCAATATGCATTATTCAGGGAATCAAGCATCCCCCCAACCACAAGATGAACTTCGGAATCCAAATCGATTGGATTTCAAGAAGCATAAAAAGGTGGCCCACAGTAGGAAAAATAAAAAAAAAAAGCCCATTAATAATATATTTATATAATAATAATAATAATAATAATCTTCGATGACGTGTCTATCCCTAATTGCAAACTGTGGATATATAAAATCACCTTTCCCTTGTAGCCCTAAACCGCAACTTTGAAATTGCGAGAGAGAAAGAGGGTTTCGTTTCTGTTGTGTGAATCAAAAATCAAAGATGGGTGAGAGAGTGAGTGGGAAAGTGAAATGGTTCAATGACCAGAAAGGGTTTGGGTTCATAACCCCTGACGATGGCGGCGAGGAACTCTTTGTTCACCAATCTTCCATAAGATCTGAAGGGTTTCGGAGCCTCGCCGAAGGAGAGTCCGTTGAGTTCATCATCGACTCCGACTCTAACGGACGATCTAAGGCTGTTGATGTTACTGGCCCCGACGGGTCTAATGTCCAGGGAAGCCGACGCGGCGGCGGCGGTGGTGGAGGAGGCGGTTATGGTGGTGGAGGAGGAGGAGGCAACAGAGGCTATGGTGGTGGTGGTAGGGACTCTGGCTACGGTGGTGGTAGGAGCGATGGATACGGTGGTGGAGGATACGGAGGCTCTGGGCGAGGTGGCGGAAGAGGAGGCGGCGGCGGCGGCGGCGGAGGTTGTTACAACTGTGGTGAGTCGGGTCACTTGGCTAGGGACTGCTACCAAGGAGGCAGTGGCGGTGGTGGTGGTGGTGGAGGAAGGTACAGCGGTGGAGGCGGCGGCGGCGGTGGCGGTGGGAGCTGCTACAGCTGTGGTGAGTCTGGGCACTTTGCTAGGGATTGCCCAACCAGCGCTCGTTGAAGTGATGATATAAGAATGTGTTTTGCCCATTGTTTTTCTGAGGACAGTGGGATGGGGTTTATGTTTTGGTTTGTTGCATTATTTGCTTTAATTTGAGGTGTCTGTTTTTGAATCAGTGTTAGGGGGTTTTCATGCTGGATCTATCTCTAGTTGTGCTAACTCTGGGTTTTTATATTTAGATGTTGGGGATTTTGTTTTTATTGCTCTGTTAAAATAGAGGGATTTTGTGAAATCATGTGGGATAATTGCTCTCTATAAACAATGTTATCGATCGGATGGCTTAACCTTTTAACATTTTAGGGTAAGAGTGTGTTTGTGCTCTTTTGTTGTTATTTGCTGTGAACATGGTATGGTATTCGGTCTGTGGGATGTGATTCTCGATATTGTGAAAGCAAAGGTTTCCTACAAAGTTGTTATTACTTTTAAGCCGATTTACTAGTATTTTTGGTGGCAATGCATGTTGAGATTATTCATGGAAACCCAATCGATTTATTAAGCATCACACGTAGTTTGGACTTTCGATCGCTCGATCACTCAGTTAGAGAATAAAGAGTGTATATATAGTTATTGCTGTCGTTTACAGCGACATAAAAGTTCTGGGTGATGCTAGATACGGTAGTGCTCGCATGTGCTCCCACTTAAAATAATTTATTTATTTTTTTGGTAAATTGCTTAAAATAATTTCACCTGATTTTGAAACGTTTGAAAAATTCAAGACGCCAAAACTAATAATCCTTACAGGAATAACAAGAATAATCAATAATTATTTACGAAATGCTGTAAACTAGTAGCACTTTTATTTATAATTATTAGTTATTACATAAAATAAGTAATAATTTAATAACAAACATTAAACATTCAATAAAATAATATGTATACCCAAATTTCATCTAAAATTATTATATTAATAATCTGAATAAAACTATCTACAATTGAGTGATTAATTGTTTATATAGTGATTAATTGTATCTAATAGTTAACTTCTCTTTAAATAAATTTTGGCAGAACATTCATAATAATTTCAATATTATAGTTACATGAGAATTTTTTTTATATATACAAAACAAATAAGTAACTTCTCATGTTATATAAGAAAAATTTCTTGTTATATCATGTAATGAAAAGTCTTTTAACCCTATAACAAATTATCTATCTTTATATATTTCTCTTATGATGCAAAACACAGGTAAATATTTGGCTGATGCAATGGCAACATTCAAGACACATGTAATAGTTCCTGTCTTTAACACTTCACACAACCTGTTGGGCTGTTTACATTTGAAAGTTCAGTTCTTCCCCCTTCCACATGTGCACCTTTGAAGTTTGAACAAGAAAAATCTGACTATTGGTGACCAACCACCAAGATCAATATATATATATATAACCACATGATTCTTCAATGTTTATAAATAACCAATAAATTAATTAAATAAATACAACTCATCTCATAAATCCCAAACGGTGACCTAAGTTCCCAAATATACCGCAAATTTGGGAGCTGACCAAGTTGTGGAACCAGTTGACCAGAAAGATCTGCATTTCCAAGATCACTTACCAAACACAAAGAAATAATCCACTATGTGGACAAACGATGATAAAACAACAGGCAAAAGTCACATTAACTTTACACGCGGATCACACTATAATCACTATTGCATTGAACATGGAACTACGTGCAGGCAGGGATTGACAAGGGTAGCATCCCAGTTTTGAATAACATTGTTAGGATCAAGCAAGTTGCTTTCAATGCGTTCAGCGCATCACCTGTGTTATAAAGAAGCAATATCCAGGTGCAAAGTGCAAACATACTCGATTGTATTCATTGTAATTCACTATCACCCTTCTTCACCACCGTGCCCTAAGCCTGCACAAGTATGGTCTCATCAGAACATAGCCTTGATTCAACATATATTTAAATTTTAATATGAAAAATATAGTCATGTGGTTTTATTTGGTGCACGACAAGCAAAACTCACAATTCCTAATCCATCCATAGTGATAAGATTCTGACTCTCTACAACAACCAATAAAAATATTAACTCCTTTAGATAAATGTGAGAATATGATTCAAACTTCCAATAGACAATGATATAATACAAGTGCAGCCTCAATCACAATCCATGTGTCTTGGTGTGTCACAACACTTTCCGGTTGACATCTACATCATTTCACAACATGGGCTGATTAACACAGAATCCCAAGACGAAAACAACTGCTAATTGTATTTGAAAATAAAAGAATGTGACAAAAATGACGCTTCACAAGTTTTTTCTTTTTGTAATAAAAGATGTTTGTTGCACTACTAATAGTTATGCAAGATTAATTGTGCAAGTATACACATCAACGAGTAATATAGAAACATTTGGAGCCCAAGTATCATTTCCACAAGGATTATTGACAATCACTAACTAAACTGGGAAGGAATTTGCAATTGCTTAAGACCAGAATAACACGTTTCCCGAAAAAATACCAAAATGCTGTGTTTTGAAATGTTTTTGCCAAAATACCACAGACCAAGACACGCTATTAGGCTCACTGGGTATTGAACAGCCATGTGTCTAATTTCTGATCGGCATACAAGTATAATCTCTGCGATGATTTATTGTGCTATTCTACTTCAACCGTGATTCTATCAATATCATGAATAAAGCATCATGGATAAAGCATCATGTGCATCCTCTGATGTCATGTGCCATACAAGCTCCACACGATCAATCTGAAAAAAAATATAAACATCACTAATATATAAAAGAAAATATATGATTATATTAGTGTAAGCGAAAATAATACCATACCATATGGCCCCTTTGGGCCATAGATACACTGATCCATCTACGTGGAAGCTAGGATACCACTTCAAAGACTCGTTGTCAAACACAACAGCCCCTATACCTGCTGGGCCCATCAGTAGGCCTTTGAGTTGCAGTGTCTGAAAGCGAGTCTTTGACACTGCAATATGTGGCAAAAACAGTCTCGCTGGTCCCAGTAGCAGGACTTTGTCCGTAAAATAGTTTAATGTGGCATTTTGGTTCCAAATTTGTGGTTGATTCTTTATCCCACATGACATATAACCAAGACAATTTAGGAAAATCAAACCAGTATTTAGAACAAAGGTTTATCCAAACAGAAGTAACCACAAGAACTTGACTGGAAAATTTAAAAGTGGCTAACATCTAGAGAATGCAGCTGAGCAAACATATCAAGCAAATTAAAATGTATTATTCTATTTCAACCATGAATCTATCAATCTCATGATATATCAGTATCATGAAAAAAGCATTATGTGCATCCTCCAATGTCATGTGCCATACAAGCTCCACACGATCAATCTGAAAAAATTATAAACATCACTAATATATATACATACACACACACACACACATATATATATATAAAAGATGATTATATTAAGCAAAAATAATATCATACCATATGATCCCTTTGGGCAACAGATACACTGATCCATCTATATGTATATGCTAGCGATACCACTCCATATAGGGGCTGTTAGGTGATAATCACCCATGCTGCTCTACCAGGTCTAAGATCACGAGACGATCTCTCTGTTCCCATTGATCTATGAAATAAGCGTGTCTATTATGCCAGTCTTGAGCCTCCTTACCACGGAGGGTCATGGTCTGTCGATCAGAGATATCTACGGGAGCAATAGGTATGGACTGCTGGAACCCAAACTGTCGTGGAACCCAAGTATGTGCCCTACCTCAGTTTCAGCATGATCCTCATATCATTTGAAGCGCTCACGCAAGAAAGCCAAGCTGAGGAGTGAATTGTCCAACAGGCTGCTAGCTGGCATGACCCCCAAATGCTCTAGTCGTGCCTATGACTGGTCCACCATTTGCGGGAAGATCTAACAAATGATGTACATCCTCCAAAGTAATGTCATATTGCCCTATGACATGTGAAACGTTTGCATCTCTGGTCACCATCACTCCACAAGGGCCGAGACTAATGCATAATCAATATGAACCACAATATAAAACCAGTTTTAAAATTTATTAAAAAATTAATTATACACATCTCATGGTTCTGTTGACAGGCCACGTTCAGGAAACCAGCCTGCCTCAGGTCCTCATGGATGTCATCCGGTATGTGATGATGATCGTGTGATGCAGCTTTTTTAACGAACAGCCCCTCCACCTGCGGCATCTATTGCCACATCATTAGTGCCATCCCCCATGGTTACATCATTGGTTGCAGCAGCTTGGCCTGGAGTTGTGTCTGTGTCCATATAACTTGCAAGCTCCACTGGTTCTTCCTCTTTGGTCTCCTGGTTGATACGCATCAGCTTTCCATCCTTTATAAAGTAGAAGTAATGAACATTCTGTAAGTTGGCATTGGGGTTGAAAAAACGAACTTGGCTCAAGACATTTTGATATGTCTCCTCAGCTCCATCAGCCCACCACTGCTTATACCGGGCGACATCATTCTCCAGATTAGTCTTTGTCTGCTCAAATGTAGCCGCAGCAGCTTCCAAGGACTTCACCTTCTTAGACAGCCCATATTTCTCCTTCTTAAGTGTTGAATGACTCGTCTTCAATTCATCCAACTTTGTCTTCATCTCTGCTTTTGACTTCATCTCGGCATTTTTGGCTTCTTTCTTAGCTCTTTCCAGAGCAGCATAAGCCTCATTTTTCTCATCCAAAGCTGTCTGTAGATCAGCACAGCGAGATTTGAGGTAGGATATGATGCCGGTTAGAGAGGAGGAACGCCTTGTCCAGAGGTCTATTTTTTCAGCCTCTTCTTCCCATTCGTCAAGTGCGAGATTCTCCACCAGAGGACCTAGTTCCTTACCTTTCTGGTGCAGGTTCGGCTGGAACTCTTTCCAACCTTCTCCCCATCTCGTGATATCAGTTGGGGAGAGAGAAATTGGAGCTGTGGAGGGATGAAGAGCTTTTCTCTTTTTTCCAGTCTTTTTCTGTCGAATGCCGCTAGCCTCTTCAACAATTTTTGCCTCCGCTTCAGTTGTAAAGGTCGGAACAGTAGATTGACCTTGCACTGGGCCAGGAGAAGTCAGGATAGGAGTCCCTGATCCCACTTGACCTCTAACTGAGATTTCCAACGAGTTCAAACCAGTGTTACTGGGACCTCCAGGCGCAAGTTTTCTTTGCGCCATCAATTCAAGCATCTTTTGTCTTGACTCCATCTTGCTGTCTGCAAAGAATGAAATTGAAGCATTATAGGACGAACAAAAATTGGACAAGAGTAAAGACATGAACAAAATTCAGATGATGCGAGATCAAAAGTGATATATGCATTCAAAATTCCTACCAAGAAATGCCTTCACATCTTCATCAATATATTCGGAAAGGATTGTGCATGCACTCAAAAGACCACCATCAGTTGCCTATCGGCAATCTCGCACAACCTATTTACCGTACACATCTCAAAAGTATCCAGATCCGTAAAAGCAAAGTTAAGCTTATGTCCATTGCCAGGACCTGGGCACCAGTATAAGGGAAAGAGGGGGACTTGATCATCGTCCAAAAAGAAGGGGTCACTATCCTCAGCGGGATATATCTTAATGTACTCGTCTTTCCACTCATGAATTTTATTCGAAAAAGTCTCACAAAATTTGAACCTCTGATTTTTACGAAAGGAAATCCAGCTGTTATGGGCAAAACCATATACATTGAAAAGACAGAAAAAAGACCTAACAGAAGGTGTGAGATCATACACGTTACACAGCAACTCATAGACTCGGATGAATCCCCATGCATTCGGATGAAGCTGGGAAGGAGCAACTTGAATATGATTTAACAGAGAAATGACAAAAGGGGAGAAAGGAAAACGAACGCCCAAAGTCAAAAAGAAAAAATTGTACATCATTAGAAAATGACATGACCTATCATCCGTGCGAGATGAACAAACACGTTCATCTACGGGTACGGGAGAAACTTGCCACTCATGATCAGTGGCTTTGTCCTTTGTGAGATGGACGGCAGCAGCAATCTCAGCCACAGACTCCACAGTACTGAAATTGGAGACTGCATTCAAGACATCATTAGACACCCACGCGAGATCAGTTGCATCTCGCACGCCTGAAACAAGGGCACTCCTTTCTGGAAATTTTCTTTTACCCATGACAGCCCTGAGAGAGGAAAAGGTTGAACAAGTGTTAGATGAATCAGAAGATGAAGAACTGAAATAAGAACTAACAGGCATGTCACTAGTTTTGTGTTTTTTGTATGGATAAGCAGCTGGTTAAATAACGTTTAAAGGCACAGGGCTAGGGCTGCGAGATGCTCTAGAAGGTGCAAGAGGAGGACTTGACTCAAAGTCAAAACTACTTGAAATGACAATGGGTTCTTTGGACACTGAAGGAATACGAACAACAAACAACACCTTTATCCCAAACTGACATATAACCAAGACAATTTAAGAAAATCAATCCAGTATTTAGAACAAAATTTAATCCAAACATAAGTAGCTACAAGAGCTTGAATAAAAAATTAAAAATTGGCTAACATCTAGAGAATGCAGCTTAGCAAAAACATCAAGGAAATTAAAATGCACTATTAATAAAAATTATTATAAGAGAACAGGATTAGATATGGTAAAAAAATTATCTAATCAAAGCAAATATCAATTACGAACTAACAGAAAAGGATCAGCAGAGGCTTACAGGATCATGGAATTGCTCGCAATTATCCAAAGGCTGAGTCAAATGCAAATGCAGAAACAACAACAATTTTATGATGCAAACTGAAATTGAACCAAATATGAGTTAGTAAAATTGCAACTGCTAATTGAAAGACAAAGGAAATGGAACTAAATGAGGACAAAATAACTAGCTAAGCTAGCAACCAGCATTCACAATCAGCAATTCAAGACTAACACATATTGAGGTTTATGAACAGAGAATAAAAACATGGAAAACAGTACCTAAGCAATTAAGCCATAGTTGATAAAAATAAGAAACTTAAAAAATACTATCAGCCACTATAAGCGTTCCAACAACTCAGGATGGAGAATAAGAAGATGGGTGCAAATTAAAAGGACAAGACCGATGAACTATTTTAGAGATGCATATAGTTTTTATTTTTTTAAACAGACTCAAAAGATTAACTACAAAAAAATAAATTGAACGAGTATGAAGTCTAGAAGTGTTTCCAAATCAAATTGGATGAATGGGGATTCATTTCTCTCCTACTAAATTTTTGCATTTAAATTGTTTAAAACAAAATGTAGCTTCTATCAACAGTTCAAACTTAACCTGAACAACTTTTACGCCTATTACTTTCGTTATTCAGCATCTTTTAATTCTGATTTAAAACTTCGGAAATGTCTATGAAAGTCTTTAACCAAATTCAACCCAAGCACGCGTTCAATTGGTTACATGAAGGCAGAAATCATCTCTGAATTTTTGCATATTAAGTGACCTCTCACTTAACTCCATATGGTTAATGCCATGCGAGGTTTTTATTATTTCTCAACACAAACAACATGCACAAAAATAATTTCAACATTAACCAAGTTGGAAATAACTTCTTCATTTCAGATTAGGCAATTTAAACACTCAATGTAGCAGTGGGTACTTTGTTTCACAAATCAAAGATTAATTAGCTCGTATTCATGGTGACATTACAGTTTACAAAAACTAAAAATGAAATTGAAAGAAATGAAAAACTAAGGTTCCGTGCAAAGGAAATCCTAAAATGCAGACTTTTTCTGCTTACAATAACACTACACAAAATCGAATGGTTCTTAGAGGTGAAGAAGATACCTCACCTCCTCTTCAAAATCGAAAAAATTACTCTGCATGCACATGATTCACTCCTTTCCTCACACATTGGTGTTCTTGGTTTAGCTAAAGGGTTTGATTGGAAGGATTAGGGATTTCTATTCTCTCTCTCTCTCTCTCTCAATCGAAGGAATGAAGTAATAATTTACTTTGCAAAAATCCTAATTTGCCCTTTATCACTCTTTAGATTTACAAGCACGCCCCAACTTCTTTTTCCTCCTTCAAGTCCTCTTGAAGTGTGTTAAATCCTTCTATATCCCAGGCTTTTGGGCCTTGACCATTCTGATAATATTCATGCACAATAGTTAATAATTCAGCCCATATTCCTTTCAATATACACATTTAGCGGATTAAATAAAAATTTACCAATAATCGTCTTGTTCCACTCAATGTTATATATTGTGATGGTTTAATTTTTATTATTTTGACTTTTCTTTCATGCATTCAGAAACTATAGGAGGTTAATTTCTTACTACCATTAAAGGATGAAACGTCATGCTTCTCAGATTCAAAGTGCAAAATGAATATTTATTTTCTGTGAATATCAAACCATCGGAGGAGGGTACTGCCGTACTGGTAGTAATTGAGGTAGACATAATTCGATACGAATTTGAGGTGAATATGAAGACTACACAAATTTGAAAACAAATCAAAAGCTTCAACAAGAACACAACTTGCTTATTTTGTGGGTTGAGTATAACACCGTGCGAATAACTCACCAAGCTCAAAGTGTGTATTTATGTTAGGCAACAAGAATATCATATAATTAAAATAGAATTGAGAGAAACAGAAATTTCAAGACATTATTAACCACACAAATTAGTCAGGTAAGTGTAAATCAAGTCTGTAACACCCCGTTCTAGAACCGGTTTGTTAACATCGCATTATGATATTAAGCGCAGTTACAATCACATGGGTTCAATTAAAATCCGGTTAAAATTTTTCGTTTTGAAACATGCGGAATTTATAATGCCCAATTGCGTGATCATAACCATATTACTTTGCGGAATCAGATAAACCAAGCTTAACATCATGTTCTTATTCCATTTTTAAACCATTAATTTACTTCTTATTTATTTCCCAACTTCTACTATATTGTAGATCTCTTCGTTAGCTACACGTGGTTTCAAACCGCTTCTCATTTGGAGCTCTGTAGCTCAAGTTATGACAATTTTGCTAACTCAGGTGTATGCTGAAAAACTACGCGGGCAGGGCGCTTAAGCGCGCTCCAGGGCGCTTAAGCACCCACAGACAGAGGGAATTTATATTTTTTAGCCACCAAGGGCGCTTAAGCTCACTCCATTTTATGGTATCAGAGCCTGGCCTTGGACCGGTGTGTACAGTGGGGACGCTGTATTCCCAGTGGGGGAGGATGTAATGTCCCACATCGATTGGAGAGGGGAACGAAGCATGCCTTATAAGGGTGTGGATACCTCTTCTAGTGTGAGGCCTTTTGTGGGGTGTCCCAAGAAACAAAACCGTGAGCTCGACGGTGCTTGTGCTCGGGGCAAAGCGGACAATATCATGCTACAGGGTTTGGGGCTGTTACAAAGTCTCTTCGTGTCACGCAACAATGACTAATTAAATAGTCACTAAATTTAAGGATATGCCTTTTAATCACTTTTCTTGACACCGATGTAATTAACTTTATCTTAATTCCGCTAATCAAAATATCAAAAAATACATAAATTGAAATGACACACAAGATTTATATGAAAAATCCAATTTGAAAAAATCATGGGCAAAATCAAACAAGTTTTTCACTAAGTGGAAGAAATTATAATTTTTCTCTAAATACAAGGAGAGAATAATATCGCTCTCTCCGGAATCCGACCAAAAAATGAGTCAACCCGCCCCGCCCCACCCCTTTTGGCGGGTTGGCCCACCAGCCCGAGCCTATTTTACGCTGACCCGCCTCGACACGCCTATGTCCGCCATCAACCCGCCAAAAAATGAGCTCGCCCCGCCGTGCCCCGCTTTTGAGATGAGTTGAAAAACTTAGCCCGCCCCGCCTCGTTTGGCGGGTTGGGCGGGTTGGCCCACTGAACCGAGCCCGTTTTACCGGCTCTGCTGCATAGCTAGTCTACGTGGTGTTAAACTAGCTATGCTGCATAGCTAGTCTACGTGTACTTTTTTTAAATGATAATTCTAAAATAATTTAAATTAAATTACACAAATTTAAACTACATTAATTAACAAAGATAAATTTCACTAAATTCATTAACACTCATAACTTATATTAAATACCTTAAAAGTCTAAAATAATATAAATTACATAACCTAAACCTAAATTACAAGTAGTTGTAATTAGCATATTTTAATATAATTAAAAAACCTAAAAATTAACAAATGATAATTCTAAAATAATTTAAATTAAATTCTACAAATTTAAACTACATTAATAAACAAAAATAAATTTCACTAAATTGATTAACACTCATAACTTATATTAAATACCTTAAAAGTTATGAGTTTTTAATTTAATTTAGGTTTTGTAAGTTAAATTATTTTAGACTTTTAAGGTATTTAATATAAGTGATGAGTGCTAATGAATTTGGTGAAGTTTATCTTTGTTAATTAATGTAGTTTAAATTTGTGTAATTTAATTTAAATTATTTTAGAATTATCATTTAAAAAAAGTACACGTAGACTAGCTATGCAGCATAGCTAGTTTAACACCACGTAGACTAGCTATGCAGCAGAGCCGGTAAAACGGGCTCGGCTCAGTGGGCCAACCCGCCCAACCCGCCAAACGAGGCGGGGCGGGCTAAGTTTTTCAACTCATCTCAAAAGCGGGGCACGGCGGGGCGAGCTCATTTTTTGGCGGGTTGATGGCGGACATAGGCGTGTCGAGGCGGGTCAGCGTAAAATAGGCTCGGGCTGGTGGGCCAACCCGCCCAACCCGCCAAAAGGGGCGGGGCGAGCTGACTCATTTTTTGGCGGGTTGATGGCGGGGTGGGGCGGGCCGCCCACTTTGCCACCTCTAAGCATAGCTAGTTTAACACGTGTCAGAAAATTCCACGTAACCAGCTATGTTGCATAGCAAGTTACACACGTGTTAGCCACGGTGGCAGTGGTTGTCTGCCACGTAGAGTCGCTGCACTTTGCAGCTAGTTACGTGGCCAACGAGATGCTGCCACGTAGCCAATCCTAACTCGCCACGTGTTGTAGCGAGACTGCTGACGTGACACTTTGATAAAAACATTTAAGGTCGTGGCATTATGATAATAATTTGTATAAATTGTGGCAATTTGGTCGTTGTCCCTCACTCTCTCTTTTATAAGGAGAATACAACTCACTTAAAACAATACTAAGAAACACTCTTTATAGTTCCTCTTGTTTGTGGGTTGTTAAAAACCATTTTGCAATTTACCTATTTATAGGCATAGGGTGATACACCTTGAACTTCATTCCTTCACAATTTCATAGCAGCTTTCTGTAACGAGGAAGTTATGAACCCACGATAGCAGCTGATCAAGCCATCGAAAATTGCTTTAATAACATTATGACTTACATTAGATTATTAAGAGGGTTCACATGACACAATACAAATAATATATAAAAATATTAACGTTAATCAATTTTGTGTTTGCAGATTGATATATGATATGACACGAATTTTTTTGTGTTAATTTTGGCGAACACACAGAATTTGAAAATGAATCAACTCAAATACGGAATTTTCTTTTCATGTTAAAAATTATCACCCATAAGAATTAAAGGAGCGTACCTTAAAAGTAAAAAATGAGATCAATTGTGTGAAATTTTGCAAGCTTAGAACGATGGCGCCCAATCTATGTAGAAGATTCGTGGTCCCAAGAAGAATGGCTCGGTTGTTCTTGTCTTATTTCATTCAATGAAAAGTAGATAAAGTGCACACTGATAAAATGTTCTAAATATCACTTTGGAGCTAAGCTAAAACAAAAGGGACGAGTATGCCTCCTAAGTTGATAGCATGGCACCCTCTTCTTGTCCTGGGTAAAAAAGGAGAGTCAATTAAAGAGAGAATATGACCTTTAACTGAAAAGTCTCAAGGCTTAGTTATTATGATTGTAATTTGTTTTTTTCTTTAATTTCTTCTTTGTTGTTCTTTCCCGGGTTTTGCCTAGTTACATAAAAAAGCTGTATATGGTCTCAGGACTCGCATGAAAGGTCTGTCTACTTTAGATAGATCATAGATTGCATTGTCACTGTTTATTCCGCTACCCTTTCCAAAGAAGGAGATAGATAATTATTAGATTCCCCACCCAACTCTATGCAAATGTTACATTACATATATATATTAATATAAGTGAGGATATTCTAACTACCAAAAATTCTTACTACTAACTTACTACTCATCACATCATCATTGGATCAAAGAGAGAGAATGTTAAAAAGTGTTTGAAGAAAGAGAAAATGTTAATCTAATGGTGATTAGATAGGTAGTAAGTTGGTAGTGAAAATTTTTGATAGTGAGAATATCTCTCCTCTATTAATATATATATATATATATATATATATATATATATATATATATGTAATGTCAATTACTACAGTTTACAGCAGCCTTATTTCTTGGCAACTTTGCTCAGTACGTACGTCTCACCAGCTCCATTGTTTGCCTTTGTTCTTTAATTGTTTTACTTTTATTTGATTTGGCCTTTCTCCTTTTCCTTCATCAACTTAGCTCTCTGCTGCTGTTAGAATCATTCAAAAAAGTCTGGGAAACATGGTGGAAAGGTAAAGATGCTCTGGAACTACAATTCCCGTCCAAGTTCATCTTTAATCATTTTCAAGCCTGCACACTCATTGTTGCTGAGCGAAAAAGGCAATTGAGTTTCGTTAAGCGTTTTGCTTTTCCAAGGACATGAAAATGATATTTTCTTTTTCTTTTCTTACTTCCATCTTGGAAACTTTTTTTGTCTAGCCAAGTTAAGATTAGAAAAGATATATACTTTAAATTTACGTTAAGATTGACAGAATCTGCAAAGAATCCTTTTGAGGATATAGTTCGTGAGTTTTGATTTTTTCATGTTGCATAAGAAATATTTTTTATATTATGACACAACTAATGATAAGTCATACATTTATTAAAAAAAAAAACATTACATGCAATTCGAAATGTCATAATATGAGAAAACAATTTTCATACAACAATACGATGAAGAAGTGCTTTTCCCATATGTTATTGTGTCTAATATTGTTGTTCTCATTTTACTCTCACCATCCCTAAACAGTATTTTGGTTTTAAGCGTCATATATGTTGGCATTTGCAAAGGTTAAGTTCCTTAGCATGGTAAAGTGGGTAAGGGTAACAAAACCGAACCAATCAAAATTTGCATGTAAAACGCTTCACTTGAGTAATAGCAAGATGACCAAATAACAAATGTGTTCAATTTTGTCTAAAATAAAACAAACTTTGAGCAAATCATAAACCTTTTTTGTTTTATTTCTTTTTTTTCTTCTTAAGAAACTGACCATGACAAAGTGCTCAACTACCTTAAGGTTATAAAGAAGAATACATTATATGTTTATGACAGGGCCAATAATACATATAATAAATGCAGGATATGACTGAACGCTGATTTATCATTCTCCACAACAATAACATGCATTGCATCATTAATTAATCCCTATGAATTTCAAGAGTACAATGCTTAATGGCCATGAGGGGAGTGGTGAAGAGGGGAGGGCGCGGTGGCGTTCAGCTGTGGTGGCGGCGGCATAGATGGCAGGGTAGGTGGGGGGCATTGGAAACACTTTGTGAAGAGTCCAAATGTGTCAATCTGACGTATGAAGTTGACCATGCTGGCCCAACCACCAAATCCAAACCCAACGATTAGGACCCACACAACAACAAATACGTTGATCACATAGGTTCCCACCCATCTTCCAACAAACTTGGGAGGTTGTTCCACCGCATTCTGCATCACAGCCGTTCAATATTAATCATGGAAACTGTACAAATACAATATTCTCTTGTTTTTATGCATTTGTCTTTACGACGTCCCAATATTTTCTTTTTTGGTTAAATACATCAAATTAAAGTAATGCAGATAGATAAATGAAAGAAGGGATGATATCATTATAATACAGAAATCATAAAAATATCAAGAAAATGATCTGTTTAGGAGAAAGTCCCGGGTCTGGTCTGCTAGACGGTGACCATACGCTAACACTTCACAATCACAGTTTTCCTTTCCATATCCTTAATCTTTCTTTTGGTTTTGGAAACAATAAATAGTCGTAGCAAATTACTTAGAATAATGAATGGAATAAATTCTAACACTGCTGTGCTGCTTAGTCAAACTATTTGGTTCCCACAATAAAGTTTCCGTGATTGGATGACCCACATGGCTACCCTTTTAAATTTTTGTCTTTTTCCATGTGTTCACTTAAAATAAAATACATTTTCTTGTTTGGTCTAGCTTTCTCTTTTGATACTGTGAGTATAAAATTCTGGAAAAACTTTCTCCTTTTTGAATTTTCTTAATTATCACTTACTCCTTCATAAATTTTTTGAATCATTTATATTTTTATTATTACTTATCCCCTGACTTAAAGTTTCTTTATCACTTATCCCACTCACTTAGAGAGGTAAATGATAAAAAAAACTTTAAATCAAAGAAGTAAATAATTCAAAATTTTGGAGATGGAATAAATGATTATGAAAAAAGTTACTGGAGTTTTTAAAGTTCCCCCTAAAATTTTATAAAATAAGTATTCATGTTTATATGCATGGACATTATTAGAAAGTGTAAATTTTTTTGGACTATTAATCATGTGTGTGTATATATATATGAACATGAAAAAAATGTAGTACCTGTCGAGCAGAGGATGATTTGAAGGTGAAGATGTGAGCGAGGGCAGGGATGATGTAAACGGTGAAGCTTACAAGGAGAGATCCAACGGTGGAGTTGATAGGACCAAAGAAGGGGAATACGATGGCCAAGAACCATATGGGTATCACCACTGGCAATCTCACTAATGCACGCTTACACAGGCTCTTGCACTCATGCATCCCTATTGCTTTCTCCCACACAAAGTATAATGGGGTGCTTGCAAACCCGAATGTTATAAACTGCAATTAATTTCCAATATTTAATCATTCAATTCAATTAATTAGAATAACTCTACTTAAATAAAAGTTTGATCCAATACATATACATATATATGTATATCATGTATTGTATTGAATAGCTAGCATGCATATATGTTTATGTAAATGAGGTATTTATATATAATAATAATGTGAAAAAGTAAATCTTATTGGAGAATTCTAATCTCATGTCATAGATACTTTAAGTGTAGGACCCACCTATTTAAAAAAAACAAAAAACAAAAAAAATGAGTGGCACACCTTTTTGTGATGTGTAAGAAGGGTTTTTTTTCTCACGAGAGATGAGAAAAACAAACCACAATAATAATAGATGGATAATGAACGAGTATGGGTATATATGCTTGCCTGGTGGATGAGCATTAAAATGACAGCCATGTCTCGGAAGGGTGATTTTGGGAGAAGAGCAAAAGCATTGGAGTGATTAAGAAGCATGTCTCCAAATGCCCAATACACTGCTGCAGCCGATGGAAGCGTCAGTGTCAGCACATACAGGGTAGCCAGTAGGTATATGGCCTTGAACTTCTGAGGTTTCCACATCGCGTGCATTATCTCCCTGTACAAGTACAATAGTACCACTACCATTAATATATATTTATTTCATTACTATTTCATACATTTTTATAATAACTGTAGTAGCATATCATTAATACCAAAAAGAAAAGAACAAAATCCTCCTTAGTCCTCGCTTGATAGGTTGTTTTAGTGCAATTGAAGTTACCTTAAAAATGTTGTTGATTTTATCTTTAACTAAACCATATATATTTTTTAAATAATTAGAATAAAGATGGTGATAAAGATATCAAATTTTTTTTTTTTGAAAATATTCCGATCAGTTCATCACTTCGCAAATAATTCGATTCGGGGCGGGTCCAGGATTAAGGCTTTAAATCCCTTCCAAAGGTGGTACTGGGAGGATTCGAACACATACTCTTTCCTCACCTGCTCAACTCTCATGCGTCAACTGAGCTACCACCATTTGGTGATACCAATTTTTTTAGTTAAAAAGAAAAGAGAATAAGAGAAGGAGAATATTTTGGCCCAAGGTTTGGTTTTGCTGTGGTGTGAGAAGTGGGCCCTGGAAGCTAAGATATAGCAATCACTGTAGAAAGCTGTATCTCTCAGGGTCCTTCTGATGATAAAAAAGCATTAAAGCATAGAACCATTTCAGAGAAAGAGCCACGGCTTTTCTACAGCCTAAAAAGAAACTCAAGGATTCCAAAGAAAAGGGGCACTTTTTTGCCTCCCACGCCTACCAAGGGTATTTTGGGGCAAAAGTGCTATCAGTAAGTAATACAGGATATTTTTGTTTTCTGGAAAGAAAATAATGCAAAGAACATTTTTTTTTCACAATTTTTCACACCACGCTAGTGTAGGAAAAAAAAGACAAAATTTTAGATAGAGTAACCTATCCAAGTTTTGGATATTCTAATTTTATTTATAAAACAAATACTTATATATGTATTTTCTGAAAAACTATACTATATATTTAAAGGTATGTATGTTTAAGTGTTTGTACTCCCCGCTATGCATAATATAGTTTATAAACAATTTTTTTTTATAAATATAACTATGTTCAATAAATATAGAGGAAAAGAAAAGGACTTAAGATGGGTAATTAAAACAAGGTTGAGTCACTATCAAAATGACGTTAAGCCCCAATCCTTGCATGGTTATTTCGCTTTCCCACTTGGCATGATCTTTAATTAGACGCTACCAACTAGTGTGGTTCGTCCAAAGAGGCAAGGCTTAGAGAGGAGAAAGAACCAAGGGCATATTTGTGAAAACGTAAACGACACGAATATATATCGGAGATTGTCTTACACAGTAACAGCATGTCCCCCGAACGTGTAGAGAATGTTTGTGGCCCCAGTAAAATATAGAACCAATTTGGTCGGACCCGAATGCACAACTCCCTCCACCTATGCAATCATAATAACATATGGAAAGCATACTATTACTATTATAATAACAATTTCATAATAATTAATAACATCAATAATACTCTTAGCTAGATTACGGTTAATAATTAATTTTGTTTTGTAAATTAATGATTATTACCTGGCCGTGAAGGAGAGAGGCAATTGTTAGATACCAAGCAGTGTAAGTGGTCATGACGAGGCCCAAAAAGGACCAGATTCTGTAGTTGTGAAAGGAAGGAATAAAGACAGTGGTGGCACAGCAAGCTCCGAAGATATAAGTCCAAGTCCTCTTGTCCAGATTGTCATTTATGTAATATATGTTGCTGAACAACATTTAAAACAATATTCATATCTCAATGAAGTTGTAGCAGGTGTACATTACTAATTTACTATATCAGAGATGCATGTGATCATGAGGGTTCCTTGTTTTAATTTAGATAATATATTTATATCATTATAATAAAGAGAATTGATGTATCTAGCTACAACTAATAAATAATGAAGAAAGAGTTAAATGAAGGGTCAGAGTGTGCTCAGATTGGGTTGGGAGTAGGTACCTTGCACAAGCTATCAGCTGAATAACAGATCCAAACAGAAGAAATGTGCAGTTAAAGGCCAAACCCACGTTTCTCCAGTGCTTCCCGAGGAGTCCATCAAGAACCTCAAACCACTGCATAATTAATTTGTTTAAAACGCCATTTAAATTTAAACTTGTAGAGGTAGTAGTAGTAGTAGTACTTTGAATTTTAAAGATTAAATTTAATGGAGTTAGTTAACTATAGGGAGAGTTGAACCTGGATGACATGGTTCCTGAAGTTAACTTTTTCTCTCTCTTTTCTGGTTCTGTATTCAACATAGAGTATGCTAATGAGGTAAGCCGTCCAGCTACCTAGTAAACCATAGAAGAGTTGAAAAAGTATGCCAGAAAGCATTCCCAGCTGGGAAAATGAGTATGGCAACGTAAGCAGAACTTGAGCCACCTGACATGTAAATGACATAATTAGAAAACCAGAACAACATATAAAGAATGAAGCACATACTTTTGGATACTATATAGAATGGGACAAAAGCTATAGCTTTGTCAAGAGCAGGAACATGTAAAAAGGAATATGTTCTAAAAACTAACCTGGTTGGAAGCACAGCTAAACCAAGCATCATAGGCAGAACCACCATTCCACAAGAAGTCTGATAACTTGGATTTTATGTCCTTGGGCTTCCCTTCAGTTTCCATTTCCACATAGTTCCCAACTATTACAGTTTCCACCACCTTATCCGATGCCATTTTCTTGAAGATATATCTTGGTCACTTGCACTATCTTTCCACTCTCTTAGTTCTACTGGTCTACTCCACCTTTTTGTGGTGACTTCTTTGTATTCTTTACAGTGGTGGGTTTCAGACTTTCAATATTTCTAGGTGTTGGGTGGGGAAGGGTTGAGATTGGAAACGAGGATGCAAAGGAGTATTGGAATGGTGGTATATATACAAGACAAGACACAAAAGGGTTCTCGAAGGCTGAGTGAGACTGTGTATGAAAGGTATTGTAGAGAGCGGTTTTGGGAAGCGAGTAAATCCACTTTTTGAAGAACTAAAACTAAAAATAAACCTCCCAAGGTGCTTTGGTTCTGGAGCCCCTTTTTGTAATTACAACTTTTGTTATTTACCTTAATGCTCACGTCTTGGTTTGGTTTGGCTCATGAGCCATGAACATTAACTTAGTAAATTATGAATAAAAGGCTCTGAAATGACATATTTTACTAGCTACTTAGGAAGCGTGATGGCTTGTCCGCACGAGCGGGCCTTGCTTCCCGAGCTTATGATAATTGTGTTGTATAAATGGATTACGAATAAAAAATTAAAATTCGCAAGTGAAAAAGTGTTACTGTTTGAAATGAAATAGTTACAACTCTTCGGCTTGTGATCATTCATCTCTTATGTATACCTATGTCTAGTGAATCAAGAAAAAAAAATTCTGATTCCTTTTCCAAACCTTTGGCAAGATTAATTCTCATATAATGTCTTTGTTTGCGATTGATCATGGTGTTGTTTCTTAAGGGGTGAAACAAATATAATTCATTCTATTGTGGGAGGTATTTGTCCACAAACTTTAAGCATCATTAAGGAGATAAAATTGCCTTAAAGACACATTATACAATACTGGACTCGAGTTTAATTTTTTGCAATTTTTACATCTGCATGTTGTATTATGATTTTGTGTTATTGCATGCATTTTCACTAATATTACTCAAACCAACAACACAGATTTTCTACACTATCACCAATAACAAGTTGCAATTTTCCCTTTACCCAACTTCACCTTCACCGTTCTTTGTATTTTTGCTCAATTTGCCATTTTGTGACTAATGCAGCTCAATGAACACTCTAGTTATAGAAATTGTCATTGCTCCAATGTTAAATGTTCAGGACTCAAGGGTTTGACCATTTAATTTGAATGATTTTACATATGCCAAAGTTGAATCTAGCTTGCTTAGTTGATAGTTTTATAGAAAGCACAAATGAAATTGCAACCAATCTTGTCCACACCTTTGTCTTAACCTTAAGTCTTAAGCGCACATATTTTCTCCCTTTGGTTATGGTATTGGCATGTGGAAAACAGAAGGGCTAACACGGCACATTAGAGTAAGTTTGTTCGAGAACAAGGTAAACTTAGGAGATAACAAAAGGATGAAAAAAGAAATAAGCAAGGGAAGGTGTGAAGAAAATAATAACATAGTAGACCGCATGATTGCAGCCAAACGGGCGTGGTCGCTTTGCAAGTCGAAGAAAGCTGCTTTTATCACATGGCCAACTCTTTGTAGACTCGAGGATCCCTTCCACCAAATTCCATGCTCAAACCCCAATTAAAACTCCTTATTCCACATGCAATTTATTTACTTGCATTTGCATATACATAATAATATAAAATGACATAGGGGATTGAACTAGGACTAATACATAGACAAAACATTGGTAGAATTGTTAGATCATGTGCCCTTGCCTAGCTGCATCTCTAAATTGTTAATATTTACCATGATTTTCATTGGTACCCCAATATTCTCTAATGTCTCCTTGAAAGAAAAAATATATATTCTATGTATGTTACTTAATCCTATAGATTCTCTCTGTTTTTTTCCCCTCTTCCAAAAGATAACTGATATCACAAAGATTTTCTTATTCATTTAGTTACAGTACCACTTTTTCTTTTCTTTTCTTAAATAAAACAAATAAATAAAGCCAACCATACTTCAGTTCTGCCTTTGAATAGAAATACATCAGATTTCATCGGTGGGTAAAATGGTTCATTTCTTTCACCCCTCGTTTTCAATGTCTTGAAATTTTCTGACAGTGGTCCAAATACTACAGGAAAAGTTATCAGTCTTCATATTTGTCTTTTTTTTAAAATTTGAATGAGTTGGCTAAAGAGCTCACTGATTATTCTCCTTCCCCTCATGATGATAAACCATAATGTGTTTGCCTTTTTTTTATGAATTAAGATAAGAAAATCATTTACCTAGTGGAGCTGCTGATCACTAAGGGGGGGGAAATAAAAATAAAAAAGGGAAGCATGACTTGAGGTTGAGGGTCCAAAAAGCATATTTGTTTTGGGGCAGTTAAACATATTCATGAAGAATGTTGGAAGCCCACATCCCACTCCTTGTATAGTCATACTTTCAAGTCTCTGGGACCAGAAACATTCTCTGTGACTTGTGTCTCCTTGACCACCTCCATTCTATTTCCTACCTTAATAGTTTGTTCAAATATATTCTTAGCATAATAAGCATCCTTGCCTTCAATTGATTACTATCAGCCCTTGATGGTGTTAATATACTGATTGATGTAGGGAAATGTCCTTGTTGTGTTTCCAACGTTGGATCAACTAAGATTTCTATTGACCTTCATTGTCAGGTGAATTGGCGGAATAAATTTTTGGTACTACTGTTATACCAAAGATTCAGTGCATCCCACCAATAAAAATATTACATGTCAACTAAAATACTTTTTTTTCTGTCAAATTTTTTCTCTCTCATATGATGTGTAAGGCTCTCATTCATGGGATGCACTGAATCTAGGTACAGCAGTAGTACCAAAGATTTATTCGAATTGGTGGTTAACGTGGGTGTCTACATAATTAGCACATTCAGTCTGTTCTGCACGTTTTGAAGCAATTTCGAAGCAAAATGATGTTTATGACAAATTCCATTTTCTGATTCAATTATGAATCTTTTCTAGCCGATTTCCAAGAACAGTGTTATATATTTTGTTATGAAAATTTTGCTTCAAGTTTACGCTAGAACTTTAGGGGTCATATGACGGATTGGGGCCATAATATTAATGACCATTTGAGTCATTTTTGTTTAAAATTTTTTAAGAGTTTAGAAAAAAAGAAAGACAAGAGGGCATGCCAGTTTAGTGCATGCTTGTGTAGCGGACCATGGATAAAAAGTTGCATTATTCGATTTCAATGATAATGTTGAAACAGAAACAGGATATCAAGTTTTAACTGCATGCTTGTGTTTGTGGAATCAACTAACAACTAACGATATCTAGTATGCTGCTAAAGTTGGTAGCACGCTATGCCGTTTAGTTGTGTAACTGCTAGAGATTTTAAGAAGTCAAACCTATAAAGAGCAATGATTCTTCAAAGTTATTGCTTAATTTGGTTAAAAGGTGGAAAGATCTATGTTTATGTTCACCACTCAGTTTGCTTATATTTAGTGTAGAATGTGATCATACCTTAATCATCTATCAAATCCACTCTCAATTTTAAGCATGCAGTTCAAGCAAGCGTTATGAAATGCTAAGCTATATTTAATTTATCTTATGGCTTAAACATGAGAAATGGCCGTAAGGGTTACTTTCTTTATCTGTTCTTCTAAGGATGATTATGCACAGCAATGATTAAAACTCCTTATACAGGTCAATACACAATCCTTTATGGCATCCTTATCTCCTTTCTTGCTGTGTTTTTTTTTTTTGGGACTCCCTATCAAATATTGAGTTAGCACTTTTGGCTTTTGGTAGGCAATAGCATGGGACAGCAAAACCTGCATTGACTTGTGATTCAATTTCATTACATGGGTCCTTAGTATTGCACCATTAGTACTCACTTGACTACTTATTGATGCAATGGACAATGGTGGTCAACCTTATTTGCAAAGGTTCATGTCTATGTTTTTACATATGCAATATAATTGGTAAGGAGTAATTTATCCACAAACATCATCATGCTTGGTTCATCTTTATTGCCTCCATGCTGGGACCTCTCCTGTGACCAGAAGAATCCTATCATAAAACATAACTTTTGCATCACTTTAGTGCCTTCTTTTGCACTGTGAGGATCGAACAAATATTCTGCTACATCGATCTGCCAGCTACTTTGTCTTGGCAATTGATATATTTTGCAATTAAGTTGAATATAAAGGTCTCTGACCAAATCCTTAGATGTTGTTTCGTAATTGAAATTGTGCTTTTTTTTGGCTGAATGAAAATAGTCTTCATATCAAAAAGCAAATAAAATGACTGACATGAAAACAAAGATATTCTGATATGAAAGGAATAAATAACGCTGTCACAACAGTCTTAAGTACACAATGGAAATGGCCCGTTGCTGAGTCTCTCAATCATATGAATTACATATATTTACTGAGGAAGTGGGCTTGATTTATTTATTTATTTTTCATTTATTGGTTATATATTCTCGTTTATAATTAAAAAAATGTCATATCATTTCTTATTTTCAAGATATTGTGAAGGAAATAATAAAAACAAGATCTTGTTGTTTTCATCATTTTCATAAATTGTTAAATTAAAAATAGAAAATGTAAAATATTTTTATGTTCATTAATAAAAATATATAAATTGGAAAAAACAAACCACCTTATCTAGTCATTTCCATTTACTTTCACCCTCCAGTATTCAACACCATCGATTGCAGTATTCTTTGTCCTTTCTCCATTTGCTATTGTTTTTTTTTTCCCTTTTTTGCAGTACCATGGATAATTAAACAACTCTTAGGCTGTTTACCCAAAAAAAAAAAAAAAAACACCTCTTAGGCCCAATATTTGTAAGATACAACTTGTGGCCCAAATCGGTATCTTGGGTTAATCAAGAGCAAACCCACTATCGAGAAAAATAAAATAAAAAATCAATCCGGATTATTGATGACAAATTTGAGGTTTTTAAATTTGTAAAGATTTTAGAAGATTCGGTTGGTGGTTGGGCATTTTTTATAAACGCAATTTTTCATAATCCCTTTAAATTAAAAAATGACAAATTTAATTTTAATGATTATATATTGACTATTGAGTCAAAAATATGGTGTGACTTCATTCTTCTTCAACTATTTAAAAGGGATCACAAATTTGACAATTTTTTAATTTAAAGGTGTTTTAAAAAATCACGTTTTTTAATTATTCCCTTATTACTATTGTGATATTCTCAAATTCTTGCAAATTTAAAAATATCAAAATTAAAAGGCTTTGTAAGTAGAGGGCTAGAGGCTATATCTACTTCAGTGATTTCTCGGTCTCCAAAGGATTAGGCTTCGACTGTCGGCTTGGGGACAGTGGCGGAGCCAGCATGGCATGTTAGCCGGTGCTAAAAAATTCAGCTAGTGCCCAAATAGCTACGATTCTCTGGCTACGACCAAAACATGGTTAATTTTCAAAAAAAATTGATACATGATTTGCTACGTTTCAAGTGTAGCTAAATGAACGTGGCTAATTAAGCCAGTGCCTAGGCACCTGCTGTGGCTCCGCCACTGCTTGGGGATATCGGATATCCGTAGAGCCATCCAAAATTATTATTAATGATTATAATTTGATGGATGATTTTATTTTTCTTTCCTTTTTTGACGAAATTGATATTATCTAAGTTATATTAGTGATATTATACTCCATAATTACTGTTGTATAGCCACCGACCCACCAATATGAGGCAGGTTGTATATGCTTCAACCCAACATGACCCGCATTATATACAGGCAAGTTAGAAGATGTTAGAGGATAGGCGAGGCGGGATATGTCAACTCGGATTATTATTTTTATTTTAATTGTTTTTAGTATTAGATGTTAGATGATGGCTTGATTGGTTTGTGTTAATGCTGTTATGTAAGACAAAAAAAAATTCTTTTAGGGGCCAAAATGCTAGTGTTTCATTGGAGAAGATATTTCTTATTCACTTAGTGTTTTAATGTTGATATTTATACAAATCAAACTAGATGCTTATGAAATTCTAGTTACGCAATGCAATGATGTGTTCATTTGTATAGATTCACATGCTTGATGTTATTCTTTTGTTATGTAATAATGTTAGAATAAATCATTTTGTGTAGCTATGTAAAATGAAATCGTTGGCTTAAATCATTCTTTTTTCATTGGTTTATTGCTTGACACTTATTTCAAACTTGAGAAATAGTTGGATGTTAGAGATTAGAAGGAAAAGATTAGCAATATAATATTTTTATTTTTTAGGTGATTTCCTCAAAACATAATGGGTCGGTATTTTTAACCCACTCACCAATCTGTCCTACCTCATTTTTTGACAAGTTAATAAGTGAAGGCGAGTGGCCCTCTTTTGCCAAATCTACTTTATAGCTCGCTTTGACACAACATGAATTTTGAGATATGTATACTTAAACTATATTAAGAGTTAACTCAAGTGGTAATATAAGTTCTAGATGAACCTCCAAAAGTATATAGATTCAAATTTTGGAGATGACCTTTTAGGGACCAAGGTTGGATAATTGTTATACCGTCGCTCGGATTGTACTTGTACATGCCTTTTCTCCACCCGTATCATGGAATACCAAAAGAATAAGAGCCCGTTTGGATGAGCTTTTTTTTCTTCAAAAGCTGCTTTTTTTAAGAAAAAAAGTATTTCTCGAAAAAAGTCCATTTGGATGTCAGCTTTTAAAAAAAGCAGAAGTTATAAAAAAAGTCAAAAACTTACTTTTTTCGGAAGCTAAAAATTTTAACTTTTTAAAAAAGCAAAAGTCAAAAGCCAAATATTTTTTTCAAAAATCAAATATTTTTTTAAAAATCTAAATAGCTATAACTTTTATATAAAATACTTTTAAAATAAGGAAGTGATAAAAATGACTTTCTTAAAAAGTCAATACAAACGCACCCTAAATAGGGTCTTGGAATAAAAAAAATAGAATAGGTACATATTAAAGAAAAATGAAACAAATAAAGTATGGTATAAAATTAAAGTAAAACGACTCCAGTGCATGATTCACATTTTGAGGCTAGATGGTCTCTGGTTTGGGAAATACGAGGGTGTTATAAGTTGCCTACCTGTTCTTTCTTATTGTCAGCAGATTCGGGGGAGGCCCGTGACAAAGGACCATCACTAATGAGTTAAGCTAAACTATTCACACTAAATAGGTCTGACACTATTTTACAACTTAAAATCTTAAGACTTTGGGTTTATGGGTCTATCCATTTATTACACTTTACTTAGCTCATTTACTAACCAAATATGGTACTCATCACACTTGAATAACCCAACAATTTTTCCCTGAAGTGTGAAACCTTAGATTGAAATGTTTCCCCATCAATCAAATACCTAGGCCCAAAGTACTCTAATAGTGTTAGATAAGAATTTCAAAAAGAGAAAGAAATAATAAAGGTTAGTTGAGATATTCTGATCTAACAGTATTGAAGAATAATAGATAAAATATATATGAAAAAAGTAGGTAAAATAATCTATCTCTTTCTTTAATATCAAGTAAGGTTAAGTAGATTAAGGGCCACTTGATTTTGATGCATATTTTTTGTGAACTATCATGTTTCTTGAAGTATGCCAAAAAGGAGATTTTATTTACTTCAAAGTAGGAGTAATAATAAGTTAGACAGCCGACCGAAAGCCCACAGTCTGGCCTATTTAAGACCTAACCAGGGTGAGCCTATTCAGTAAAAAACTAAGTGTGAAGCTTTTTAGAAAACCTAATTTGTTAATTAGACCATGCTTGGCCAACCTATTATATCTATATAATATTATATGAAAACCATCTATCCCCATTCCAAACCCCACTTTCTGACTCTCACCAGACAAAATGTCAGCTGCACAAGATGGATTTCTAAGCAGATCAAAGGCAGAATGGACACCCACTCGTGATGCATGCTTGGTTGAGCTTCTTATCAAGCAACACAAAAGTGGAAGAACAGCTTACAATGAATTCAAAAATGAAGTGATTAAGTCTGTCACATGGGATTTCAACAAAAAATTTGGCTTGTACTTGGAAGAGAATCAGATAAAGAATCGCTATAACGTTATGAAGAAAGATTATGTTGTTGTCAAAACACTGCTCAGTCACAATGAATTCGTCTGGGATGAAACTCGGCATATGGTTGTGGCTGATGAAAAAGTGTGGGACAGTTATATTATGGTAAGTTACTATCTACTAAAGCCATATGTTCTATATATGTATCAAAATTTGTTTCAACTTTATTTCTTATATACAAAAGTACAAAAGGGTAAGGTTATGCTTTGCTCATTGGAAAAATTTGTGTAAATACATTTAGGTAAGATGTGAAGCAAGACCTTTTAGACGCAAGAGCTTCCCACTATATAAACAAATGTCCATCATATTTGAAGGTGATGGCCCTGACAGAATTTCTATATAGTGTTTCTGGAGTATCATACCAATTTATGGCTTGTTGAATGCAGGCGAAAGAGGAATTCAAAAAGGCCAATTTCCCAATGGAGCAATGTCGACAGCAGAAGAAGGAAATAGCAACACAGAAACAGTGCGATCTTCAGAGCCATGTAACTTACCAACACAAGTAATTGATGGTACCCTTGACTCTGATTCAATAATCCGCATCAATGACATGCAAGCCAAGAAGCACAAATTTGTCAATCCAGCAGAGTCAATTCATAAAAAAAGAGCACACCTCAAAATTGGAGAAACGATAGAGAATGTATTGTATGAGGTTTTCACAGCAGCCAAGTTCAAAGCCAAGCAAAGAAATGCATCCAATTCAACAACAATGTATAAGAACAGCTTGGAGGAATTGCAGAAATTGGAGGAGTTGGATGACAAAGACTTTGCAAAGGCTGTTAATGCACTTAAGGACGACAAAAATGCTATTGCTTTTATGACAATAAAAGGGCCTAGACGTTTAACCTGGTTAAGGTCTCTATGGCACTCAGAGTAACATATGTGCATTATGTCTCAACATTCATATACATATATGCTGGCGGATTTTAGAGAAACCTAATGAGATGTTGGTTTATCCGACCAATCTAACCCTTCTCTTGATTTTAGCATGAAAAGCCTAGCATATATGCTTCTTCAAACCATATTTTGTCGAGATTATATTTGCCTACACAATTTGTTTGTTTTGTTGTTCAGTTTGTATCCTAATGCTATGCCTTTATGGTATATATGGCCTAAGATTCCGCTTTTCCTTAAAGCACATTCTGTAATATCTTATTCTATAACCACATATTGCAAGTTAAAAAAAAAAAAAAGCAGTATCAGCCTACAAAGCAAAAGATGGAAAGGTTGGCAATAGGGCCAAGTGGAATCACTGCAATTAGTACAAAACCTCTGGTTACTTAATCCAAGAGTTAGAAAAAAAATATATATATAAAAAAAGAAAAGAAAAGGAGTATTATTGGAGCAAGTAGCAATAGTGAAGAAGTGAGTCAGCTAACAAAAACAGAAACTAATAAGGAAGGAAGGTAAAGTCACTGAAGAAAAAGAAAAGAAAAAGTAAACGCCACTCACTCAGAGCTTCACTAGAAAAGTGAAGTAATTTGGTGTTTTTTGAATCAATCTTTCTTCAAAGTTTTGTTCTTTGTTTAACCTTCTTCCTCCACATGGGTCGTCTTCTTCTCTTTCTCATTATCTTTAGCTTCCTTGTATTTTCTTTCTTCTCAGGTAAACTTCACCAATTACAAAAAAAATCACAAAATTAATTTTTTCTTTTTTAAAAAAAAAAAAAACTTGCACTTACTCTTCTCTGTGTTCTTTCAATTTTGGTCCTTGTTCTTGGCAGAGGTACAATCAGCGTCGTTCAAGATTGTGAACAAGTGCCGCTACACGATATGGCCAGGATTACTCTCCGGCGCCACCTCTCCGCCGCTACCCACCACCGGATTCGCCCTCAATAGCGGCAATTCAAAGACCATTAACATCCCGAAATCTTGGTCGGGTCGGATATGGGCACGGACCCTCTGCGGCCAAGACCCTGACGGAAAGTTCTCTTGCGTCACCGCCGACTGTGGCTCCGGCAAAGTAGAGTGCGCCGGCGGCGCCAAACCGCCCGCCACATTGGCGGAGTTCACCCTGAACGGCGCCGACGGGTTGGACTTCTACGACGTGAGTTTGGTCGACGGTTACAACCTTCCGATGCTGATCGTGGCCAAGGGTGGCACCAGGGGCGGATGCAGCGCCACCGGCTGTCTGGTTGACCTTAACGGCGGATGTCCTGCGGATCTCAGGGTGGCGCGTGCGAATGGTAGCCGTGGTAGCGTCGCGTGCAGGAGCGCGTGCGAAGCTTTTGGTGATCCCCGGTATTGCTGCAGCGAGGCGTACTCCACGCCCGACACGTGTAGCCCTTCTGTTTATTCCCAGTTCTTCAAACATGCTTGCCCACGCGCGTATAGCTACGCGTATGATGACAAGACCAGCACATACACGTGTGCCTCGGCTAACTACTTGATCATATTTTGTCCCTTACCCTACACGAGGTACAATTACGCATCAACCATAAGCTATGAATTGTTTTAGCTTCAGTTATGTGCATGATTATTTCTGTGAAGTAAGGGTAATTCTGACTTTTGGTTTAAGTGCATGATTGACATGGAAGCTTGATCTAGGTATATGGATTTTCTTTTAAAAAGTGGTGTGAAGTAATGCGCATACATTGCACATTATTGAATTTTTTTTTCTTTCTTCTATCTCTTTCTTGATCAAAGTAAAAATAAAAAAACTTGTAGAAACTGCACGCTTTAGGTGCATGAATCTTTTCTATTCTTTTTATGTTTAGCTGTCCATCCAGATAATCGTGCATGTTGTGTGGACTCGAGTTAAGGGGCCATTGATTGATTTGGGTAGGGGAGCCTTTTATGTGTAGCATAGCATCTGTCCAATGCAATAAATTGATCCATGTGCAAATAATTGGACTTATTTTGTTTTTTCTCAAATGAATAATTGACCTACATATGGGGATTGCTGAGTTTAGATGCTACAAATTTTAATCAGCTTTTCAAAGGAGTTGCATAAGCGTTAGTAGACTCTTTCTCAAATAAAAGTTTGTAATCTAATCTCTCAACTATAAAGATTATGAATAAACTTGAGTTTTCTTTCCATGTTTTAATGAGCGCTCATATTCATATGCTTAATAATGGGCATGCCTTCATAAAAATTTTCTTATGTTAGCTTCTTCCGACTAAGCTTCTTAACTAGTTTTACCTTGTGGTGTTTGGATTTTCCTTCTTGTTTTTGCTTTTATGGCCGACAACCCACCCCCAAATCACATAATAGGAAATAATTGTATATGCACGATGAAGATTTGTTGTCTTTTGCACTTTTTTTTGTTGTTGGTACATTGACATCTTTTAGACTTATCAACTTCTAGGTAGTGTGTAACTGAGATTACATCAACAGCATACTTTTATTAGGGGAAGACTGTCTACTCCTTTTGAGTAGTTAATAACATATGCATGTATGTATCTTGTGTGGCCTTGAGCAGTCAAAAATTGCTGGGAGCAAAGAAAGATGGCGCACTGCTTCCTCTGGTAAATAAAACTATGATGTACTTATCAAGGCTACAATCTGGCGGTTCTTCATCAAAAGGTCTGATCCAAATGCAGAGTGTAACTAATTTTGCCACTGTGGCAGTGATATTTTTCCTGTTCTGCTCTCTTTGACATCCTTTATGGCTTACCTTTGCATGGATACTTCAGGTAGATAGCAACAAGAAACCTAGCTGGTTTTTAATGTAGCCGTGTAAGCTCTTTATGTTTTCTCCCTTCTGACTATTTTTAACTTTAAACTATCAAATGGCTGCTCTGCTGATTCTACTCATCATGCAGGACATGAAGGATATCATATAGGAAATACTGTAAAAAAAAAATGGTTGTTGTTGTCTCTTTTTTTTCCCCCTTTAAAACACGTCAACACTTCAATAGTTGATCTCTGGCGATCCAACAATTCTGGTTTTAACAACAGAGAGGAAGTACCAATTTGCAAAATATTCTGGAGTCAAGATTTTGCAAATTATGAGAGGCTCTATAATAGGATTCGTTACATGAGGCTACAGTGTGTACATGAGATAGTTTTATGGAGTGATGTTTCGTGCACAATTATTGGATTCAATATGCACAAATGGATACATATTAAATTTATAGAAGAATGCTTTAAGCCAATATGTTAGTCATATAAGTAGCATTGCTTTTTCTTTTGGCACCCCCATATACTAAATCTTGGTATTACACTATTACCCAGAACCAACATGCTCGAGGACTTCTAAGTTTTCATCAAAGGCGTCTAACTTCTATTCTTGCAATCTTACTCAACTGTGGCTTCTAACGATTGAACTGATAATGATATCATATCCAACGCCTTTTAGCATTGAGTCCGATCGTATAATATGTTGAAAACTAGGCAAGGAAACATAAACCTGCTTTGGACAAGTATGCTTAAAATAAAAAATATAAAACCATATTAGCCAAATAAAAGCATTTGGTAGTGTATGTAGAATCTATCCGAACAAAAAGCTTTATTTCTTCTAATGCAATGTTGAGTAAAGAGATGATACTCAATTACAAACATACAAACCTCATCTGTGAATTTAGCCACTTCATTACAAAAAAAAATAAAAAAAAAATCTCATCTGTGAATTCTGTTAGGATTCAAGTGTTAATGAAAAAAAGTAAGAACTATTTAATGGAATGACTCAGGAACTTCTATAGATATTTGGTTAAGATATGGTGTCAAATTTGCAATGTGATTTTCCAATTAACCTATAAAAGAAGATCTCTGATGTTTTGGCCTTCTAGTAATTTTGTTTTCCATATATTGAATATAATATAAGAATGTTTTGCTGTACAACAATTTTGAAAATTCGATCTTCGCTTTGGGGAGTGGGGGTTGTATTATTGTATACTAAAATCGATTTGCGACCTTTTGGTCCTGAGCTGCTGGATAATTCTAAATTCTACTATTGATTTTGGGTGTGGAATTCAAATACCCTCAACAAATTATGGGACGTGGACACATCCATTAGACGAATGGGCTTCCCACACTGGGCTTCTCATGTTTTTTTATTTTTGTTTTTTGTTTTTACATCTTTGAAGAATAAAAAAAGGGTTTCTTTTTTCTACGATCAATGTAGATAACTTATTTACAGTAAGTTCAAAACGACGTCGTTTTGAGACGGAAATCAAGATATTTTTGTAATTATAATTTATTTCAGGGTTATAATAGTCTTTTTCATTATAATTTTTTAATTTTTCAACCCAAAACAACGTCGTTTTCGGAGCAAATGTAGATAACTTATCTACATTGACTTTAGAAACATTAAAGCCATACAAAAAATCAATAATAAAGTTTTAATCCCATAAACAAAAAACCTGAGGGTAAAAATATGTTTCGATCACAGTCTTTGAGAGAGGTTTAAAAATCTTAATTCCCATAACTCATTCCAAATCGCAATAATTGCGAAGGGGTAAATCGATTCAAATATTTTTTTTTAAAAAAAAAACTCCAAAAGGTGCTCAGAAAGTCAGCTAGAAGAGATAACTCAAGGGCAGGGGGACCCACCTTCAAACTGCAAAAGCCATCTCTCCATAAGCTCTAACTCCAGCTAAAAAATCAGGGCAGAAGTTTGCCTTCCAACAAAGTGTAAGAGAGTGAGGCTTTTCAACTCAATTGTCTGAAAATTAAGAAGTTTTATTATTTATTTTTAATTTTTAAAACACTACAACTTGTAAGATATTATGTCTTCTTAATTTAATACACCTAACCGGATTAACTTTTGAGCCAAACTGTTAGCCAAAAACCTACCTCATATGTATGGTTCAAGAGGCTGATCACGATAAGTGGGTAAGTGGATTTGATGCCACATCTCCTTAAGCTCTGTGATTCTTTTTCTTTTCTTTTTTTTTGATAAATGTTGAGAGCTTGGCTTAAAGTCTTTTCCATTTTATATAATCGTCGCTTGATACATTGTTAAGCAATTAGAGATTTCCCACTCAACTTAAATTTTATTTCCAACCCAAACCCAAATCTTCCCATAAGCTTCCACCTTGCTATTGACATTGGTACAGCAGGCGTACATACTCCCTTATTGAAAAAAATATGAGGTATAAATAAAAATAAAGATAAAGATAAAGATAATGTAAAAATATTACTTTTTATTATATTTAGTAAAAAATGTATTGAATACTTGATACAACAAAAGCATAGAAAATACTTTCCTTGATTAGGTGCCTGAATGCATTATTTGCGTGTAAGGATGCTTATTTTGCATCGTCCTTTCGACACTAATATTCCTTGAAAAAAGTTAACTTTGCATAATTAAAATTGAGAACAAAGTGAGAGCTCTTTTTAAAATCTTGAGCGTGAAAAACTAATAACCATCACCTAACTTTTTTATCATTATTCTGGTTATTTTTCTTTTCGGTCAAATGTCATTATGCTTTGTCTGATAAAGGACGCTTAAGTGGCCTTTAAAAATCTGTGTTCTAATCTTTATAATGATGCAGACTGTGGAAGTTTCCGTTGCTGCAGGGAAACAATGCACAAATCTGAACCACAACTTGGCCCTTCCTGTTTTTCAGTTTTTTAATAAATGACCAATCAACTACCTTAATCTCAACAAGTAAAAAATGCTGTGTAGTTAAATAATTAAATTAAATTGGTTAAAAATTAAATTTGTGGAAATTTCAGGTCACGCTCCTGTATACAAATAACATGACTGAGTTAAACAAGAAAAATCGGCTATGTTTGATTGTTGTTTTTAAAAACAGTTTTTTAGTTTTCAGAACAAAAAATTAAAAAATTTGTTTGATAAGGCCAGTTTTGTAAAAATTATTTTGAAAATTATAACTATTTTTTTTGTTTTTAGAATCAAATTTAGACATGTCTGAGTTGTTTTTGTTTTCTGTTTTGATTTTTAACTTTCAAAAATAAATAAATATAGAAAACAACTGTTTTCATAGAGGTAGGATCCTTTGACACCAATGTCAAATTTCAATTTTGACACATCATCTCAGAACTGTTAGATCAAAAAAAATCAATGGTTCTGATTTGTAAGTATGTGACACCAATGATTTTTTTTTTATCTAACGGCTCTGAGACGAGGTGTCAAAATTAAAATTTGACACCAGTGTAAAAGGATCCTACCTCGTTTTCATAACTATTTTATAAAACAATTTTAAGAACAAAAAAACCAAAACACAATCAAACAGGTCCTTAAATGTCTGCAAAATAGATGGAGATTGCTTCTTCTTTTTTGGTACAAGAGTATAGATTGCTTTTAAATTTACATAAAAAATGGTGATATAACATTTTAGGATTTAATGTTTCTCCTAAACACATAAGTGTACAGAGATCATATTTTTTCTTTTATCTCTTTTCTTTATATGAATTTACACACTTTTATACATATGTAAGAAATAAATTATGAGAAAATCCAACATTTTATATATCTAACTGAATTTAAAAGTTTGTAGAAAACATGTAAATTTTTGCATGCGTAATATTATTTCTCATAAACTAAGCTTATTCATTATTATCTAGACCCAGCTCCTAAAAATTGGAGGAAGTGTCTTATGATGTATAGATCTTCAACATGCAAGAACTAAAGAAGAAAAATCTTGATATGCAAGATGAGAGAAGAAGAAGCCGACACGAAATTAAAGTGTTTCTGTATATTAAGTTAATGAACTAGTTAACCAAAGAATGGTTATATACAACCCGTGAAAGAGAAGAGGAAAAGAATACAAGAATAATGTTAACTAACTCTAACCAATCCTTAACTGAATTAACAAACTAAAACTAAATCAATTAAGTGTCATTGGGTTGGGCCCTTTCTTCTGTTAAGCCCAATTGTGTTGAAACCGGCAACCCCCCCCCCCCCCCAAAGCTTGGGCTGGGTTATGAATGTCCAAAAGACCAAGCTTGCCAATGAAATTATGAAAAGGAGATGACAATAACGGTTTCGTAAAAACATCAGCAATCTGGGCAGTAGTTGAAACCGGCAACAAATGAATTAAACCAGATTGGATCTTCTTGCGAACAATATGGCAATCAAGTTCGATATGTTTGGATCTCTCATGAAAAACCGGATTATGAGAAAGGTGGATGCTCTGATACCATCTTATGATGTATAGATCTTCAACATGCAAGAACGAAAGATGAAAAATCTTGATATGCAAGATGAGAGAAGAAGAAGTCAACACGAAATTAAAGTGTTTCTGTATATTAAGTTAATGAACCAGTTAACCAAAGAATGGTTATATACAACCCGTGAAGGAGAAGAGGAAAAGAATACAAGAATAATGCTAACTAACTCTAACCAATCCTTAACTGAATTAACAAACTAAAACTAAATCAATTAAGTGTCATTGGGCTAGGCCCTTTCTTCTGTTAAACCCAATTGTGTTGAAACCGGCAACAAAGTGTGTCAGCGTGTAAGTAAATTGTTAAATTGGTAAGTGAATTGGACACTATTCTTTTAATAAAAAAAAGAGTGAATTCAACACTACAATTTAACCCAAATCATAAATTTAGGTTCTTTCATTTATATTATTCTCATTTAATTTATTCCTATCCAAACATAGTATTTTATTCAAATACTCACGCCAGTTAAATCATTGACTTTGATACAGAAAATATGACTATTAATGAGCTAAGCAAAAATATAACATAAGTGAAATGGATACCCCATCTTACATAAAAAAACTTAATGAGTCTATTACTTCAATTTATTCTTAATAAACATGACACTTTATTCCTTACACTTAAATCCCCAACATAGAACGCCAAATATATAATCCTATATATAAACATCAATACCCCTTGAAGCCACGAATTGTAAACAAACTTTGCATGAATATCACACAAAATAACTTTGCATTAGTACTCAAATACTATATTACACACAAAAAATATCTTTGTAATTGTAACTCAATGATTTGAGAATTTGTTAAATTAAGAGCATGGGCACCACTCCCTCCTTGTCTTTAGTATTGTCTCTTACTTGTGCTTTTACATTTACCCTCAGACCAATCTTCGTCGTTTTGTGCATACTCAATTCATTATCCATTCCAAACACTTACCTTCCTCTTGATAACCCCAGCTACTCCTCAGTGACACTGCCACTACCCCAACCAAAAAAGGCCAAGCTTGAACCTATGGGTCACTTAGCCTCTTCTTATTTCACTCTCATTGCTCTCCTACTCTTCACTCCAAGAGGTAAATTCAACTTTTTTTTTTTACCTGTTTTTCCTTCAACTTCACAACAATTACTACTTCTCATCACTTTTTCTTATGCTTCTTCTGGTTCAGGTGTTCTGGGTGCTACCTTTACATTTGTAAACAGATGCGATTACACAGTGTGGCCAGGTATTCTTGCAAATGCTGGTACCCCAACTCTTGAAACAACCGGTTTCGAGCTCCCCAAAGACACTTCTCGCACCTTTCAAGCTCCAACCGGCTGGTCCGGTCGATTCTGGGGCCGAACCGGTTGCAGTTTCGACGGATCCGGTTCAGGTTCTTGTCTCACCGCCGACTGTGGCTCCGGCCAACTCGAATGCAACGGCGCCGGAGCTTCCCCGCCTGCTACCCTAGCGGAGTTCACGCTCGGCACCGGAGGGCAAGACTTCTACGATGTCAGCCTCGTCGATGGCTTCAATCTTCCCATGATGGTTCAAGGAACCGGCGGGTCGGGTCTATGTGCTTCCGTCGGGTGCACCTCCGATCTCAACCAGCAATGCCCGGCGGAGTTGAAATCCTCCGACGGAAGCGCGTGCAAGAGCGCGTGTGAAGCTTTTGGTAGCCCTGAGTACTGCTGCAGCGGCGCGTATGGGTCTCCGGCCACTTGTAGACCCTCTATTTACTCGGAGATGTTCAAGGCTGCTTGTCCCAGTTCGTATAGCTACGCATACGATGACGCTACGAGTACATTTACATGTACAGGTGCTGATTATACGGTTACCTTCTGTCCATCCACTCCTAGGTAAAAATAATCTGTTGTTATTCATTGTTTTTTACACAGTGGTTGATTTATTTATGGAAAAAATTGTGTATCAGATGTAAAATTGTGTCATAGATAAAGGAGGAGAGAGAATAGAAGAGAAGAGAGAATGAAAAAATATATATAAAAGTGTGGATCACATCTCTTTGTGAGAGTAAAATGATAAAGTTGTGTCATTTACGAATAAATCTTTGGTACTACTGTTGTACCTAGATTCAGTGCATCTCATCAATGAGAGCATTACACATCAGAGGAGAGAGAAAAAATCTGACAGAAAAAATAGAATTTTAGCTAACATGTAATATTTTCATCGGTGAGATGTACTGAATCTTTGGTACAACAGTAGTAGTACCAAGTAAAAGTGTAAGGGCTACATGCAGAGAAGAAAGAGTAAAAAAAACAATAGGTAAAAGTTCATCAATATTTATATGGTTTACTCTAGAATCATCTATGTTCTTGTAATTTTTATTTTATCACATATGTTCCTGTGATTTGCAAAAGGGTATGTATTTTATCACATATATCTTTGTGATTTTTATTTTTTACAAATTACATGAACGTATATGATAAAAAAAAAACAAAGGAGCATAGTTGATTCTGAAATAAAATCACAAGGGCATGTTATCAAAAAAAAAAAAAAAAAAAAATCACAAGGGCGTTAGTTAATTTTTTCCAAAAAAAATATGGGCACTTATATTTTTATATCTATATAGAATATAAAATTATTTTTTACAATATAAGAAACATTAATCCGTTCATTTATTTAAGTGGCATTTTATATTTTTGTTTAATTTTACATAAATATCATTATTAATATTAATTTTTTTAATATATTGTGTGTGTATTTTTTAGGGGAAACTATTTCCACAGTTGTAGCTGAAATAGTAGTTTGTCTCACACAAACATGAAAAAAAAAAGGGATTGTACTCCATCAAATTTTTCTTTCTCAGTTCTTTACAGTTTCTCTCATTTTTGTGCCTACAAATTATTCCTGCCACTGCAGAAATAGTTTTTCCAATTATGCTCGATTTTATTTTTGAGTGTGAGAACTGAGAATTTCCAGTGTAAGTAGTAGGTGGGTGCTCCCCATACAGCCAAAGGTGAACTCTTTAATGCTATCTTATTAATACATTGATTGTTGAGCGGGTCAGTCTTAATGATGTTTGGTGCTTGGTGCCATTGCCAATAGCTAATGCTCATAAAGTACATTATATTTGCGTCTCTGACCATTAAAATGAGTGTATTCACTCTTTAAATATTATTGAACGACTCGCTCAGAAAACCCCCACTTGTAACATATCTAAAGTAATAACCTTAGTTTTTTTGTTTGAGAATTTGATTATTGTCTCAATATCTGGTTTGGTTTTGCAGTCAGAAATCTTCACGAGATAAAACCCCCATGACACAAGGGTCGGGGACAGGGGTAGGAACTGGGACACTGACCCCTGGGATTGGAACAGGAACAGGAACAGGATCCGAAGGGGCAGTGGTGTACACGGGTACGGACCCTAGCATTGGGTATTCAGTACCGGCTTCCGGGTCGGGTTCAGGATCCGGAGGAGAGGCCATGCTGGCAGATGGGTCATATTTAGCTGGTTTGGCCATGGGAGAGGGAGACTCTCATAGCCATAGGACAGTTTGCAATACGTTTGTCTACTCTGTTAGCTTTTTGATTATTTTCTCCTTGCTTTAGCTGCAGCACCATTCTCGTGACTTTTGGTTTTTAAAATGTAAATGGGTCTTAGATTTGCGTGTTTTGATTTAATAGGTTCATGAATTTTGGCTTTGCCAGAAAAGCTGGCAGATTCTTCCTGATTGTAAACCACCCACCCACCTCAATATTCTCCCCAAAAAAAATATTCCATGTTTCATTCGTTAAAGTGTTGTTTTTATATTAACCTTTGTTTGTATTTATCTCCCATGTCGAAGCTTTTTGAGGTTCTATGGTAGTTGTTTTCACATGTATGATAATAATATAAACATGGTGGCTTTTAGTTTTAGCATAGACCACATGCTACGTGATTTATACCTGTTATAAACGGTTTAAGGTTTTGATATTTGCAGTTTAGTGTTTCAAGATATCAATAATGTAGAAAAGTAAAGGAATAAATTTTAAAAGAAAAAAACATGGCATGATTCAAAGACTGAGATGGACCAGTTTGCAATTTTTGAAAATAACTCGCCTGACCTGATTTATCATTTACCGGTCATCAATCAGAACCGTTGATTTAAACATTATTAAATCTAAGATGGTGGACCATATTTAGGGGAGTCCACCTTACGCGTCGCCATATAAATATATATGTGCTGTGGGCCATGGCTTTGAAGTTAGTTTCTAAGCATAATGTGAACAATCAGTTAATCTTGCGTCTAAAATTAGTGTTCGCTTTGCAGCAAAAACAAGTAGATTTCTTGGCTTTTTGTCTTTTGCCTGCTGCAGGAGGAATTCTGAGATGCATTTGGTGAGTAAACTTGTGGCTTAAAAAAAAGTTAAATGAAGCCTGAAGATTGAGAGTAGAATATTGCAGAACAATAACTTCAATCGTATGGTTGCATAATAATCATTCTGTTTTTTACCTTGTTTATGAAGAGAAATAATTTTATTTTTTTCTGTGCTTACAAATAGTTTTGGGACAAAGAAATTAAAACCCACAAAATTGGATAATACTCTTTACTTTATGCTAGTTCTTGGCACCTTTTGCATTCTCATTGCAATTATAGATGTGTAATGGAAAGGTAGATATGCAAAGTATGTGGATCCTTCGTTTGTTATTGTTGATGTGATCATGGAATATAATTGTTATGAAAGTCCATCAAGATTTACTGTTATAAAGCGTCAATTCAATTCAAAAACTAAAGTGGTTAAATAAAGCTAGATTAATAATTTTATATTTTTATGAGAGAATTCATTAGATTTGAAGAGTGAATGATACATCAAACCCAGATGTCATATAGTGATATTTCAACCTAAAAACTTAAATTATTGGAGGAAGTTACATTAATGGTTTAATATTTCTTTAACATCTATATTTCCAACGAAAGCTTTACTTTGCTATTGTTTGTATGTGTTTGTGTTCTGTCCCAACACACATAAATAAGAAAATATCACTGTGGTGTAGATAGATCAGCAGAATTCTGAAGAAAATTTTTCATGATTCTAGCACTCTAGAAGTTTTAGTACCAAACCAAAAATTTTAGTGAGATTAAACTGCTGCATACATCAAACTGAGTCGCAGTCTAGTAGTAGTTTCTGCACCTCCACTGAGATAAAAGGTTGAATCTACAATTCTCTTGTCATACTTGACAGTTAATACAATTTTATATTCTTCTAAGAACCCATGGAAGCTACGGGAACCATGTTCATCTGTCACTCCCTCTACACGACCAGTTTGTCCACCACGCCACCTGGTATGAAGTTTCTTAAATCATTGTATGTGGTTGCACATTTGGTTGCAACACCATCACCCATATTGCATTATGTTGCTGAAAATCTACGACCATGAAGAAGAAGAAAAGTTTATTCTACTCGGAGTTTTTATTATATAATGCAGATTGACTCACCCTTGCATCTTGGTAAATTGGCTAGAGTGATGGGCTAGCTAAGTTTAGATTGATATCTTTATAACCAGCGTTCTGCATCATTCCAAAATAAAATGAACCTAGTTCTCGAAAAATATAAATAATGTTAACAAATTCAACAACCACCAAATGGAGTCAAACACTCTTCTTAGAGTTGCTAACTATGAAAAAGGGCACCTAACTCTAAGAAATTATCATTCAACGAGCAAACAGATTAATCTAAGATTTTATTAAATTATGTAAACAATGGACATTCAAAACATCCATTGTAATTCATTCAAAACATCCATTTTTTGTCTGGCTCTTTATATATATTATTTGTGGGTCATGGTCTCATTGATGTTAAAAATCATGCGTTATCTTTTTAGCTGTTTATTTTAGTACATTCTTAATATTCTTTACGATTGTAACATTATTTCGCTCTCTGTATACTTGCTTCTCATAGGGTAACGGGAAATGATTTATTTTGTCCATTATAGTGTGCGGTTATTTCTGCTAAATATATATCTCTTTCCCAACAACAAAGAAATATTTAAGTTCAAAATTCAAGATTAATGCGGGCTTTACATTAATCTTGTTTCAGGTATCAAAGACATAAATAAAATCAAAGAGTAAATAATGTTTCAAAACATAATGTTTCAGGTATCAAAGAGTAATGACATAATGCGGGCTTTACATTAAATCAATCTCAATATATCATAAAATTTTTGGAGAATTTCACCCGAAAATTGTTTTATTTATTTAGAATTTTTATATAGCTTAAAAGAAAATCATAAATTTGTGATTATTCTATCGTGATTAACCTTTGTGCGGTAGCTATTGATAGCTATTGAAATAACGTAGATAAATAAAAAATAAAATAAAATTATTCTACCTATCATTTTTTCTGCCTATCTTTCTGACTATTTTTGTCTATCACTCTCTAACACCGTTAGATCAGAATCTCAGATCTAACGGTGTTAGAGAGTGATAGACAAAAATAATCAGAAAGATAGGCAGAAAAAATAATAGGTATAATAACTTATCTCATAAAAATAATACATAAGAAGCTTTATAATTTATTGGAAGCAAAGAAAGAAAGGGATCGTCCCAAAAATTTCCATGATTTCTATTATGAGTTTAAATACTGGTTCTCAAGATATAAATTTTATAATCGTTAGCACTAATGATATAATTATCTCTCATTTATGATTTCATAACTATTACACTAATAAAGTATTAACTCTTGCATTTATTATTGTAATCTTGTATATATGGACATACGAAAAACTGATTGGATGATGAGAATTAAAATTTCACCTTATTTTCTTATGATTTCTTGTCTTTTCTCTTGTTTATCTTGTGACACGATTTTTTCTATTTCTCATCCTTTATTTCATAACAACTTTTTATTTGTTAATCAACAATTATAATTCTACGTTTTACTTTTAAAAGTATATCCCATATCTTAGAGGATGAAAATCGGTTTGATTATGATCTTGCTGTGCGAGGCTATTGAGATACGAGATGGGCTTTGGACTTGGGGTCCAAATAACAAGGATATATTGGGGCTTTTAATAACGCCCTTGGTTTTGGACATGAGGGCAAACTACTACCCATCATTGATTCATCCCATTCGGAGCCCAATTTTTGAATACAAGTAACGCTGGTCCAACTCCATCTAATGCTTATTATTAGTATGGTTACTGGGTTAGCTTTTAGGGGAAAATGTCTCTGTTTTTTAAAAAAAATTCTCTGCCACACTTACATAAAAATAAATAGATTTTGTTGAAGAAAGAATGGAAAAAAAAAAATCAACAGAACTCACTCACTTTTATATGAATATGACTGAAAAAAGTTTCTATAGTAAAAACAAAAACATTAAATCTTAACTTTTATCCACTTTCTTAATGTTGCATGATTGATTCGTATATTTTGTCGTTTTCAAAAAGATTATAAGAAAATAATTATTTTAATATAACAAATTCGAATAATTATTTTAAAAGAAAGATAATCTCATAATATAATATTTTTCGTTGATATATATTTCCATTTTTTTCATTTTACTCTGCCTTGTCACTTCTTTGCTGATTTAGTTAAAGTTTATCATATTACATGAGACAAATAAAAATTGAATGAGACCCACTTATTTTTCTATTTCTATTCTCCTTAATGGATTTCACTCGTTTTTTGTGTACATGAGACAAAATTGTTTCATACAACAATAGAAACTATATTATCTTAATTTAATTATTCGATAACAAATATTATTATTAATTGATTAAAAATAATAAAATATCTTTTTCTCCAATTCTATTATCTTATTCAACCATAAAAGCATAAATAAAAATACATAAACTATGAAAGTATTATTGTGTCCTTTATAACAGAGATATTTTTCTATTGAATTCTTACCACGTGAAATTAGAAAATTAACTTATAATATTCTATTAACTAATGCTCAATCTGATGATTTGTGTTTGATCTTCATGTGTTTTTAATTAAAAATATGAAGAATTTCTATTTTTCTATTTTTCATTACTATATTACTATTATGGGATTGATATTTGTCCTTCTAAAAGATATAAGTTATAACATTTTAAAAGAAAAATAGAAACAAGGAATAGAAATCATGGGGGGAAAGTGGGTGATTTTTTTTTAATTGAAATTTTTTAAAAATATATTATTTTGTGTCTATCTCTCTTAAAATGACATAATTTTATATCATTTAAAATGAAAAATATTTTTCCTATTATTAAAACAATAATATATTATGCACTTTTTTAATCCATCTATTCATTTATCTAAAAAAAAATTTCTCTTAAAGTAAATACTATTTTGGGTTCTCAACAAAAAAATACGGAACTCATTTTAATCTTTAGAAAAAAAAAAGTACCTATATTAGTCATTTTGAGCAACTAATATGGGTCTTCTTTTAATTTTTGAAGAACCACAACTTTAAAGAAATGAAATTTCAGATGAACCACAAGTCGACTTTTTTTTCTAAAGGATTAAAATGAGTTTCGTATTTTTTGTTGAGAAACCAAAAAATATTTACTCTTTCTCTTAAGACTAATAATAAAGATTATTATCATTTATTTGACTATGGAAAGTCATACCATCTTTTTCAATTCAAATCAGAATAAAATATTATTCATTTATTTTCATAGGGTAAGTTATTCTATCTACTAATTTTTCTGCCTACCTTTATCTGTCGTACCACTTTAAAACACTATTAGATCAAAATTTTAACTAATATTTATCTTTCTCTCTCTTCTTGAGATTCTGATCTAATGGAGTTGGAGAGTGGTAGATAAAGATAGACAGAAAAATGATAATAAGAATAACCTATCCCTACTTTCATATACAATAATCAATAAAATAAACTTACATATATTTTAACTAATTTATAAAGGTTAAACTTTTCTCATGTTAAATTAGAGAAATTTCTTCTTATGTACACACAAGAGATATGCGGGGTCCACACAAGTGTCGCAGCAGCAATAGTATCCTTTTTCAGCATTCCTTCTTTTGTGCCTACTTTTATTGTTTTTTTGGTAATTATTGTGGTGCGTGTTATATTTAAGTATTGCTAAGAAATAACATATTTTTTTTATCACTTTCTTGTTCCAGTACCTACATGGTTACAGTGTTGCAGCTAGGGGTAGGATAGAGGAAAATTAGATAAAATTTATAAAGCATATAAATAAAATAAAATTTTTGGGGGGAGATGGCCCACCTAGCCCCTAATTCTGCCTCTGATTGTAGTGTGACCCATCCGAATAATTGCCATATGATTAGTGTGTACAAATTCGAACAAATACAGAACTGGGGAAAAAGAAATTAATCACAGAAAACCACATAAATAAAACTTCATGAAACCACAACATCTTTGATTTAAGATTTTAAGTGAACTATGCTCTCGTGATGCCTTGTTTGATATCATCAAATTCTTGCTGTTTGGCCCTCCTAGTCACCCTACATTTCTTCCATCACTTTTTTCACCTCTCAAAGTTTTATAATACATTTATTACCTTCTCACATCAATTTTACCTGTTTCATCAAACGTACTGCCAGTGCAACACAGCATACTTTACAATGCCTAGAAGAAACGTCAATCAAGATTACAACCTTGGACCTTGAGACTAGTGACTATTGTTTATTACCAAATAACTCTGACTTAAGAACACGAGAAAACAACTAATAATATTGAATGTTCTCTTCTCTCCAAAATGAACGAAAAGAATTCAGTCTTATTGATCATCGTTAACACAAACACAATATTACCCTTGCATTCTTACAACAATTTGAGTATCATATCAATGAAATTAATACTAATTTTAATTGATACAATCCCCCTCATTCAAATCTTCATTCTTGAAATTATGCTTGATTGCAGATTTGCAGTATTTTGGCAATGAAGATCTTTTTCTTGCCAACACTATCCTTGATAACATATCATAAAAACTAGTAGTACAGAGGCCAGTAGGATGCTCATGATTCAGAATGGCATTAAAACAAATAACTCAACCTTATTTAAAAAATAAATAAAAATGAATTAATTATCTAATAGGATGTCTACCTAGCATATTGGGATATCACCGAACAAAAAGCTCATCAATCCCAGGATTGTGATACCATTTATATGCCCCATTACGGCTCATTGGCTACTTGATGTCCCTAAGGATTTCTTGGATTTCTTGCTCATGTAAATCTTGTTGTAAACATTCTTGGTTCTGATTGACAATAGAATGTCTAAGAAGAACCCAACAACACATGCTCCAGACATGATTATAAAGACTAGCCTGTAACAGTGACCTCCAACACAGGTGTTGCCTCCTCCCTCTGTTGCAGTGGCCTCCATATCATATAATAGGCCAGCGAGCAGCCCAGAAAAGAGGAAAGAGCCCAGGGGAAGGTTGAGGATGAGAATATTGTAGATGAGACCATAATATTTGAGTCCAAATAATTCAGAGGCCGTTGGGACTGTAATGGCAAGCCGCACTCCATAACATATGCCAACTACAATAGACCCAATGTAAAGGGAACCGGGCATAGCCATGGCCATGAGTATGTAACCCACAGCCATCAGAATCTGAGATGCTGCATTCCAAAGAGGTCTAGGCGTTGCAGCTTTCCTGTGAAGTGTGAACAAGAAAAATTGTAAAAAGAACAACATAGACACTCCATATTTGATGAACAAACATAGACCCCCTCTGTAATACACAGAAGGCATGCAAGAAAAATGGCTAAGCTAACCCTATGTGGTACTCCCAAAGAAAGCAAGAAAAAAGACTTCTTGCATACGTTGGGCGTATTTCATAGGGCCACAAAAATGCCTTAGGCACAGCCAAGAAGACTTCTTGCATAATTTAGGTGTAGCACAGAGGGACTTAAAAATTTCTTAGGCATTTTGTATGTATTCCAGATGGGCCTAAAACTCTAAAAGATTGCAGATATTTTGTATGGGAAATCTTTTTCATATGTTGATGTTACGTTAGTGAAACAAAATAATAAAAGGAACCCACAAATGATTGGAGAGAAAACAAATAAAGGTGAGACTCATTTTTATTATGTGTGTAGCAAGATGGATTATCTCATGTTAAATAAAATAAATATAACATTTTTATTTATCTGGTAGCAAGTTACAGATATTTCATATTATATGCCAGTGGTTTCGAACCCAGGAGGTTTAGAGATACCAATAAGCCACTCAAGAAATCAACAAGACATGCTCCAAACCAATAAGCATAACTAATCAAATACAATCAAATTGATTTTTAATTTTTTTTAAAAATTCTCTTCATTTTTTAGCTTTCAAGATAAAATATGGATAAGGGTGAAAAATTAGAAGATAAATCTTATGACTAAAGTTTAAAACACACAAATTTGAAAGAAAATTTTTTTTATAAAAAAAAAAAAAAAAAAAAAAAAACTTAACTGGGGAACAGTGACCAATTTGTCACCTTTTAAAAAAATAAATTGTCAAAATGTCACGCAAACAGTAAAAATTTTCAAAGTCTCACGCGTACAAGTTTACTACATCAAGTAGCAAACTTTATTTACTGATATGACATATTTTTAGACCTAATTCGTTACTCATAATAGCGAAATAGCGAACTACATAAATGCCAATCTGCTCTGAATATTATTGGGATACATGTCAATCTCGTATAAGTTTGCTAGACTGGGTAACGAACTAGTTGAGAAAAGTTGAATGAAAAAAACAGTCATTAAACGTGTGCTCATGTTGGGACACAATGTCATTCAACTTTGGATGAAACAAAAAGTCGAAGGAAAAAAAGCTTTGAAAAAGAAAGAGAGAGAAAGTGTAATTAATAGTGAAAGTTTGCATTTGTCATTTAACATGACACAACAAATTTTCCTACACACACAACATTTTGTGGAGCCCACACTTTTTGAAGAAAAATAAAAATAAAATTACGGCACGCAAAACGAATCTCTATAACATTACACAATCACTTTTACTACAAAGTAACTCTTACAAAAAAACTCTTAATAGTGAATTTGTACATAATTCGCTAGGGTGCATAGCGAATTAGGTGTTCTAAGATCGATATTTCACATAGTTCACTATTATCAGTAGTGAACTAGGTCCAAAAACACATCGCATCACCAAACAAAGTTTGCTACTTACTGTAGCGAACTTGTACACGTGACACTTTGAAAAAAATTTACTGTTCGCATGACATATTAATAATTTTTATTTTGAAAAGTGGCAGATTGGTCGTTGTTCCTTAACCCGGTCATTGAATTAAGAGTTTAAGTTTCAAATTAAATAAATGAGAATCTAAAAACCGAACTAATAATAACTGATTTAGATTGGATTTAATATAAAAGGAGCCAATTAATCAAATAATCCAAATCAATTTAGAATCTATTTGTTTAAGTTTTTAAAAATAAAATATTGTTATGCTATACAATTTTTTTAAAAAATCAGAATTATATTTGAAGTTAAAAAATATTAAAATGTTTTTTATTTTAAAAAAATTCTTTTTCCAAACAATAAAATAAAATAGACACACAACTACCTATATAATTAGTTTAATATAAAATTATAAGATTCATTTTATCATTCCAGTACTTTGAAAATCCGTACTAAGTAGGATCATTAATTGCTTTCACCAAAAGGGGTTGTTGGAACTTGGAATAGAATATGAATAACACTGCATACAGATATAGATATAGATATACGACTTACTTGATAAAGAGCTCCGAAACCGAACCCGAGACGATCCGTCCAAAAAAGCCCCAAATACTGGTTAATGAGACAAATAGTGAGACATCGGTGTACCCGAGAGCCAACCCGATTTGACCCATATTGTTCATGACCGCCAAACCCGTTCCAACGCCGCAAAGAAACGACACAAACAAGATCCAAAAATCCACGCTCCTCAGCACCTCCAGTATCGTATGCTCCTCCCCAATCACCGGTGCCCTCTTTACTATCACCGCTTCCCCTTCCGCTTCCGCTTCCGCCTCCACCAACGCCGCTTCATTTTCCTTGTCCTGGCTTTCAATTAACGGTTCGTTCACGCGCTGACCCTCAATGTCACTGCCCGGTTTGAACCGGTCCAAGTTCAAACCCTTAAAGTAAGCGTGGACCGGAATCCCCAACGGTAAGGCCAATAGAACGAGCAAAACGACAGCGAACACTTGAGACACCAAGTTGTTAGGGTTTGGCATGAAGCCGAAAGCCAAAAGATAAACGGCGACGACAACGGCGACGGCGTTGAAGACGCCGAAGTACTTCGACTCTTCTTTCTCTTCGGCGTCGGAGGTAGACTTAGAAAGAGGAACCTCGCGGAGGAAAAAGATACCGGCGAGACAAACGACGAAGGGGATGATAGAGAGCATGAGAAGAAAAGAGGCAGGGTCATCGGCGAAGAGAGCAGAACAAAGATTGGTGAATATAGCAGTGCTTAAACCTACAAACCCTTTGAGAATGCCCGAAACGGGACCTCTGTTACTCCGAAAGTTTCGTATGCAAGTAACCAAAACCGCAGTGTTCATCCACGTTGTGCTATTGCCTCCAAAGCACAGAAACACGCACATCTGTAATCGCATTCATTGATTCAACATTCAATTCATTTTTCAATAACCAAATCAGAAAAAAAAAGAAAACGTTGATTGTATTTGTACTTGCCTGCCAGTATGGAAGGGGTTGAATTCTCTGGCTAACGACGAGCCACTGAACACCATAGCCGATGAGGCCTTCGACGGAGCCAATGAGAAGAATAGCCCATGTAGGGAACCGATCGGAGGCAAGTCCGGCGAGAAGACCAAAGGCCTTGCCGACATCTTTTGCGACGGAGAGACTATTGAGCTCGACCTGAGTGAGATGCATGAGGGATTTGAGAGCGTCGGAGTAATTGGAGAAAGTGTAGTTGTTGCCGGAGATAGATTGAATCCAAACGGCGGCCACCAACCCCAGCCATTTGCTGGCGGTGGAAACCGGAGAAAATGAGGTCCCCATTTGAATTGATTCAACTTTGCACTCTAAATAATTATATTTAGGATATAGATTTCGGGTACCCCAAGTTGTGATATTTATAATTATAGCAATTCCTTAGACACGTTTTCTCTGTACGAGTGTACTCACTGTACTCTGCAATTTGAGATTAACGGTAGAGATTTTCGTTTTTATTTTTTATTTTTCTATAGAATAAAGAAAGAAACGTGCGAAGAAAAATTGTGTTGCCAATGCCATTTTTTAATGGGGCCCTCATCAAGTGGATGGGAGGGTGTGCCGTGTGCCTGTTCGGATTTCTGAAGTTGATATTTCTGACGGAGTCGGTACGGTTGGTGGGACCAAACCCTATCTCCTCCGCTTTTCCTTTTTTTTTTTTTATATAAATCAAACAATCTTTTTAATTACTTAAAAAATCAAATAAAGAAGTGTATTCAATACATAATAAAAAATACAAGATAAATTGATAACATGTATAACAAAATGTGTGTTGGAATTAATTTTTAAATTAATTATTTTTATGAATATGAAGATTGATTTGAAAAGATATGTTATATCATTGTCGAACGGATATGTTGCTTCATCATAATGGATGTATTATTTTATTTTTGAACGTGTGTCTTTTCAATAGTAAGTCGTGACCTTATGTCTTTTTATGAATAGATAAATAATCAGAATTTTAGGAAGAGTTTTTCTTTGCTTTTGCATTTCATTACTTTAGTTCGACTATTCAGACATAGATTAAGTTTGGTAGGGCTATTTTATGGGGTAGTGTAGCCACGAGAATAGAGGTAATCTATTTTATCCTGTGAGGCAATTGTCCACCAACCTTGAGTACCATAGAGAGGCCAATGTTGTCTAAAAGACATAGGGCCTAATTGATTCCTATTCTCAAAAACAGTTTTTAAATTTTTAAAACTAAAAAAACTGATTGGTATTGATTGTTTTGCAAAATAATTTTAAAAACAATGATTGCTTTTTAGTTTTAAAAACTAAAAAACGATAACAACCCACGGACGTTCTCCTATGCAATTTTCTGATTTTTTTTAGTTTTCACGGTGGCATGATCGTAATTATCAGCATTCATTAATGGCAAATGCGTAAATTTGAAGACTCAAAACAATAACTTTACGGTGGCAATTTTGTAATTCTGAAATTTCATTAATGGCGTTTTTGTAAATAACTACAACTTTTTTATAACTTTAATTTAACTACACTCAAACAAGTTTTTTTGTTTTTTCACTCTCAAAATCAGTTTTTAAAATTCATATTCAAAACACTTTTTGAAAACTAAAAAGCAAAAAAACTTTCAAACACACCCATAGTGTCAAATACTGGCTCAGATTTTTCCTTATCACATTCATATATTTTCGTAAGGTACGCCTTAATGGTGTGTATTTGCATGTTTCAATTTTTTATGTGCATTTTATAAAATTGTGAATATTGTTAAAATAATTTCTCCAACATAGGTTATTCTCTCCAAATGCTTTAAATATTATTTGGATAACAATGAAACCATTACTTTTAATTTTGTGGGATGTATTGGATTAAAATTTTAAAAGATTATTATGAGATAAATTTTTTATAAATTTTAAAACTATTTAAATTTGTAGTGACGTTAAAGAAATTTTTAAAATATTTTTTTTATAATCAATATTTTATAAAAAAAATCACTTTAAAATTGTTGTTATATATAGAGAGAGGCAGGATCCTTTTACACTAGTGTCAAATTTAAAATTTAACACTTCATCTGCGAGCCGTTAGATAAAAAAAATAAACGTCTCTGATTTGTAAGCATGTGACACCATTGATTTTTTTTTATCTAACGGCTCTCGAATGAGGTGTCAAATTTAAAATTTGACACCGGTGTCAAAGGATCATATCTCATATATTATATGAAGAACCGACACTTCAAAATCTCTAACGTGTCGTGTCTGACACTTCCCGACACTCCAATACTCGTTGCAAATACTCAAAAAAGGTTCACGTTGCGTTGCATTGCATTTTGATTTCTAACTATTAGATTCGTTGGATTACAATTATTATTTTATTGAATTTAATATAAACATTTCAGATATCTTATGTTTCTTTGCAAAATTGATGGGTATTATAAGTTTAGCTTTATTTTTTTGTTAAATTATTGAATATTAAATATAATATACACTACATAAATTAAAAATATTATATAATATCAAAACGTGTCCTAACGTGTCAAAATTTAACATTTTTTAAAATTAACATGCCGGGGTGTCGTGTCGTATCCCGTGTGCCGTGTCTGTGTCGGTGCAACATATATATATATATATATACATATATGGGTAAAGAATTTCTACAGTCAATAGAGATAAGTAATCTTCAATGAGCTCAAAACGACGTCGTTTTAGAGAGAAAATCAAATTGTTTTTGTAATTATAATATATTATAGGATTATTTTAGTCTTTATCGTTATAATTTTTTAATCTTATAACTCAAAACGATTTCGTTTTGAGCTCACTGGAGATAATTTTATAATTTTATCTCCAGTGATTGGAGAAATACTTTTCTCTCTATATATATATAGGGTTCCTTTTATCTGCAATCTACTTATTTACATTGAACCCAAAACGACGTCGTTTTAGGATGAAAATTAATATACTTTTGTATTTATAAATTCAGGGTTATAATAATCTTTATTATTATAATTTTTTAATCTTTCAATTCAAAACGACGTCGTTTTGAAAGCGAATATATATAACTTATCTACGTTCATTGTAGAAACATTAAAGCCAATAAATGTAAATATATTTTTAGATTTTTTGAGTCTGGTACCTAAAATTAATATTATTATTTAAAAAAGTTAAAAATATTTTTTTTCAAAAAAGTTTAGTTTCTCAAAACTTGATTTTGAGAATGAAAAATCAACGTAAACGATGTTATTAATTACTGTGTAACTCCATTGTTAGTGCCGCCAACGTGAACCCATGTATTATGTATAGTTAATAAACAGACACGAATTTTGGCTCAATTTGCTTCCAAGTTCCAATTGATGGCGTCGTGTGGTAATGAGACTAGAGAAATGCATAACAATTATGCTTTGTTCTTTTTCTCCTTTCGGAAAAATGCTAAAACTTCAGAACTTGGAAATAGGAAACCGATGTTGTTCTTCTGAGGGAAAACAGTTCAAGACAACAATTTAACGTAAGCAGTTGCTTAAAAGTGAAGACAATGGAGTTTTTCATTTTACGGAAAAGATAAAGGAAGGAGGAAGAGGTTATGATAGTCAGAAACGCCACGTTTTGTTGCGTGTCCCCGTATTTTCTATTCAGGTTTCTGACAAATGCAGTTCCAATTTTGTTGAATATGTGACAAACAAGTTCTTCCTTGAAAAATCAAAATAAAATAGGTTATGTTTATCTCATTTTACATGAGATAAACAATTTTCTTACCCACATAAAAAGGGTGGGTCCCATCACTCTTTTTCTTTTCTCTCCTCTTATCTATGAGTCTCACTTATAATTTTATTTTTATAACATGAAATAATTACTCTCCTACAAAATAAGAAAAATATTTCCCAAACAAAATTCTACCAAATGAATGCATAACAAGCTTTGCACCAATTCGAAATAAAATTGTGTTTACATTTTTATTTTTATTTTTTCATATGGAAATTTAATTTCGAAGTGATAAAAGTTTACGAATTTCATTTGGTCAAAGAATCTCACCTAGTCATCTTAATTATAACTAATGTATAGCTTTATATTTATGAAGCCATCTAATCCGGTAGCCACATTTCTTGAATAGAGAAGGCAAGTGGTCCTTGTTTGTATACTATGCCAAGCCAATTGCTTTGTCGATTTTTATTCCCTAAATGAGAGTAATATTTTAGAAATAAAAAAGCATATTTATTAATTTAAAATGGGAAAAAACATTTCTCCCGGCACACGAGATAAAGTTATTTCCGATAATCGTAAAACTACATTATTAGAGGATTGAATGAATTAATGAAAGATGTTTTAAGAATTTTATTTATTTATTTATTATATGAATTTTATCAAAACATTCTTAGTTAATTCTCTCAATCCTCAAAATGTAAAGAACCTTGAGATACACTACCTCAAAAGTTAGCTCAAAGGGGTGGGAGTGTCCAAGGCCTTATAAACTCCACATTAGTTGCTCATACAACCAATGTGGAACTATATATCTCAACACGCCCCCTCACGCAATAGCCCTTTGGGCTAGAAGCGTGAAATTGCACAGGCCCAATTTTTGGTTTACCTTTTTGTGCTTTTTTTTTTATTCCCCTTTAAAGTGGGGGACGGTGAGGATTGAACTTGTGCTATGATACCATGTAAATAATCACTTCAACCCAAAACCTTAAGGTGTTGAGTAAGGGCCTTTTTAATGATTTATATTGAACTTGTGCTCTGATACCATGTAAAGAATCTTGGGATACACCACCCCAAAAGCTAGCTCAAAGGGTGAGAGTGTCCAAGGCCTTATAAACTCCACATTAGTTGCTCATACAACCAATGTGGGACTATATATCTCAACATGTAAAGAACATTGGGATACACCACGCCAAAAGCTAGCTCAAAGGGTGGGAGTGTCCAAGGCCTTATAAAGGCCACATTAGTTGCCCATACAACCAATGTAGAACTATATATCTCAACACGTCCCCTCACACGAGAGCCCACTGGGCTTGAAGCGTGGATTATGCACAGGCCCAATTTTTGGTTTACCTTTTTGTGCTTTTTATTTTAATTCCACTTTAAGGTAGGGGTGGTGAGGATCGAACTTGTGACCTTATAGTCACTCAAGCTCTGATACCATGTAAAGAACCTTAGGATACACCACCTCAAAAGTTAGCTCAAAGGGTGTCAAAAAAAATTTAAGACTTATTAACTTTTAACATAGAAAATTTAACAATTAAATGATTCAACATAATTCTCTAATTTTTTTTTTGGTAGTAATTCTCTAATTTTTTAAGAGCAAGCAACTATTTCTTTTTCATAGAAAATATAAATAAT